GCTGGCAGTTTTAGAAATCTTGTCCATGCTCGCCCCCGGCGGTCTCTAATGTTAACGTGGGCAAGGATGCAGCGTCGAGCACGTCGGGCCACTGCACGAGCTCACTGTAATCAGTATTATCCCTAACGACCTTGATGCGATGGAGGAGATCCTCGGCCTTGGAGTACGAATCGCCGATAAGGTCCTTCGGGTTGTATACTTTAACGTTGCCTCGGACGGGATAGTACCATAACCAAAAATTATTCCGGTCTTGACATTCCAGAACATCCTTGCCTGCGTAATTGCACTCTTCGCTAAGCACGGATAGCTTCCTGCCAATGCTGATCCACGATTCCTCGATGCCATACTCCTCACCAATATCCTTATAGAAGGCTTTGGAGTCCCCAAACAAGAATGTGGCATTAAGTTTGTTATTGATAGCGTCCTGACATTTGACTCCGACATCGTACTCGCCATCCTTACAGTTAGCTGACATGTCGCAGCCTCTGGAACACTCGAAAGTGCAGCCATTGCAGCATGTAACGTCCATTTTCTGCGTGCACTTGAAGTACTTGTCTGCCTTCTCCTTCATGAATATGTCAATTTTGCCGGGAATTTGTTCATCGATGTAGCGTTCGTAGGTTTTGAACTTGCCGTCGTAGCCATTGTTGACCAAATCCTTGTACTTTTTCAGGGCTGCTTCCATAACAGCGATTTCAACATTAACAATATACTTCTCCATGCAATGAGCTGGAATTGAACCCTTGTCGTCCTCGAGCTGCTTGAATGAAGTGTACGTTTTGGAGCAGTCTGAGTAGAAATTGAGGTCGATATCGTATTCGTAATCATCAGGATAGTCATCACCACCGCTGCCGCTGTAGAAGGTTAGTATCATTGGCATATATGAGGGCCAGGGTGTAGGAACTTACTCCACAAACTCTTGCAGGTCAACAGCCCAGTCTGTGGTACCGGCGAAGTTGTACGAATCATAAAACTTGGAGCGAGCGGCCTTCATGTCATCATCCATATATGCGACCCACTCAGTGTCGTTGTAGACCAGGATGTTGGAGCCTTCCTCTTTCCACTGCTTAGTGACTTTACCGTTGGTGATGATCTCGTCAATCTCCGCATTGGAGATGTAGCCACCTGTCTCTGTGCAGCGTCCTTTTGCAGCATTTGATTCGCGTGAAGTACCAGTGAATTTGCACATTGGCCCAGTGCAACCAGCCTGTGCCATCTTGAACGATCGGCCATAGCTAGTAACACCAACGACCACTTTGTTAGACGGCACACCAGCCTTAGTGATCATTGACAAGGCATCTTTGGTCTCCGTTTCGTTGACATGAGATCGCAAACAGTTACCCTCAGGGCAGCCGGGCGAAGTCCACGGGTTGGCATAGTCCCACTGACCATGTAGATCATAAGTCATGTAGATGATATAGTCAAGCTTTGCACCCATTTGCTCCATAGGGAACGACTTAAGATAATGGTAGGAAGCTGGAGCTGCAAAGGAGACCGTTTTGGAGTTGCCTACCTGCGATTTAACGCCAGAGAGGAACTCGTAGTAATCCATACCCGCCTTGGGGTCACCAGGGGGGATGCCGGGAATGTCTGGAGCCTAGATTAATGATATCAATGTTAGCTTACTACCATCCTAGACAAATCTATAGCTTCAAAATAAATACTTACTCCTGGATACTCCCAGTCAAGATCAACTCCATCGAGTTTATGCACATCTAGGAAGGCAATGATGTTCTTCTGGAAAATATCACGGTTACCAGGCTTCACTGCTTCGCGAAGAATGTGAAAACTACCAGGCAGAGTACTAAAGTCCCAGCCGCCAAAAGAAATAATCTTCTTAATCCCAGACATCCCTTTAAAGATGTCAAACTGCTCTTTAACCTTGCTTATATCCATGTTAAAGTCAGGTGTGACATCAATGAAAGCAAAGTGGATATGCGTATACTTGTCCGTGTCAATCTGGCCGACATCCATGGTAAGACACTTGCGATGATGATTCCAGGCTTCAAAATATGCGACGTGAATCTTCTTGGACGGTGCAGGGCCTTTGATAATATCTCTGCCACAGTTACTGACGCCTAATTTTGGAGTCAGTGATAACCCTAACCGTTGCATTTGGGAGGCACTTGCATCCATTTTTACCGGGCGCAGATGTGCCAGGTGCGCCAGTCTCTGACTGGGATATGGTGCAAAATTCATTAGTCGTGCCACATTGACCCCATATATTGCAGCAAACCTTCAAGGGGCAAGGGTTGAGGCTGGCCAAATCGGTGCCTTTGGAAGGCGGTTTGGTGCCTGGGACCTTTGAATCATGTTAGCTTCGACAGTAAATGTTCTTAATAGCCCAGAAAACCTTACGGTTGGCCCACAAATGGCATTCTAGTGATCAAAATTAGTATAGTCTCCTCTTCAAAGGTATCCGGGTTGGAAGGGAAAAACTTACCGCAACAGTTGCAGGCATAGGGGGTGTTCCTGAGCTCACACATAACTTGAATCCAACCCAGAGGAACTTGCAACCAGTCCAGCCCCAAGTCTTCTTATTGAAGGTTTCAATATCTATATTAGTTATACCAAAAGATGCGGCAATTGCGGAACAGCTATCAGCCGTTACAGTCGTGTATGTCGCGCAGGAGCCGTCGGGATTCTGCTTGGGCCGTAAGTCAGGCAGCTTGCCACGGGAGCAGCAAACATGCTCTCCGACTTTTAGATTGGCGCATTGGTTGGCGTCGGTATTAACCTTGGTAAAATCTTGGGGGCTTAGCCCGCACTTAGACGCTAGGGAGCCGCAGCCGTCGCCACTTACGACCTTTATTGTCTTGCAAGTACCGTCCGAGTTTCCAGGATGGATAGTTTCAGGTAAGGTGCCAGAAGAGCAGCAGACCTTCTCGCCAACAACAAGAGTCTCGCAAAATTTTGAACGAGGGTTGTACTTTTTCAGGTCGTCCTGGCTGATCTTGCAACGGTCAGCCACAGCCCAGCAGCCATCGCGAGCTTGGACCGTGGTTGTCTTGCATTCTGCTCTAGCAAGAAGATGGGACCTTGACCCTATGTGGGTGGCCGTGGTGGAAAATGTTATCGTTTCGTTGCCGTTTGATTTTGACTTGGCACGGGAGGGGATCCGCAGAGTTACTGTCATCAACTCCACATCACCGTCCGCTTCAGAGGCGCAGCGTCCATCAGCCCAATTCTTGACAGCTTCCTGGACCATGGGCAAATTTTTTGCACTGCTCGCAATAATACCGATGCCATAATCTGCGCCGCGGCCATCTGCTTGGCACAGCTGGAGGGCAGTGGTTTTTGAAATCGAGTTTTTCTCTGCATATTTGAGCAAGCTGTTGAGGACATCTGTGGTAACACCATGCTGGTGGACTTCGGCACCACCAAACACTCCAACGACGGCAGATTTAGAGTACCCAAAAGCCAAGGCGTTATCCATACAGGAAGGCGCTTTTGATTCGAAATAGCTGGCAATCTGGTAGCCAGCAGATAATAAATCTTGAATAGCGAAGCCATCATCGTCATTGCTGGGGGTAGGATGAAATAACTTGATAGAAACTTCAACAAAGGCATGATTGGGTGTTGGGCAAATAGCAGCCGTGTGATTACTAGGCTCGTAGGCGGGCTTCATGCCCGAGTTGTAATCGGCCGTGCATGCCCTGATGACCGACGTTTTGTTTTGGACGATGAAATCGAGCACCATGGTCTCGTTGCACGCCACGAGTTTTGGGGCCTCAGGGAACAAGAACCACCCGGGCCCGATGCTGCTGTTTCCAGAATCTTAACATGCCAAAGGGCATACCGTGAGCGCACTGGGAGGTGCTCGTTTGTTAGCCGCAAGCCATTCGTCAAGCCCATTGTTGCCTCGAGTGTCTATTGCAGTTGATATGTAGCCCGGTTGGGCTATCACTAGGAGAGGGGAGGATATAAACAAGTACCACAGTGGCTTCATGGTGATCAATAAGTGAGTGAGAAGGTTCTCATCTCTTCCAACAGAGGCAGAAGCGGACGATTAAATCCATTACCTGACCGGATTTTATAACTTGAGCACCAAGATCCACTCCGTAACCCCTGCGAAGTGGTTGGTTTTGTCCCCCAAAAAGATGTAAGTCAAAATCTGCAACCTCCCGGCACGGAGTCGCCGTCTCGTGTAGACGGGAGGTTGATAATATTGAGGTTTGTTTCTCCACGAGCTAGCGGGTAATCCAAGCCAGGCCTGCTGCATTCCAAAAATTAAATAAATAACGAAATAAAGGAGGTTTATCTCCTGTTAATCCCTCTTGTCTTTGCCCTGAATACGCATGTTTTCAGTTTTCCCTCTTTTCCGCTGTCCCTCTCTTTGTTGCCTGTGCCTCTGTTGCTCGAACTATGCGGCCTCCATTACTCCTCACTCTTACATACCTCGCCGCAAGTGTTATTGCCGGAGGGTATCAAGGATGCCTTGAGCGAGTGTTGCTCTTCTATGCCTACCAAATCGACGAACTCAACAATCCCAAGGACCGCACTTTGGGCTTCGCCTGCAAGAAATGGGATGACTCAGCTAAAAAATGCACGAACAATGACTGGAAAGAGTGCAAGGGCAAAGGCGGCGGTAGATGTAATTTCAACGAACTCATGGCGAGCCTGGGCAGAGCGCGTCCCAACGACAAGCTGGTCGGTCCTCCTGGATCAAATCAGGCCACGACAAGCCCTGATATTGATGAGACGGCAAAGGTCCTCAACCAGCACTATATCACAAACGTTGGGAAAGTCCCCAACTACCCAGCATATAAGGTTCTGAAGGACTCAGACGGGAACTATAACAGGTTGCTCGAGCACCTCGGCAATGTGGTCAACAATGCAGCAGGGCACAAAACCGCTGCTAACACGTTCCTATGGGAGAAATTCGACTCTAGCCTGGAGAAAGTCATAGTTGCACGGGTGGGTGATCATGGGAAACACCTCATCACAGCCGCGAAAGCAGCGCTGGGGCCGAAAATGGACGTTGTGCTGGAGAATTTGGGTAGCAACCCCGCGAAGCCTTCGGAAATATGGGAAACTGTTGACTGGGCGGCGACTGAAGAAAAGGCCGAGAAGGATGGCGTCGCAGACTATAAAAAGCACATCGATGACTTTAAGAACGGCTTTTATGATCCGAAAAAGAAAGTGGTAAACTCGCTGAGGAGCACAAAGTGGTTATGGACTCGTTCAAAAGGATTTCAGACACCAGACGGTCGTGCCGCTAGACGTGATGATGATGGTTTTGCCTGTTTGATAGTACTATAGTTTGCATAGGTATTCATTCAGAAGTCGACTCCTCGTCGGGCCATTTCCACATGCTATCTAGCTCCTCGCCCGTGAACCCCTGGCCGGTCTCTTTATCGATGAGCTTCAGATTCGTTTTCGGACATGGCCAGTATATGTTTTCCCAGTCAACTTTCCAGTCCTGTAAGCCTCCCCGGCAGATAACATGGATTTCCTCCACATTACAAAAATCGTAGAGATCCCTGGACTTGCTATAGAAAAAGTAGTCACTATACTCCTCCTCAATGGTAAGCCGGCGAATTAGTTGTTGCTCAGGCTTAAAAAGGTCAATGACGGTATCCCCAATTGAGATCATATCTATCTCAAAGTTCACCCAAACGTATCGGGGTTCACTTCCCAAGGTAAAAGCCTTTTGGTATAGCGCCTTTTGGGTCCGGACTTCATGGCAGGCCTGGAGAATAGGGGGCACCGGGGTTGGCGAGACAACATGCAGGAGATGAGTATTGACGTTTTTATAATGAACGACTTCGACGGTGCGAGGCTCAACAGTCAGCTCCCAAATCCGGGCGCGAAGCTCAAATGGGAGATAGGGGAAGAGATGGAAGACAGCCATGCTGCGCCGTCTCAAGTGGCGATGGAGTGTTTGGTGTTGGAAGGATATGAAGTGCTACAGGCAGAGAGAGGTTGTTTTGATGTCGAAAAACTGGCGCGGAGATAAAAGTTTAATTAAATATATAGTTAATTAGTCCTTATAAAGACCACTCAGAGCTGAACAGTTTGATAATTCACCCTAGATTTGGAGTCGGTTATTTGGATTTTAATAATTATTTTCATTATTTCAGCTTTTTTAAATCGTTAGTTATTATTATGGATTTTAATTTTAATTTTTTATTTAGATAATATGAGTGGTGATGACTTCGATGGCGCGGGAAGGACGTCAACGAATTCGTTTCCATTCAACGTAGCACTCCTTTCCTGACATCCCTCCGCTAATGGACCGGTCAAACTCTTCTTGCGCTCCCTGCTGGCCAGGCCGGAGCTTCAACATGAATGGCCACTTGTCGATGATAGAGTGGTTATCTTTCATCGCCGCGCCCAGGAAATCAGCTGTTTCACAGAACTCGAAAGCCTTCGAATGTCTACTCCCAGGGTTAGTATAAATCCCTGATTACACAAAGTTTGTTACTTCATTATTCTTCTACCTACCGGTCGAAGATATGATCAAAGGAAGTGAGACGATCCCGGCCGGCAATATGTTTCATAAGCTGCGGATCATACGTGGAGGATATTCTTTTTGTCGGGGGGAGGTATTTGAAGAGGGCATTTATTGATGAGCTATCTGTAGTCATGTGTAGTCTGTCTTGGTCGGTTAAGGTCTCGTCAACTGCGTTCAGGAAGAGCGTAATTAGGGATGCATGTGGGTTCTCGAGAGATGTTTGGAGCAACGGCACCATCAGCTCTAGTGTGCGATGTATTCCGAGCCATCCACGATCCGAGATGTTGGACACCTATATAGAGTGATTAGTGTTATACTGCCGACTGGTAACCCGCTCAATGTGTGAATCGGTGCTAGACAGACGAGCAGACGGTATGCGCGTTGAAAGGGCCTCGATAATATAGGACTTGGAGAATTTCTCACCTCAATTCTACTAAAAGCATTTTCCTCAAGCAAGCCAGGAAGCGAAGAAGCGTCAACCTGGAAGAGTTTAAAAGAGAGACACAGCCTCGAGAGCTGGTCAAGAAACGATCGAAGCGTTCCGCGAATGTGGTAAAAGAGTTTGCCGTAGATATCAGCCGTTGCGGCGCCACTTGAGGTACTGGCAACCTCCTCTGAAGACCACCCCTGATGAGGATCAGCACTATCCGTCATTGGCCATGTACTTTCATCCTGGAAGAAAGTCCTATTTATTTGTTAGCGCCACGCTTTTGACCTGGATAACTAAATTCTAGCGGCTCACGGGTTTGGTACTCGAAACTCCTGGCGCGTCGACCCAAATGGAAGCAGGAGGCCGTCTTCCCGGAACTTATTAAAAGCAATTCGATGGACTGGAGACAGGCAATACATGTATCGGTCACGGTAGTCTTTCCTCGACTCAGCTAGAGTGATGGCTGCGCGGATCTCGCGTGCTCGTTCAGCCGTCAAGGCAATAGGCGCAGCGATAAAAGCCAGGAGACGGTCCCATGAGGACTTCTCGAGGACAATTCTGAGAGAGCACTTCCCAAACGTCCACGTCTTTCCTAGGAGACTTTTGGGGGCCTTGTCTTTGATCTTCCCACAGATGCTTTCGATGAGGGGACTAATTCGCTGGTGAAGGAGGTCAACGTCTGCCTCCCGTACGAGGGCTGAGTACCAGAGATGGATGATATGGTCGACCGCCTCGTCAACGTCCTCTACCACCAGGGCAATAAGAAGCAAGGTAACATTGCGAGCCACGATATCAAAATCCCGGTCGTTTATTGTAATTTCGAGGGACCGGCCGTAGCTGCTCGGAAGCTGGGCAATCGTCTTAATAACATTTCGAAGGTCTCCTGAAGCTATATAGGTGTTCAGTAATACGGGAAACAGTGGGAATACATCTGCACACACATTACCACTCGAGTCAAGCACATACCAGCAAACAAGATGCGTAGGTCTTCGCGATATTCATCTCCCTCGTTCGATCCAAGTCGAAGGACGTCGAAGGCAGGGACGTTACCCCAAAGGAACTTTGGCGCTCCAAAGTGTTTTCCTATCCCTCCTCCGATAAACGAGGGCATTCGGTTCTCAAAAACCCAGGCAGGCTGCCACGTTGTTTTACCCAAGGGGGACCTACATTCGGACTTGTGTCGAGGCCAGTGGGACTTCTGGCATGTCGGGCCGCAGTACTACACCACATATTGAAAATATCTTCAGGGCATATCCTACACATAAACAACGTGCAGGATCGCGGATATAGCCTACAGTGACAAGCAGACAGCTCTTGCAAGTGTACTTGGCCCCTTTCTTGCAATCAGTGTAGTCAGAGGACCAGTTGGCGCAGATAACCTCTGGGGCAGCCATATTTCTTCTATCTGCGTCAAATTTGAGTGAGAAGTGGTAGTATAACTTGCGCCCAGCTGGCTGGGGAGGTAATGATAATGTATGTATATACAATGTAAGTGCTAAGCTGTAGTTACTCTTTATCCTTGTTCACTACAGTATGCAAAAGGCCTCTCTAAACAAGGCTGGCTCTTTGGATGCACCAATCCGCGTCTACCACGGATACCACACAGGGGCCATACATACATCGGATTACTGCTTTTCTTTCCGCCTGGTTCCTCAAATGCCCATTTGCCGCTGATCAAAAGTACTAAATTTCAGCATCAGGGGGCGAATCTGCCGCTAGAAGTGTCGCCAGGACATGGCGGTCCTGGCTATCTCTAGGGTGGACTCTCAGAATCTATTGCTGGCTTATACTTAGAGAGGCTTTTGCAGGTCCGTATTGCGGGTTCATGAGAATATGGTACGTGGATGAGTAGAGTGATGGATTGATATATGTTGTCATTAACTACTGTAGAGGTTCAAACTGGAAGGGGAAAATGAATCCAGGAAACACTTCCATCAGCACCGTTGACCATTTGCAGACCACTCCCACCCTTTGCAGCGTAGAGGGGGATAACTAGCTGTAAGCATCGAGATTGGATGCCTTTATATATAGTTATGCCGGCACACTCAGGAGGCCGAGGAAGCTGTGGCTGCCCTGCCGTAATCAACTGCTCAGAGTATAGTTGAATGTTACATGGTTATCTCCGTGGAGATTTCCTGTCATCTGGCCCATGTTTTTGCCCACATTCATCGTGACCGTGTCGCCCTACCATGTAATAAGTAAGTGCCGTCAACTACAGCTGGCCCTGGGTATGGTTGTATCGGCTATAAAATGATGGCCAGACACTCACCAGACGTTGTTCCGGAGGCTGGGGGCTCTGTAGCATTACAGCCCATCTTTTGAGAACGCGTGAAATCCTCTGGTAGCCGTCCTCGTCCTTGCTTGCGAATTTGCACATGTCTCGATGGTCTGCCGGAATTGACTGTGTCTCGTAGCCGGTAATGGAGGCAGACGCTTTCGAGACGATCTATTTTGAGTTAGCGGCCACTTTATTGATCATCTTCAATATAGAATGTCACACACCTCGCCCATTGCGGTTTTAGAAACAGACAACCTCGATTGAAGCCGTCTTCAGGTCCTTCGACTCTCGACGGCTGCGCAAGAAGTTCATAAATGTGGAGTCAAGTTCGCTCAGCCGAGAGGAACCTTCGCTGAGGATATCGTGCACTTCTTTGTTGACGTCCCTTCCGATCAGACTGGCAAACGCCTGCCCCCTCTTAACCCACTTAGCCTTGTCCGACCCTTCGTGCGGCGTCCCAAGGAAAATAATCCCACGGGTGCAATCTGCGATATTCTTCAGGTGCTGGTCGGCACTTCGGTCGGAGAAGACAAGCGCCTATCGAGCGTCAGAGGCCAGAAGAATATGATCGCTTTGAGGTACTATATACACTTTTGCATACGAGGCCACCGAGACTATGAACAACGAAGATGATGGGTCGATCGACCTGAATCCCTTGATCAGCTCCAATCATTGCGGATTCAGAGGAGAGGGACGTGAGGTCGCACACTCTGCTCCCTCAGGCCGCTAAGGTCTGAACATAGGTTCTTAGCATGGTCGTTGAGCTCAGTGTTTGTGGTTTTCTGCCAGAAATGGGCGATGTCTGCACTATATCCCCAGGAGAGGACTCGCGCTTGACGCACATCATCTGGTAGTAGATCCCGGGGCCAGAATATGCCGTATTTGGTCCAGGTGTCGACCCTGTCGCCGTGAAGGCCGTGGACAAACACGATACTACCAAGATAAATGAGCCCCAGACAGGCGAAGGCCTCCAAACCAGCTTGACTCACTCTAAGTTTGCATCTTTCGGGTTGCAAAGCGGATCAAAAAATCCTGCCATGTTGCTGGTCGTTTTCTACTAAATCTGATAGACGAAAGGTGGAAGCGGACCAAAGGCTACTATTTATATACGGCGGGATTGGTGGGGCTCTCCCGCCCCGCAGAACCCCACCCGCCGGGCGCCACAATAATAGTTTGATATAATGTCAACTATAGCCAGTCTCTCTGCCACCATTGGGTGCGGGCTCGCCTTGGCCGCATGGCAGATTCTGACATATAACCGTTGGTTACAAGGCTGAATACTATGTCGCGAAACGTCAGAGTAGCCGGTTAGCACCTCTATGCCTTGACACTATGGTTTCCACAGAGAGCAATAACGCCATCACGGGGAACAGGGTAGGTTAAAAGTTGCCCAGAGAGCTGGGACTTAATTGCGTGTTAGGGATTTCCGTCGCCTACAATGAATTGCAGCGTCCCTACCAACAACGGCCAGATTATTGGAAGCATACAGGGTAACCAAACCAACAATTTCTATTACGGTATGATATATATATGCATCTCCGCTCGGTATACTGCACAGGGCCTAATGATTGCTCCCCTATATATATAGAGACCTCATCCCAACAGAGAGAGATATACCACCAGCTCTTCCGGCTCGCAAATAACTCTACGGATGGCTCATATGAGTGGTACAAAGATCGCATTGAAGAGAGAGTAGAAGGCACCTGCAACTGGCTCTTGGATCAAGCAGCCTTCAAAGACTGGACACGTCGGGATTCAGGACTCTTAATGATCACCGCTGATCCAGGGTGTGGAAAGTCTGTTCTGGCTAAATATCTGATAGACGATAAATTGCCTGAGTTATCATCGGCGACTATTTGCTATTTCTTCTTCAAAGACCAGGACCAGAATACCCTGAATCAGGCAACCTGCGCACTACTACACCAACTCTTCTCCCATAAGCCACTCTTGATTCGACACGCTATGCCTGAATATTCAAAGAACGGACCTGATCTAGTGAATATTACTTCCTCACTCTGGAACGTCTTGGTAGCAGCTGGAAGGGATCCTGAGGCAGGCCCTGTTATTTTCATTTTGGATGCGCTGGACGAATGCAGGGGCTCAGACCTTCGTAATTTGCTCCAGAGGTTGAAAAATCAGTTTACCCAGAACGGCGGGTTTGGGATGGTAAGATTTATTGCGACCAGTCGGCCATATAGCCATATAATGTCCGAGTATCGCGGGGTTGCCGATGCATTTCCTTGCATCCACATACCGGGCGAAGAGGAATCCGATGCCATCAGCGAAGAGATTAACCATGTAATCAGACACCGGGTCAACCAGTTAGGAAAGAAAAGGGAGCTACGATCTGAGATTAAATGTCACCTTGAAAATAGATTACTCACCAACCCCCATCGCACTTACCTTTGGGTGTACCTCGTCTTTGACTACTTGGAGACGCAGGACTTCAAGAGGACCAAGAAAGGAATCGAGTTTCCAATTGACACGCTTCCAAATAGCGTCAACCAAGTATATGAAAATATTCTCAGCAAATCAAAATATAGAGATATAGTTCGAAAGGCTTTATGCATAATCTTAGGGGCATGTCGGCCACTCACAGTGGGGGAGATGAATATGGCTATGAATGTCAACAGCACATCCGACTCCCTGGAGAACCTTGACCTCGAGGATGATGAAGATTTCGAAAAATCTTTAAGAAACTGGTGCGGTTTATTCATATCCATCTACGACCATCAAGTTTACTTTCTTCACCAAACTGCGAGGGAGTTTCTCCTAAAAAAGAATATTTCCCTTGGGCATGACTCGGTAACCAAGTGGGCTGGCTCAATGAGTGACCAGGAAGCACATTCCGTTCTCGCATTGATCTGCATTGTTTATCTCAATGCTGCTGGAGTCATTAATAACAGCAAGCTCCTACATTATTCGGCAGCTAACTGGGTTTTCCACTTCAATCACGCAGATGTAGGAACGCAGGAAAAATTAGATTACATGGCGTTAGAAATATGCGATCCTGCAACGAAAAAATACCTATACTGGATTGATATTTATCGGCAGGCTACACACTGCACATACTACCCCAGATTTATCCATTGTATATGCCTTGTGTCATGTATTGGACTCACGAGAATAGTCAAACAGTTCCTCGACTCGGGCAAGGTCAACGTCAATTCAAAAGAAGGAGATGGTTCAACATCACTCTCGCTTGCTGCAGCATATGGACATGATATGATTGTTAAACTGCTGCTTGACTCGGACGGAGTCGACGTCAATTCAAAAACTAAAATTGGCTGGACACCACTCTTCTATGCTACTAAAGATAATCACGATAAAATTGTTAAGCTACTACTTAACTCAGACAAAATCGACGTTAATTCAAAAGATAATTATGGCTGGACACCACTCTTCTACGATAATCACTATGAGTGTGATGAAATTGTTAAGCTGCTGCTTGGCTTAAACAGGGTCAACGTTAATTCAAAAGATAATCATGGCTGGACACCACTCTTCTATGCTGCCAAAGATAATCATGATAAAATTGTTAAGCTGCTGCTTAGCTCGGATAAAATCGACGTCAATATAAGAGATAATAATGGCTGGACACCGCTCTGCTACGCTATCCACCATGGGCGTGATGAAATTGTTAAGCTGCTGCTCGGCTTCCACCTAGTCCGACGATAAAAAGAATAATCAAGAATTCCATTCGACTGAACCTCGTTCTATTCGGTTTCTGGTATTATCTAAAGATCTCATACCATCTCTACATTTAGTTACGTCAATACTAAATTCAGTATGGGCGGAAAGAGTCGCTCTTCATACCCAAGGTGCTATAGAGATATTTGCTCTGAGCTGCGGCGCAGGTGGTCTATAACACTAAGCAAGCATCAGACTACTCAAAACCAGAAGAGAGGGTTTCCCCATCCATCTCTAGAGCTTTGAGCTTTTTGTTATATATGCACTTTATTGAATCCATTACAATCATTCCGGGCCGCGTAGGCATATGAATTGCGTGGAACGGTTCCAGGTTCGCATGGTGCCAGATCTGCTGAACTGTGTGAATAAGGTATGATAACATAGTTCTTAGAAAGCTCCTCAAAGGCTTCACTTGTTATTGGTCCTCTCCCCAACCTCCCCAACAATTAGTGAGGGCGTATCACCGAATACTAGGAGGCTTATATGCCTCAGGAAATGTCGCGCAATGCGTCATCGCAAACATGTTGAATGGCTACTGCGGCCGCAGGGAAGGGAGCATTGCGAGTCTCTCGATCCCCTACAATATGATTGTCTAGCTACACCCAGGATTCGATCAGCTCTGCTGTAAGTTTGTCCGGTTCGAGGGCATTCCTTTGCTAAGCCATAACTAACCTAGCAGGATAAATTCTCGAACTTGAAAGGGCTCACAGTCTACATCTCAGAGAGTGTCGAAGGGGTTGATGAACTTTGCTGGTTGCTTCAAATCTATGATTTACATTTCTTCCACATCGAGGATCGGTGTTCCGCAATAGACTAAATCCATCTGATAGATACTATGGAGCTCCTATCTTGCCTTTGACCGTAGAAAAATCTCAAGGCACTAGCACAGATCGTTCCTCGCTGTGGCCAGCCCTTTGGGCTCGTATCCACCAGGTTTATGAGAAACAAAAACCTTGTGGTCTATGCTAAAGGTTTAATACCTCGAGTACGGAGAAGATGGGTGGCTAAAACGACTCCCAATCTTCAAAGAGCTTGAAATCCTCCACCTACATCATCTCCTCCAGCTCCCCAAGGAGATCACCGGTAAAAATATTACGAGGTGAGGCAAAGGTGCTGCAGCCGGTATTCGAAATTTATCTGTAGCCATAGTATTTCCATTACTAATCTATTCTTATATCCAAAGAGATTTGCTGGCTGATGGGATATATATATAACGCAAGCTACGACGTTGATACCAGGATTGCGACCATAGAGAGTTGGAGTACAGCAGAAAGGAGCAGTTTGCTTTGAAGATACGCTCTATGCCTGATATTGCTCCACAAATTGTCTTTTAACTACAGCGGCGTTAGAGAGAGCCTTTCTAGAAAATATATGATTTCATTCATCGACAAAAAGCTATACTAATATCTTGCGTCATGCTAATCTGTCCAAGCCTTAGGTGTTGAACCCAGGTAGTAAGTCCTCTGTTTAGCGAGAATATACTAGTCTCACCGGTATTCCCTTAATTGTATCACTTATAAGGTTAACTTTCCCATCTTCATCCAGAAATCTGCGCATTGGTCACAGTTATTTAACTTCACATCTCGAGGATGGGAGCCTTCGGATAGGTGCTCGTATAGTTCTTTTGCGTATATTTCAATACAAGCTATGTTCCAGCTTTTGATGAAGTCCTTCGCTTGAGCATATGTTCCGAACTTTTCACAATAAGCTCCGGAAAATTTTTTGGTCTGTAGCTCTGCTTTACTAGTTCAGGCTATTAGCAGTTTGTTCAACGATCGTTCAATCATTAAAGATCCATACCGCCAGTCCAAGTAGATACCTGGGACTCTACCATGAGCAACAGCATAGAAGCCACCATGGCCTAGCAAGGGAGCGGTTTGTCCGGCCCCTTCCTTTATATCGATTTTGTATTCCGTAATTCCGGAGCCTTTCATATATTTGCGGGCCTCTTTGAGGTTAGAGAAGGCCAACAATTTGGGATTGCTATATCCCACTATACGTGGATACGTATCTCCCCTACGAGAATAGAATTAGTAGTTTGTTATAAGAATTTATAAGGGGACGTACCAAGACGAAAAGATCGTAGGTTCGTTAATACGTCCGCGGACGACAGCATAATATTTCATATTGCCGCGGTGCTTTGGTGCCATACTAGTAGAGGAAAGGGAAAGGCAAGATGTAACGATATCTGAGGTATAAATGGAAGTTGTGGTGTTCTTCGCAGCCCGAATACCTCGAGTCCCAACGGCTGCCTGGTGCTGCAACTTATAAATCAGAGGAATCACCGTAGCAAGCCATATGTTAAGAATAAAGAGAATAAGTCGCAAGCCGTGCCTAAGTTGGGATGGCCACGGCTTTATAAGGGATCATATCCTTGGTGTTATATAATATATGCAAATGAACGTGGGACGAGATAATTGGCCCAGTCGACAAACCCCGCCTCACGCGCACTCAGCTGGCCAGCGAGGCTGACGCCTCACTCAGGCCATAAATATAATAGGCAGCAAGGGCGAAGTCACTCTCAAGTCAGCGTCATCCCGTGTCTTTCGTCAAGCGGCGGCCTGACTGGGTTAATGCATAGTGGCCCAAAAGTATCAAATATAACCAGTCTCTCTGCCACCAATTAGTGCGGGCTCGCCTTTTTGGCCGAATGGCAGATTCCGACAGTTATGAGTCCGGATAAGGTCATCCTTTGCTCGTTCTGGACGTAACATCTCGGGTTTTTGTGCTTCCTGGAATACTTCTATCTAGTTATCGAGCCAAGTGAAGACGTCTCTGGCCCTTGACCTATTTTTCGATACTTTGTACTTTTGTTCCACCTCGTACATCCTATCCTTGTCTGTTGGGCAGAGGCGTTTCTTTAATCCTTTTATTATCGTATATGGCGAGTCCTCTGCTCGGAGCTGATTGAACACTAGATAGGTAACTGTTAACATTAGGTGGATTCGGAATGTTGATAGAGTATTTCTTTTAATTGTTGTTCCTTATAGTCCTCCTTTAGGAACCTTAGCATTTCGAGCTGGTCTTCGGTGAGGTCTTGAATACTGGTTGCCTGCGGATTTGCATCCTTGTACTCGACCTTCTTGGGTAGAGTGGTGTACTCCGGTTCTGCTTTAAGATCTGGGTTCACCAGGTCCCAGATGTTCAATCGACGGGCTAGGGCTTTGATACCCCCGTACTAAAGGTGCTAGTCCCGTTCGCTTTTGAGCACGGTGATCCTCGCCGTAGTGGTCTCAGTGTATTGGTTCGCTACTGTTGATCGATATCAGACAAATGACGGTTGATATTGTTGATGCTGCTTCTTCAGGTTGACAGTTGGCGTATCGGAATATTCAAATCGGACGTTATTTCGATTCAATTTGCGATAGCCGGGCTCATAACTGTCGGAATCTGCCATTCGGCCAAAAAGGCGAGCCCGCACTAATTGGTGGCAGAGAGACTGGTTATATTTGACGGTATCGTAACATCAATCACGAGAAGAAGAGTCGACTTTAAGTGCTAACTCAAAAAGTTTAAATTTAAACTATTACTAATATTATTTCTACTAACTATGTAAGTTTATTAAAAGTGTACCTATAGCATGTTTCAGGGAGAATAACTCCGTCCCGTCTTTAGTTATATACTAAATGTAAAATTTTAGTTATATTTTCTATGATCGTAGCTTTATTTTAAAATATTATTTAAACTGAATATATAATTTAAGTCCACTAGAAAGAAGTCACGTGCTCAAAGTCAACCCCTCCGTGACGTCGCGGAGTTTTCGTTTTACTCAAAGAGAATTTCCATCTCTAAGAGCTATGATTAGACACAGAATATATAAAAAGCCCGACAACATGCTAACCACACGGTATGGCAAACCAACCGGGTAGTGAGCGCCAATCCGGCTCTGAGGTACAAAGCCCGCGCATGGCAGCCAAAGTCTTAACGTATATGCTAACATCACGAAGACGGGCGTCACTGATATAGAACGGAAAACACTCCGAAAAGAGGCCTCCGACACAATACCACCTCTGGCACACTGGGCTCGTGGTGCCAAATTCAAAATGGGTAAAGAATTAAGCCGGGAGACATGCATAGACGATCAACAGAATATCATGCTTGGGTTTTTATCGACGGCATCAAAAAACTAGTGCGTCTGGAATTCAACTTTGGGGAGACGTAACAAAAAAAAAAACATCTATGAGCAGGTAGCAGACAAATTCACTCGGTACTTCATTATCCGAGTTTCTGATCCTATTGCAGCTTACTTTGGGACATCTCAGGGCCCTACCTATCTCTACCCTATTCGAATTCACGAGCAAAAATCACCAACTATTGCTGGAATACCCTAAAGGTCGGCGAATATATAGAGATTCGGAGAGCCACATTTATAGTGACAGGTCGACTGCGTTATCATCCTGACCGTGAGAACTGAAGATCGTCGTGCGGGCGGGAAACTAGAGCAGTATCAATCCTGAGGAACTCAAGCGGCTGGTCACTGAGATGATAGAGTCTTATTAACGAAGCGTGTGAAGGGAAAGATCGAATAAGTCGGTGGGCTTGTCATTGAAGTGATACAGATCTGTTGGCTCTTGAGTAACAGCTACTGCCTCCAAATAAGGGTATTCAACTCCGGCCGTAGAAGTATAGCTAGAGGAGCAGCTAGACAGATCCGCTTGTCCAGTAACACGGAGACATCGAAGGACGGTTGAAGTGACTCGATCAACTCATAGGCCTTGAGGAGCGACCGCCCGAGAAATTCGCGATACCGAGTCTCATCTCCATTAAAGGGAAATACTCGACGGGAAACCACTTGACTCAGCATCATGTCGAACCCGCGCGGATATTGGAACTCTTTCACGGGCCAAGGAGATATCGAGACGTTGCAGACGCTCTGGAGTAGTGCCTCGGGGCGGGCCGTCGCCAAGCTCAAGGCTTATTTTCAAAACTTCATTTGCATTTAATCCTGTTCTAGCCCGCCTTTGAAGTTGTTGCGATGTGACGAAGCAGCCTTCGTCTCCCCTTCACGAAACCCATCCGTCTATAGTATTCGTTCAGTAAGTTGGCTCCCCTAGAGCAGCTATACCAAACTCCGGCGCCTATATCTAGCGACAACTGCTCGCTACCACCCAATTGTCGCCTTTAGAATATAAGTTTCAAAGATACTCAGGCCGCAAGGATCGAATTTTATAAACAGGCGGACTGAATGCTTTAACCCTGACAGAAGCACAACTAGCAATAGTATACTAACCTGTAGAAAGAATATCTATGAACTTTACCCTATCTACTTTATTTTAATCCATAGTCACGTCGCTCCTTTTATAGAGAGTTCTGAAGTATCTTCTATGCGCTGATTGGCGAGAGACGTGCAAGGATGTTCAGCCTCGTCTACTACAATTCGATGCTTCGTCTGATAAGCACCGGCTGGCTGCCTTTGAATATATGAAACACCCCAGGTGGCAGCTTGCAGAGTCAAGGCTGGCCATGACAGCACTCCCGGAAAACCTCGCCCACGTCGACCAACTGGAAGCGTGGGAGGAGGCCATGAACAGAGTCGACGGGGAGAAAACAGCAACATTCCAGGTGCTGAGATGGGACCGAAGTAAGCCAGAGCCAGCGCAGTCGAAAGGACGTCAACCAGCTAACCCAGCACAAAAAGCCCGACGATTCGAACATTCGATAGTCAACTATGTGGCCGACTTGCCCCCCCTGGCGAGCTGTGACCTGACGGTGATGTGAGTTGGTTGCGTGCATAGCCATGGAAGAGAGCGCTGGCTGACCGAAACGCCCAGCGCAGCGCCCTTCGACAGCTTCAGCTCAATCCCTGACTTCCGGGCCCTGATAGACCGGTACGATATCCCAAGCGGGTTCGTCCTGGAGCGAGCGCGGTCGGTGACGCACTCCTTTGGTGCATCGCTGGCCAAAGACGGTACTCACAGTGAGCAACTCGTCCACATACATCATGCTGCTGTCTGAATATCGGCTCAACACCCTGTACTAGCGGTATGGATTCACTTCCTCTGCACGGCCGCTTCTCCAGACGTCGCAAGGTCGGAATGGCTTCACTCCGCCGTCGTTCTGAAATGGTCAGCGGCCGATGGCAAACACCACGGCAAGGCTCCCGTTACCCTGACGTGCTTTCGGCCCATGCCAGGACTCGTACAGCGGTTCCATCAGCTCGCAGAAGCAGCAGACTGGACGGATGTCCTCCAGGACCCGTATCTACTGCTCGACATGGTGTTTGAGTACTGGTTCCTCTGCCTGGACGATAGCGCCTGGAAGACCAACGACTTTTGTCGAGACATCGAAAAGGGTGCGTTTCAAGGCACCAAACGTCTCGATGCCGGTTCCGCCAGCCCGCCGGCCGTTGATCTCCATCACGTACATACTATCGCCAAAAATGCAATCTTCATGCTCGAAGGAGTCGATGCGACGCTCCGGTCACTCGACGCTGCCGTCACCCATCACCAGGAACTATCCCAGACACGCCCGCCCGTATGGAGGGCCACGCATAGCTCCCTGCTGTACCGCAAGGAGCTTTTCCACTCGACCAGGTTGCGGATTATCAGTGTTGAAAAGCGGCTACAGAACATCATCAACCTCGTACGTATAATATTAATCCACCCCTTAACGAGCCAGGAGCCAGCCGTATTATGTACTTGTTTCTCACCACGCCGAACTCAACAGGCCTTTAACATGGATGCCATGCAAAACAGCCGCATCACGCAACGAGACAGCTATAGCTTAAAGGCGCTCTCTGTCGCCGCGACAGTCTTGCTTCCTCTTTCGACCGTTGCTACAGTTTTCAGCACGCCGTTCTTCGAGCCCTCTCGCCCGTCGTCCGGCGGCGAAAAGGAGGGAGCGGAAACGCTCCTGGTCAACCGCAAGTTCTGGCTTCTATGGGCCATCGCGGTGCCCGTCACCGTCGCCTTGATCTGTGGCTGGTGGTTCTTGGAGAAAGGCTTTGAGCCTGTGCTTGCGGGATGGGCAAACCGGATAGCACAGCTCGTAGCCACACGCAAACCTCAACCAACAGACGTCCTTCCCGGCCGGCAAGGTCGCCCCGGCACCGGGGACGACGGTAGAAGAGGCAGGATACACTCCTCCTCGCCGGGGGTTGAAAACAGGCGCTGAATGAGACAGTACGGATTACCCCGTGTATAACACGAACAGCCTCGTTACGAGGTAATAAGTGCACTATATAGACCCTGAATAACGGTTGCCATGCACCCTATCCTCTCCCATTTTCACGCTACTATACATATAGTACATCGTATGTTGTTGATGAGACTTAATAGTGTGGATGCCGAGAACGCCGCAAACTCTGGGCGGCGATCATGTTCATCCGGCTGAAGCTCTTTTCCTCGGGTCGAGCCGAGCAGCCTCTGTACCATGGTTGGCCGATGTATATGTAACTATGAACAAGAAAGAGAAAAGAAAAGCGTACTTGCCGCGGGCAGGCATATATCATACAGGGCTCCTCGACTCCCATGGCGTGATCCTCTGTTCCCAGCTCTGTTCTGTATTGCTCTGATTATCCGCCCTTACGTGCACCTCCGTCACCTTTGTGATCGCGTCGCCCTGATCCTCCGATGGCCCGATTATGGCCTCGCGGCTGCTGTGCGCTTCACTCTGCTGCTGCTTGCGCCCGCTATCATACACAGACAGCGAATAGCTGTTTCCTGCTGTCGCAGAGGAGCCGCTGTACATCCCGCTGAAGAACTTCTTGGTCTTCCCTAGCGCTGCCGCGCCAGGCGCAGAGCCGGTGGTAGCTGTACTGAGCGTTGTCCTCGGTGTGGAGTGTGACCAGGATTTTACCTTTTTGCAGTAAAGCCGGTATGAGGATGCTCTGTCTCCCCCGGAGGAGATCCCCTGGCGGATATATTTGATTAGCGGACCGAGGGTAGGCACACAGGCTGCGATAATGACAAGGTACTGCTCGACTACCGCCCAGGTGATCAAGTCGGCGGTTTTCCAGGGGTAGTCCGAACGATCGGTGAGCTGGGGGAGGTAAGAAGCTTTTATAACAGCTCCAGCGAAAGCACTATTTTTCAACATTGTCGCAAAGGTTAGAAGATCTCGCAAGCCAATTGCGCTCGGGATGGAAATTCGAGGGTGTAGGACTTTACACTAAACCTAGCAAGAGAACACTTGTAATAGCGATTTTGATGCGCCGTGGCATCTGCAGCCTGGAGACAACAAATATGGGGTACGCTGCAAGGACGAGATCCGAGAGGGCGGAGCATGCTGCGGAGTGATACTGTCAGTATACAGCCTCTCTTCCGTGTTGTATAGGCAGGGGGGCGAAGTAGTTCTCACCACTTTGGAAAAAAGTATAGTTCTTCAGGACACTCGGTTTCCAGCACTTGCCCTTGATCAATGGATTCCAAAACGCATCAGGCGGTCGGCACTGGCCCACTATGATGCCCACGCATCCTGTATTGACCACGGTGAGGAAGGCTATGGCTGCGTAGAAATATCGCACCTGGTGTTTTGCCCTCTCTATGATGCGTATGATAAGGAGCATGGCGGAGACCTTCCCCCAGTTTATACACATGATATGGAAGGGCTGCGACAGCCAGGTGTACTTGAAGATCTGTATAAGCTGGCTCTTTTCCAGGTAGACCTGGCGGCGCCCCAGGCCAGCAAATACGGCGACGGTGAGCAAGGCCGTGTTCACGCATCCGCAAGCCTAGTAACAACAATAAACTTATGCCATTTTCAAATGGATGTAGCAGAGGAGAAAACAGTATATACGTACCAGTGCCAGAACTATAAAAGCGTCATCCCAGCCGAGTTGCTTCGTGAGGTGGGAGCGTATCCACAGCCGTACCAACACCATCGAGGTCGAAACACTGAAGAGAGACCACATAATGGCCAGGATCTGAGATCCCTTGTCGTCACTTGGGAGTCCTGCTTCCATCGGTGCTTCAGTAAGATGGATGTGCGACTCTCCGACGGTCAGGTAGCGAGGGCCTCATCTCGCTAGACTTTGGACAAATCTTCGTGGACGCCCTCTGGTTATAAAATAACGAGGAAGCGCAGGACGGTTGAAGGCTTATAAGGGGGTAGCTATAACTGCTCAATACATGCTATAGCTCCGTGACTAGTCATGAAAGCGGGAAAGCCACATGAGATCAGACCTTTGCTATCACCGCCACTTCAGCCTCTTGGTTGTAGCAAGAAGAGTTTGTGACCCGTCCAGGCCATGTGAAGCTGTCATCTCAGCTGTCAAGGCTATTGGACGCTGGCTCCGGCCTCGTCGACATGGATGCTCCACGGGATGTAGTAACTTTGGCCTCCATCACACCGGAGCAAGTTGACAGGTAGATAGCAGGGTGACCCGCGTAAGACCTGTCGATGTTGTTCCAGGTAGAAACCAGAGCAGTCACAAAAGGACTCGTAGTCAAGAAGTTGAAATTAACCTTGTATTATGAGACGGTTCAGTCATATAAACGTTGGAGTAATTATATCGAGTATGCAATCTTGATCCGGCGACAACATAGTCATTGTAGTCTGCATCACAAACCTGCAGGTTGATATAAGATAATACCAGCAAAGGCATTGTTGATATTGTAGAGCTATAGAGGTAAGTTAGCAGATGCGGCATTCTCAAGCATAAAAACTAGATGTAGGCTGAAATAACGTACGCCGTTGCTGCCGAGGACATGGATGCACAGAAACCTCCTTTGTAGATGCAAAGATGCTGGACGTTGAGCATAAATGCTACAATGGCCAACGGTTCCCGCGCATCTAGGACTGACGGCCCATCGCCCGCAAGCGGCATGTTGTAACGACGAAGGTTTGATATATATCAAAACCAGGCGCATTGATCAGGGCTATATCTTTTTACCTATTATATGCTGAAAGGGAGAAAAAAAGGATAACTACTTGACATTACGGCGAAGAATAAATCAACGGTCACAAAATATATTATGTCTGTTCCAAGCTTGTTTAGTTAATAGTACCGTAACGATGGGAACCCTCGCTGGATGCGTTTCCTTTTGTGATCCTGTGGCGACGGCATCGTCCCCCACCACAGGTCGTTCAGGCCGTTTATAAGAGGGATTTCCCTAGGTTTCGGTCCTCCCAGTAGCTGGTTGAACCCCTTGACCTTGCGTGTGAGCCTGGTAGGCTCGGTTATCGCCATCTCAATCACCTCCCAAAGAGTGTCGGGAACTATCTCCACGGGCACCTTGAAGACGGACTGGTACCAGTTCTTCTCATGATGGGGGTCATCGGGATCATACGGATCATCGCCATGCGGGTTCTCTTCGGTTGACTCCATGACAACAAGTAGGAAGGGCGCTTCGTCACGCCAATGTAATGATTCCGTAGTGGGGAGAGGGTTAGAAAAGACAGAGTCAACGGCCTCTGGGCAGGTGGATAGGAACAGGTTGTAGTCCATGCCTGCCGGCACTTCCTTCTTGGCCTTCTCATACCACTCACGGAGAGTATTCTCGGTAGCACCGTGAAGCTCTTTATCTTCGATCCAATGAAGAGTAAAGAGCCTCCGTGCCAGTGCGACCTCCTCATACTCATGCCCTCTATGGGCACCCACCACTCGATCGAATGCGATATTTAGGATCTGTTGAACTAGTGTTTTGAATTCAACCCATCTCTCTTCGTTGTCGTATAAGACCGTGCGGAAGGCAACAAATCCCCAAGGGCGGCCATCGAGGCATCTTTTCCGTGATAGCTTGAGGAAACCCGGTTCCTCATATTCCGGTGGAGGAACGCCCTCGTCTCGTAGCCTCTGATCCTCCTGTTTCTGCCACCTTCGTCGCTTGTAGATCGTCATCCTACGCATACCCTCCTCCCCAAGGACTTCCTCCAAACCTTTGAACATCTTTGTTCGTTCATCCTCTGATAAAACTGAGAAATCGGTGTTAGGGTCACTAAAACGCGCCCAATTCCATCCCTCGGGCCAGTAAGAGCTTGACGCATCCGAGAATTGTTCATCGGCAGGCCGTTTTTTGCCGCCAGATGACTGAACTGTGTCTGTTGACATACCGATGTCTACCCACGGAGTACTTTGCGCTGTTCAACCGAGTGTTGGTGGTGTGCACTGCGGAATGGCATCTTCTTTGCGGCGCCTTGCCAAATATTTATATTAAGCTGGAGGTTTCGAGAGAATATTCCAGCTGCCAATAGCTCCGAGCAAATAAGTATATGTGACGGGCTAATGGTCTCTTTTTGATATAACCCCGTTGGCACTCAGGCTGTTGCCTAGTTATAGTCGTGTGGCGCCCTAGGTAGACCCATTCAACGGATACAGCATTGAACTTCTGCCTTCTTCCAAGGGCATGGATGGCCTTGTTTGCAAAGAATTATTCGCTGAGATGCCGACCACTTCCCGGCTCCCCGGGAACTCTTGCAGCCTTACTCTGTACATAGCAGTAGATGTAGTTGGAAGATACTCCATAGAGACTAATAAGGATGATATATTTAAAACATTTACTTACATAATAATAATATTGATGGATTAATATAGGTCACGTGTTACAATCAAAGATTAAGCTTCGCGTCGAATATTTACAACTTTTATTTACGTCTTCAACATCTTTTTCAAGCTCTTGACGTCGATATCTTTCTTTTTCTTGCTGTTTCACTGCCTTGAGAGCCATTAATCCCCTATACGGCGTATCTGCCATGTCTCTCTCGCAGTATATCGATCTATCACAGCAAAGTCTGGTTTGTAAGTATCTACTCGGCACCACTTCCACCCACAGCTTGCTTAACATAAGTACCATTACCAGTGTCTGCTGCGACAATTGCCTTCAATCCACTCTTCTGGAAGTAAGTATCTCTCTTTCTTCCCAGAGAAAATACTTGGATGCTAACTGCTGCAGTATTGTTGCCCGTCAAGGTCTGTCTGTCAATACTACCCCCGCTCTGCCCCTCCACACATCTCTCAACTGAGAGCTTTGCAGTGGGAAACTGACATATTGTGCGCCACCTTGCTAGAGTACAACAACCATTTCTTGACTAAGATATTCGGCAATAAATATAATGGCTGCTACTTCCTAGCCGTCACCATCTTCTCGCTAGGTATAATTCGTGATCACCTCTACAATGACGCCCTCAAAAACCAGCCATACTTTGCGCCTGTCCACCAGCAGTACCTTGCCTACGGCCTCTTCGCCACAGGCAATGTGCTGGTCCTGTCCAGCATGTGGGCGCTTGGTATCACGGGAACGTACCTCGGTGACTACTTTGGCATCCTCATGGACGCACCGGTGACTGGGTTCCCGTTCAATATCACCAGTGCCCCAATGTACTGGGGTAGCACCATGAGTTTCTTAGCAGTTGCCCTGTACCATGGAAAGCCCGCTGGCCTGCTGCTCACCGCCGAAGTTTTCATCTGCTATAAGATTGCCTGCCTATGGGAAGAGTATGTTTGGAACCCCTGCCTATGAACACCTAAACTAACCCACGCACCTAGGCCTTTCACGGTTGAGATCTATAGCAAGCGTGACAGAGAAAGATCTGCGTCGAAAAAGGCTGGAAAGGCCGCGTAAGAGGCCACCTGCTTGCGTTTATTCCCTCAAAACCAAGGCTTTTTACCTGCTCTCTCGTAGGAGGTTCTACGACTTCCTTAAAAGTTCAACCTCTCGACATGGCAAACCTGGATGGGTTCCTCGATTAGGCAGCCATCAGTGTTTTTGTCGCTGTAATTGTACTCATACCGTACCCCCATCTATCTCCGAGTGCTCTAACCGATAACCTGCTACTCCATAGCTCCTGACCTTATATACATATAGACATCAACCCCGGGTTTGAATTAGTACTAGAATATACATTTGTCACTGTTATTCATCATAACAGTCTTCTTCTATGCCTTGGTTGCTATAGTAACATAACTGGCAAAAGGAGTAGGTTAAGAAGCGAAGGGACATGCCAGATGGCCCAAGGGTTAAAACCTGTACGAGTACATATCAGATATATTGTGTTCCTTTCAGGCTCTCCGACCTCTGCCTCGTTTGCCAGTCGGCCTCCCCTCGTCTAACCCTTCAGTCTCCTCTTCATCCGCGCCTTTTCTTAGATCCTCACCCTCTGCCAGGCCCCATCGCTCTTTATCGTACCAATCTTCCCCATCACTCATCTCCCCAATATGTGCTTCCGCCTTGCACCATTCCCACACCTCTTCTTTCATGCGATGAGACTTCCGGAGCATCTTAAGCATTTCGGTAAACAACCGTACACTTTCTCCCTGTTTTTGTATATATGCCCACAGCATACGCCGCGTTTCGTCAGCCTCGCTCTGGGACAAGCCGCAGTTTCTCTCTTCATGTGCTGCTATCCGTGGCAACTTAAACACAGGATCAACCTCCAGAGCAACATTGTTTTCGTTTGTAAGCGCATTCGAGGGTAGTTGTTCGCCATTTATCCGGTCGTGGGAGTTAATATTCTGGCTCGCGCTCACCTGCGCTCTTGTGGTCATTCGGTGCGGGTGAAGGAATCCATCATCCGACATGACCTTGTCCTTTGAGGATGACTCTAGTTGCGATCTTGCGTCAGCTTGATCGTCATCGGATCGATGGCCAGTTGGTTCGCCTTTACGGTTAGCCTGGAGCCCGTCTTCATCATTAATTTCTCCTTCATTCGCATCCGCTGATTGCATCATGGCATCACCATCAAGATCTTGCGGGTTACTTGAAGCCTGAGTCAATCCGCCAATCCTTGCATTGTTGCTGTTTTTATCTGCGGGAGTGTCTCCGTTATTACCTCCGAGCTGTTCGACTTTTGTGCCGAGAATATCTTGATCCAGAGATGTTGCGCTCTCACCCGTTGGTTTAGGGGCGGGAGGGTGTGTTGTGAACCCCCCAGAAGAAGCCATAGGTTGTGAAGTGTATAACGCAGATGTCGAGGCGTTATCAGTTGTACTGGGTGACATCCCGAAAAGCCCTGGGTCGTCATCTGATTCCACCGCACCACAAGGTACCCATACGGAGTCGGTGACGAGTTGTCTATAGACATTTTTTGCCTGCCAGAGCGCATGTCGCTCGAGACGGAGACGTCGATTGATACGTTCGACCATTATCGTAATCGCTTTATTAGTGTACGCGTTGGCCATGGAATGATTGGCAAGCTCCGAGGGATGTGTTAATGGGGAAAGAAGATCTGGAAATTTTATAAGGGTAAGATGATTAGCCAGGGGTAATAAAAGTCCAAGTCGCATGTCAAATAATCATGCGCATAAAGGTATCCTACCATCTAAGTGAGTCGATGAAAATGGGTTATCATCAGTAGCGTCCGCGTCAGCCGCCGCATCAGAGTCATCGAAATCTAATTCATCCCCTTCCGCATCGTATCGTGGCGGGTTGTTTTCCAGTATGTCTCGTTGGTATCCTGAGTGCTCAGCTTTCTATGCACAGTTGAGAATATCAGAACCAATGGAAGTATTCAGACGGCGCGTATTCCAAGCATATTTGCTTTACCTTTCTATAAAACTGTGCATGGTTCATGTAGCCTAGAGCACCCTCCCGGACGAACTCTGCATTCAGCCTGGTCTTATTTCCTCGATTGGACGGTTGGTTGATCGCATCATCGTAAGCGGCATCTAGCCCCAGAAGAATACATTGTCAGCAGGAATTCAAAACTGATAGTACACTATGGAAGGAGGATATAACCTGAAGTGTGTCGCAACAGAGCCCTCTTCAAGCCCACGATGGTCTCATCTATCAAGGCCGCCTGAGAAGCCATGGAGCGCGGCTGACAGGGGTAATAGGCCTATAAATGGAAGTCTGTATAAACCTGAGATAAAGGAGGTAAAGAATGGAAATCCCGCTATAAGAATCAGAGGTGTGGTACTGAATCGGACGTGCTTTCAGGGTAATAATGGATATGAAATTATCGAAGAGACCATGGAAAAGATAGTTGAAGGGTCAGCGGAAATGGGATATAATGGCAATAGAGCGCAAGGTCATGGCCAACCAATATCGTATATCATTAAATTCACATCCTGCTGAAGAGATGCGTCTTGTTCAAGTTATCAAATCCTTTTTTCTCTCTTCTTCTTCAAAAGTCACGAAAAAGCCGATGATGAAAGCAAGGCGGTGTCTGTTTCTGCCACCACGTGATATGCTAGCCGATAGACGCGCTCGAGGTCGCTTAGAGATTGGATAAGCACACCCAGATCTCTTGGCATTCGTCATACTTCTATCATATCACTAACACATCATACCTTCACTATTCGCAGTTAATTCTCGAAGCCAGTGAATATAGATTTGCCTTTTAAGAACATCGCTCCTAAGAGTGGATTGCTAGTAATAATCTCCCTCAGCGAAGATCCAGACGTGGAAAATGCTGGTCCACGTACGTATTTTCCTCATAGTATGATCAGTCATTACTGCCTATAGTATGGCTTGCAAAGTCCACTTTCATCTATGATGCGCATTAGCCATGGATTGTTGAGGTTGTCGTCTATTTCTATGACAGGATTCTAGGTATGGAAAATTTCGCGTATTAGCATCTTGGTTGGCACAAGTGTGTATCTGAAGATTCTCCCTGCCTTTCCTTTTGTTACTAACTATTAGATGGCGTTTCAAGGGCTTCAAGTACCCGATAAGAGCCAGACACCTATCCACTCCAAAGCAGCCAGTCTTTTTATCGAAACAGGTTGGGCCTAATCCTATTCCAAACTTAGCAGAGATAAAGATCTGTGGCTACAAGGCGGTTCTCCTGAGGTACAGCTCGTCCTTTTAATCAAGTTGGCCCTTGGTTTCAAAGAATAGATAGAACGATTGAGGTACACTGGATTGTGCTCGAACGAGGCTATTGCAGACCGAGGTATGATATGAATCAACGATCTCTCTATCAAACGATACTTAACTGCAAATTGGTTCTCTTGCCCGCATCCAACTCAGCTACTCAAACTATCCAGACGACTCGCAGCCAAATTTCGGGAACCGGCTAAGCCACCGGAAGAAATGCAACCGATATGTGTCAACTCTTGGACTGTTTCCGTGTCATGGCAGCAAAGATGATGAGGACAGTGGGATATTCTCCAGTAGGATACCGGTGGAGGAGCTTCAAGTTGAGCATCCAGTTTGAAAACAGCGTTTTCTTATATTATGTTCCATAATGATCTGTGACCGTTGGGGATACATTTATAAACTGTTAGATTTCTTTTTTTGACAAGTATCTCTATGATCTCAACCACTATATCACTGCACTTCTCAATGCAATCTAAGATAAACCAGGCTAAAGACAGATAGATGAGGCAGCAGCAACAAAGGTAGACACTTTTACCACTAGCTATACAAATGAAATTTCCACTTCTTTTTCAGCATAGAATTTTGCGATTGAATTGGCATACAGAGGCTCCGTTCGGTAGTAATGCAATACTTGGACTTTCATCTATGAGTACAAAAGGCTGGAGAGTCATAATGTTTGATTGCACTTCAGCCTGAATCCCAATAAGGCGCCGACTGAGCTGCTGCTAGCAGTTCTCTAGAAAATCAAGCACGTAGATAGATGAAATGCCTACAGTTGAAAGAAGCGATACTTCTCCCACGGAGGGGACGTGATAAGTAGAAAGGTTTCATTATCGTTTGGCAGAGTAACATGCTATCAACGGTTTTGACGCTCCCCCCAAATATCAACAGAGCAGGAAATATTTTTCGGGTAAATGAATTACTCTTCGACGATGTTTCCCTTCTCTGAGACGTATATTCCGTCAAGGAACTAGATAGCCATGTATTAGCCGGCATATCCCGGGAGATGTTAATGAGGACCGGATGGCTCACCTTTCGGATATCCTTATTTCTGACACGGCATATCTGTTGTATATCGGCAGCACTCTGTGATACGTCCTCGATGGAGTTTCCGGACAGAACGATCTCATCCTTGACGTTGGTGGAAGCAACAACGTCAACACCCTTCTGGCAGACAACACGACGAACAACCTTCTCGCCCAAGAAGTTACTAGAAAATGAGACAATAATTCGTTAGTATTCCAAGCTGATTGTGACCATAGATATACTGGTTGTGTTCCAGCGTGTAATTCTTGGTTTGAAACATCGCCCGGCGTACAAACGTACCGGATCTCAAGCTCGACAGCGCCGCTCTCCTTGCCGGTCTCAATGTTCACATTGATGGGGAAATGGGCGTAGACGTAGCGCATCTTGTACTTGAAGCCACGAGTGACGCCGATGATCAGGTTGTTGATGATGGTCCTGACGGTGCGGAGGGTGGCAACAGCCTTGCGCCCTCCATGGTGAACCTCGATGGCAATGGTGTCCTTCTTGGGGCGGCTGAAGCAGACCGAAAGGTGGGAGAGGTCCTTGACCAGTTTTCCTGCAAATTTTCAAATCCAAGTGTAAGCGCATGCGGGTGTAATTTAATAGCCGAGCATCTTCATCGCAATTCTTCAGAAGGAGTGGATTATGTGTGCGTATGTGTGTTTGTGCATTTGTGCGTCCAGGAGTTCGTACCTCGAGGTCCCTCAACCGTGACGATTCGAGATCGAATGTGCAGGTTCACTACATGGCGTAAAATATCTCGTCAGTAACCATGTCCACGCAAATAAATGAGAGCGAAAAACACCAATCCAGCGCATCAATCTGGCCGTGTAATTCGCAGCCGGCGCCCTGGCATGCTGAGCGGGCTTCCAGCAGCCATCCTCCAAGACGAGAAAAGGAGGCTCACCATTTTCTGGGATCTGCAGAGTCTCCTGGGAGTGTATGTAGAGCATCTTGACTCCGCCTGTGAAGCTGACCGAGCTGGAAAACGGGAAGAATTGAGATGTTGTCGAGCGTTGTTGCGCTTCGTCTTTTTTTCTCCTTCGTTCGCGAAGTTCGACTTTCCACTTTCAGTTCGCTTAATGTTTTTTTGTCAGCAAAAAATTGTTTGTGTGTCGCTTAATTTCCGTTTTAAGACTAGCGCCAATTATTAGTAAGCGATATACTTTCACGTGACTGGATTCCATTTTAGGCAAGCAACTCGTTATTATACAGAGAAGAAACAACAAAAAAAAAATAACAAAAGCAATGCAGATGGCCACGAGATGCATGTATGTATGAGATGGGCAAAGTTTGTAGAAGGCATATGTGGTTGATTTAGGGCTCCGGTCCCTCTGTCTTGCGTAGAGTCGCTGTCACTCGTTTCCCGCCCAGGGACTGTAGCTTTGTCCCTAGCTCCCCAGACGTATACAATGTCTCTATCTCGTCTCCTCCGCCGATGGTCTTGCCATTGACGAGGATGTTGGGGACTGTCTTGCGCCCAGTGTTTGTTGCCAGAAGGCCCTGGAGCTCCTTTCCGAGTGGATGTTCGTCCAACTCGACAACAAAGGGTGCGGGAGTAATGTCGTACTTCTCAAGCAGATAGAACTTGGCCTTCTTGCTGAACGGACAATACGACTTGGAGAATATTATAACTAGATGTGACCATTAGCCTAGCATAAATAAACAAGCCTCAAAGCAAATATATATAGGCCAACGTATAGACCTTAGGCGTAGGAGCAGGAGACCAACGCCATGGATAAGATGAGAAATGACATGCTTACTTGGAGATCTCTTTAGGATCGAATTAAGCTCTTCCTTCACACTCTCATCCCGGCTTTCGGTGTCTTGTGTCTGCGTCTCTTTCTGATCCGGAATCACCGTCTGTCTTGCAGCATCTGTCTTGTCTACCTCTGTAGCGGATCCATCGGTGTGGTGCTCGTCCGGCCGCAAAGATCCCGGCTTCAACTTCTCAAAGACACTGGCATCGTTCCCTTTGCCATGGTTCCCCGACCCTTTAGTGTTCACTATTCCTATTTTCGAGGAAGATCTCAGAGCCTGCGAGCGTCGAACATCCCCCTGCAATTAATCGAACAGATTAGATCGGAGTCCTTTTCCAGGTGAACGATCACTCAATTGGCAGGCCAAACGAGGGTATTGGATATGCAGACATACAGTAAAATAGAGTATGAAACAGACAAGTATGGCGGCTGAGACAAGATACACTCGAAGGCGACGGTGAGAAAGCATCGCTAGGATAAGAAAATCATACAGGCTGTGTATTTACTAGCTCTTCAAGTCTGCTTTATGATATGGTATATCTTCATATAAAGCACGACGCAGAGTTGGAGCTGGTCTGCCTTTTATATGACGTTGAAACTGGATTTTGCTTGTAACACTCTAAATATTTAGTTAAGCTATTTTTGCCCCTGATCCGTTTTCTCCTACACGAACTTTACGTCAACCACTCTAAGCTCACAAGATGTTCGAGACGGCGATAAGCATCGATAGTGTTGGTTCTACAGGACGGTGTTGTGTTAGCATCGCAGGCCTGTCATGGTTACGCTTATTGAGGCAGTCCTTATTGACCAAAAATCACGACAAAATTAAAAGGTAAAAAGGTATAATTATTCAGGATGATATACAGCTAAGGACTATTGATATGTACGTCTGGTGCAAAAAGCGGACTGGGTCCTGGGATGTACTCATAGGTACGAATGAAAAAGGTATTAAATACATGTATAGAGAGTACAGGGTAGTTGGCGAAGAGTTAGCGGAAGAGTAGGCCTTGCAAGGGTCGGCCAGCCGTGAATGGAGGTTGGACGGCGTTGAGGGCAGGGAGCCGGTAGTAAGGGTTATTTTGTTTGGGACGTAGAGCTACTGTACAGCGACAGCTGGCTTCGCCCCGTCTCTCCGCCCTTGCACGACAATGGTCCAGTCTTCCCACTCCTTTGCAACCTCCATTAGCACATTACCCATCACCGTGGCAGATGCCATCAGCCCGTGGCCTTCGCCCTCAAGCACCCTGACTTCACATCGCCGCATGGTCTTGCCTAGCCATCGGACGTTGTCGACAGGCACTCGTGTGTCTCGGGAGCCGTGATGGATGACGACGGCACGGTTGATGTCGACGTACCGAAAACCAATGGCCCGTCTGCGTTCCAGGCAGATTAGCAAGTCCACGGCAGGGTTGGCGCAGCTGGTGGCAAGCTCCCAGATCGCATGGGTCAGGCGCTTATCGTACTCAGACCGCCGTTCCTTCTCTGATATATAGTCCGAGTCAGGGGTTGGACTAGTGACAACTCTAGACGGGCTAGAAGCCAGTGCAGCCGCCGCCCCTTCTTGGGTTGGAAGGGGAGGATGTTTTCCTGGAGTTGAGCTGGAGGTTTTGTGTTGACCGTTTGCGGTACTGGCACCTCCAAGGTCCGCTGGAGTAGGCGTTGCCTCCCTTCCCATCGTGCTTCGGCGCTTTGGTTTGCGCGAGCTTTTCGGCAGGCTGCTTGTGATACTCGCGCTGGTCGCGGTCATGAACCTGGAGTTGGCAACCTTCAGGATGGGCGTCGGTAGAGCCCGTAGAAGCCGCTGAGAGTAAGGGAGTGCGGTGGCTGGAAGAGGTTCCTTGTGGGTGCCCATGCCGCTCATCTGAGAAGGGGGTATCCATGGTGCAAGAAGATGAATGCGGCCCCGTATATGGTGAGGCATGCGTAGTGCAGTAGCCAACGCATATATGGCGCCGGCGGAGTGTGCAAGCATGGAGAATTTGGAGATTTTGAGATGTTTGCATATCACAGCAAGGTCATCTGTAGATGTATTTAGATTAGCCAATAAAGCAAAGATAATATACCGCAACGACTCAGCGAGAGGAACACTACATACCAGGCCAGTTCAAAGGAGTGCCCGTACCATCCAGGCAGGGTTCACTCTCTCCGACTCCAGGTCGATCAGGCGTTATAAGCCGCAGCTTCAGCGTCCGTGCTAGTTCATCGTAAAATGCCGTGAGATATCGCGTTAGTCCCATACCAACGCAGCAGAATACAACATGGCCGCTGGGGTCTCCAACTTCAGAAAAGGCGATAACACGCCCTGTCTGCGGGTGGCGCACTTTCTGTGTGAGTTTTGGCGACGTTATATACGCCTCAACTGCCTCTTCTATCACGTCAGGACTTGTTGGCCGAGTGTTGGGATCCGATGAGACACGATGCACAGTAGTAGGTGAGTCGGAGTATGTCCTTCTATGACCCTTCATATCAGATGCCCTGCCGTGCTTGTACCCTTCGTCATTCCTAGAGCGATGCGTTGTGGGGACTGCCTGCAGATTCCCAGCTTTGGGAGCGAGAGGTGTACCTCGCTTGCTCACAGATGGCACTCTCCGAGTACTGACCGTGGGCGAGGGTGCGCTGTCACTAAGATCGCCCAGAAGTTCATCCACCTTCGACAAGTGGACCGACTGGGCGGATGCTCGCCCGCTGGGTTTTGTGCTATCTGGGGGTGGTGTAAGCTTCTCATCAATAATCATTCGATCCTTGATCTTTTTCTGCTGATCCTTAATCTCTTTGATCCGCTGGGTTACCTGGTCTGCTTCTGCATTGACTTCTGTGATTTTTTTATCAACCGAGACATCCTTGCACGAATAACCGCTATACCTCGCAGAGCGACGCTTCTTTGTCGACGATCCATTGTAGCTGTGTCGCAGTGAAGATTCTCGAGCAGGAATACTTCTGCCACTCCCAATGCCGCCGGGAGCCAAGGGCGAAGACTCGGGGGTTAGCGTCTGTGTCTGCTTTAAATTAGGCGCAGACTCCCGTCTTGAATCGCAAAAACCGCCTGTTCGTTTCTGAAGCGCGTTGCTGTTGGCTCCATTTGATTCCTCCGCGAGGTCTGCCATTGAACGAACGGACCGCAAGCTAGTGGTAGTGGCTGTATTCTGGGAGTTGTTGGCCAAAGGGCCATCCTCCACGCCCAAACGCTCGACGACGGTTTCCTTGCCCCTTGTACTGGCAGAATCCCGCGACGATCGCCGGAAGAGACTAAGCTGGTTCTTCAAACTCCTCCTGCTTCCTGACGACACAAGGCTGGTGGTAGACTTTCCCGGTCCAGGTTCCAGGCGAACGATTCCAAAATTTGCCAAGTCGTCGTGGCCGGTTGCGGCCGAGCCGTGAGAGGCGCGTGAAGGGGGCCGTAGAGATACAGAATCGTCAGCGTTGCGGCATGAATGGTACGAGACCGACGAGCGAGGTGACCGTATCGAGGGCGCCGGCTTCGACATCCTGATCACTGGCGACATTGCCGCATCGTAAGGGTGTAGGAAGGGCACCTCGTGATCAGCTGCGGCGGCCGCCTTGAACGAGCTGTAATCCATATCCGGGCCATCGAAGCGGCCATTCTGCATAGACGACGGCGAAGGAGGCTCCGTCTGCGAGCCTATCCTCGGCAAGCTCTCGAAATGGGTTCGAGCGGGCGTGGAGATGGTAGAGAGCGAGGAGATGAGGGAGGAGATAACTTCGGGGGACGCTGGGGCGATGTGTCCACGAGACGAGTGTTTTTCTGGCGCAGGCGCAGAACCAGCAGACAACGACTGGCGTCTCGGGGAGGTATCGGGTGAATGAGCATTATCGCGTCTATCGACACTGTTATCCATTGCGCCCGCTTGTCTCTTGGTGTTTTTTGTTTCTTTCTTCAGGAGTATTATAGAATAGGAGGCCGTATTATCAATATCAGGTTGAATCGTGCGTCTGGCTTGGGAGGTCTAGCACTCGATATAAAACGACATCCCACTCTGTCATTATTGCTATATTATTTATTTGATATTTTCAGCGACAGGACACGATGGCAAAAGGGTAGAAGAAGAAGCCAACCAGCCAGGCAATCGATGCTCCGTCCAAAAGGGCTCGTCCGTCTCTCTTGTATGGTTCGTTCAGGTCATCGTCTGGGGAAATCAATGCCTGTTTGTTGGTTAATGACTTAGTGACTTCGTAAATAAAAATGGAACTTCCGTCTCTCGGCCAGCGATAATTGGCCTGTCAATCCAAGCGCAAAGGCCTAAGAAGAAGGGGAAAAAGCAAAGAATGTCTTTTCTTTTCTTTGCTATCTTTGAAGTCGGACTTTTTTCCCTTTTTTTCCTGGATATTTTGAAGGCGGAGTCCACGTGACCTGGATTTTTTTTGTTCTTCTTTTTTTCGACGTCAAGAAAAGATGAAGTAAATAAACAAGACGAAGAGAAGAAGAAGAAGAAGAGAAGAAGCAGAGAAGCGAAAGAAGACGAGCTTGGAGATCAAGAGCTTCAAGAGCTTCCAGGTTGGAGAGCTTCCCCGGGAGATCCAGCGTTTCATCTGTCCAGGGGTTATGCTGGTTTACTGCGCCCAATCAACCACGGAGGATCGAAGCAATCAGACAGAAGATGCATCGCAATCTCGAGATTATAATAGCTTGCCGCCTCGAATAGGGAGCTCCCCGCAAATAATCTACTCTTGATGCTGTCTGCCGACCTGACGAAGCCTGCGAGAGATATAGCCATAATAATACTGGAGATTGGCCAGGAGGGGGATTGGAGACGGAGGACGGACATACCTCGCCATGGATGCGTTTCCCGCCAGTTATGTCGACCACAACCTTCCGCTGGTTCTTCTGTCAGGCCTCAGCTCGCAAGAGGAGTCCCTGTCTGCAGAGCCAGAGCCTGGCTTTGACGGCTCGGACGGCGGAGTTTGCATCTTCTCGGATTTTCCGCCTGTAACTGGTGCCACTGCAGATGGATTGCTAGCTTCCCTGCTGGCGGAAGATGCCTCAGACTGGCCGTGGAACGCGAGATATTTCAGTCACAGGTCAAATGGAGTCGGGTTTAGGATTAGGGCAGCCGCAAGGGTAGATACTGTACTCTCCTTTTTTTCCCCCTTATCTATATAGCTAACCTGGTGGTAGACATACACCCTCCCCCCACAAAAGGCTGTGAGGTCTACCGCTACAGATACTACTGCTACTGCCCAAGGCCATGAAGAAGGGCTGGGGGCCCCTCTCGTCCTCCATTCGCCGCTTTCCCCCCTGACTCCCGGATCCGAGGTCTTTCCTGATGGCATAGTCACTCCTAGATGGATCAGTAAACACCAATGCCTTGTTCCGGCGACGTTCATCAACTTCTTTCCCCTCACCACCGACACAAACATGGCCTCCCTTAAGGATAACCAGCTCAAGATAGAGATCAATAGTTTAAAAAGGGATTGGGCCCAGTCAGGGTATAAAACTCGATTTATCGTCGTCTTCTTGTTTGAAGACGGGCCCGTTTTAGATGACGCCAATTACCGTATCTCGAGTATTAGAAAGGCTACCGGCCTGGATCCTAGGAACGTCTTCACCCTCCCACCAAACCCAAACCCAGTCGATATCCAGAGATTTGTAAAGTCCTTAATCTCCGCCCTCCAGGGACCTGCAGTGGAATACTACAGAGACTTGTCAAAGCATAGCCGACGGAAACGAAACCGGAGCAGTATTCCACCTCCAACCGCCCCCCCGACGAGCGGGACGTCACAGACTCTGTCCCTCCAGGGTTGGAATGTTCGCTATGAGTTCAAACTGGGTGTCTTTGCTGAGTTTCGTCAAGAGATGGATGCTGCCTGTCACAACTACGAGGGTGCGTACGACCTCCTCTTCGGAGAGGAGGTGTTTGGATCGATTGCTGGATGGAGCCCAAAATTTAATGACGCCCGTATGTTCGCAGACGTGCTTGCTTTACGGATTCTACGGTGTTACTTGTGGGTTGAACAGACCACACCCGCCGTTCAATTCTGGAATGCGCATAGAAGGCGGATTCGGGATATCGTTACTCGCAAAGGAAAAGGGACAAGTAACTACGGATGGGAGGCCTGGGAGGTGAACTGGTCCCTGGTGATGGCACAACTACTGGATCGCTCCCATCTCGCTAGCTTTATAGGCCGTGGGAATCCCCCAGGCACCGGTGGTGATCCAAGAGAATCAGTCTACATACTCTCTGAAAAGGCGGTCCTTTCGGGAGAGCGAATATCTCCCTGGGATTTTCTCCACCACCGTGGCTACTGGCTAACACGGGCGGCTAAGCATGCCGCTCGTCGGAGGCTCCTCGCTGAGAAAATTCCACGGGAGGACCGTTCACCACCAGACCAGTCATCGGGATCACAGCGGAAAGCCTGGTCTAATGTCTATGACACATACCAGGCTCCTGAACCTCATATCGAATACCCCCTTGTTGACCAACCAGGCACCAACTACTCAAAGCAAATCTTGGGCTTTCTAGGAGAATCAGTAGCCGAATTCGCAAAACGAGGCCAACTTCGTATTGTGGAAAAGCAGAAGTTCGAGATGGCTAAAGAGTATATCCGCCTCGAGTCTTGGGCAGATGCCCTTCAGATTTTGCGACCACTATGGCTTCTGCTTTCTTGGAGAGACGAGGGATGGTGGAACTTGATGGAAGAATGCGGCTGGTTACTCCGCGAATGTGCCGTGCGCTGCGGCGATTTTGAGACAATTTACCGTATAGATTGGGAACTAATGAACAAGAGTAGGATAACTTTGGTATCTACTGGCTACTTGCTTAGGCTACCTACTAATTGGAAATATAGATTTTGTCAGCCGGCCTGACTGGAAATATGATATACATCAAACCATCGACGAAGTTTTACCCGAAAAACCTGTGATAGTTTTGAAGGATAAAGATGTTGCTTCTTGTAGTAAGTGGATTGTCTATATACTTGTATCTCCTCTCACTCAACTTACCGGTTGTTCAGTCTCGACATCTTTCACGTTTATTTCATCAAGGGGAAACGTAGGCGAACTCCTTGAAGGCCAGCTCGTGCTTCGTTCAGATAGTCGCAGAACTTCGGCGCCAATATATCTCAGCGAGGTTAAGATCACTTTTGAGGGTTGTTTACCCCCAATTAGAATACTAGCTGATGACGACGCGGAGGCATCTGAAGCTTCCCACACGCTTTCGTCGGTAGTGTTAGGGGATGCGGTATCGGTTCCATCTGATGACCAGACTCCAAAAGCCTGCACAGAGATGAGAGGCAATGCCAATCTTTCACTTTTCGCAGGACAAACAAGTGCGGTCACCCTGACTTTGGTCCCCCGCGAGGCTGGCCATGTTCGGGTGGCCTCGATTACTTTGGTGGTGGCGGATGATAAATTCGGCCTCACTTACACTAATACCAACAGTTCCTACCCACAGCCTAGGCGGTGGACTAAAAGCAAAGGAGGCGCTATCGCGAGGCGGATTGGGAAGGATAGAGATCCCTCATATTGCCATATCCTGCCAAAACCGCCAAAGGTACTGATCTCGGTCCCCGGCCTTCGTGATATGTACTACTCAGGTGAGAGAGCAGGGTTAAATATAAGACTTGACAACAATGAGGATGCAGCAGCGACAATCGTTGTCGAGGTAAAGCTCAGCGGACGGTCAGAGTCCCTTGCTGCAATAAGCTGGCTGGATGGCGTTGACTCCGATGAACAATCTGAAGGAATGTCAGCGTCTCAGACAACGGGAGCGACTACTGGTATTACAACCCAGACTATCCGGCGCAAAGTAGCTGAAATAGGGCCAGGCGAGCACACCGTCCTACCAGCGGTTATTATCGAGGCGCCTCACCCGATGCAATACGACTTGGAAATAAGTGCGTTTTATCACCTTAACTCTGATCCGGAAACTCCAATATCCAAGATGATCTCGCTAGATCTGCCGTTTATTCAGCCATTTGAAGCGAACTATAAATTTCTCCCTCGACTACACCCTACGCCGTGGCCTGACTTCTTCCATATAGACGAATCGAAGGACTCCAAGGAATGGGACAGGCAACGGACCAACATGCAACAACGATGGCTGGTGAATTCGACGTTGGTGTCATTTGCACGGGAGGCTCTCCTCATAGAAGATGTTGCGCTGAGAGTCCTGAGCGAGGTAGCAGGCAAGGTGTGCTCCATCACCTCGGATGAAAGCAAACAGCCTGAGGATAGGAGCATTGGGCCAGAAGAACCTTTGAGCACCGATTTCATCGTCGACATTGAACGTCTTGCGATAGATGACCGCCAGTCCGCCGCTCTGACTTTTGAGCTGGATATCAAATGGCGTCGAGGTATCAGCGAGCAAGATGTTTCTATAGCAGACGCACCCGATCCCCTGCCGCCAAACGTATCTCTTCCTCCAGAGACCGCGACGACATCCCTGGCCATCCCACGGTTTGTTATACCGATGAGCGAGCCTCGCGCTCTTGCATCTTTAGGCGCGACCACAGGCCTCCCAGGTTTAATTCAGATAAACTACACGCTAGAAAACCCGTCTATGCATTTTCTGACCTTTAGCCTGACGATGGAAGCTAGCGACCAGTTTGCGTTCAGTGGACCCAAGTCCCTCGCGGTGCAGCTTGTTCCGCTTAGCCGGCACACGGTGCAGTACAGCCTACTGGCGACGCGAAGGGGCGTATGGATACAACCGCAGCTCATCGTAGTAGACTCATACTACAACAAGACTTTGCATGTACTGCCGACAGACGGCATGAGAACGGACGAAAAGGGGCTCTTGGTGTGGGTGGACTGACATCTCCATTCCGCCGCACAAGCCCTTATCAAAGACAAAACAGTTCCCCGGCAAGGAACAAGGACCAACAGCTTCGTCTCCATCTCATCTCCCAGCCGAGCGCCCATCAGCTCGCAGATACGAGGTGTGGATCCATAAACTGTGGCTTGATAGCTGGGGCATGCAGCTTTCCATCCCGTCTAATGGCTGGCGATTGTCATCAACTGTCCAGGGATGGTCCCAGGGCGAAGCTCACAGGCGAATCCTGGAGGATCTTCAGATTCTCTGTCTCTTACATAGTAGACAGACCAACCCTCTGCAGCCATCGCTCTCTTGAGCTCTCGAGACGGAATAATCGATTTCAGCCCGTATACACGAGCACTTCAGCCTTTGTCCCATATGTACATACTCCAACGAGCGAAATAAACAGTAATTACAGGACGTAAGAGGAGTCAAGCTGTCGCCGGCGCATAAAACGGGTATATATTAAAATATTTGCTGTTATTAACTATATGTCGGTAGTTCCACCAGTTGTTGTCGTAGCTTCAGCTCATCTTTTTTCCCTCCAACTTCTTCCTCTTCTTCTTTGCAACAAAACATCAGCGACTCGCACACTGAACGCCGAAGGAGTCCCTGAAGAATATTACAAGGAAGGGATATAACTAGTATACTGCTTGAAACCGCACTTCAGCCTCGATTTTCGCGACCCTGAAGCTGTCCGCGCTCTGTTTGTTGACACTTTGCCCGTACAACCTCCCCTACAGGCGCAAGAAATCGCCCAGCTAACTCGAATCGCAAGCAGTCTCTGTAGCTGTCGCAGCCTTCTACGGCCAGATATCTCGCTAGAGACCGCGACTCAATAACCTCGTCACTTGTTCTTCCATCAGCCATGGAGATGGAGGCGCCTCGGATGGTCGCGTCTCAGGAACCAGAACCAGCCACAACAAACACCAATCCCGGTGCGCCTCTTCATGTATATGTATCTCTTGACTACATAGGAATACCGTCTGCTAACGTGAATTGATGGTGAACGTCTAGCTGGCAATATGCGCCCTGTCGACACTCGGCCAGGTGAAAACATGAATACTGCTGGCGCTGGCGAGATGCTAGCTGTGCCTGAGGCTAGCTCCGTCGAAGTCCTCTGTGGCCCGCTGCTGAACTACAAGCATATGTGCGCCGATGCGAATTCTCGTCAGATATGGAACGGAAGTGTTTTGATAGTGACACGTCCGCGCGACCAGCCGCCAGTGCTGCAGCTTCAGTGCCTGGGAGCTGTCTCGAACGTTCAAGGGCCAACCGCCGGTGCTGGCAATGTCCAGCCCACGGTCGAGGGCGTGAAGCTGTTCTCCAACCCAATATCTGCGTTCTGGCGGTTCCGCGTTGCTGTGGCCCTGGAGAACTACGAGGCTCGATGGCAGTATACCATTCCTGGCTTCCGTCATGTCGATGAGAAGCATACCATGTCCTCGTGGAACTTCATCGTTCCGTCCGTGGACGATTCGATGCGTATCATGTTCCACTCCTGCAACGGTTTCTCTGTCGGCACCGACCTTGGCCATTGGCAAGGTCCTCTTCTCTGGCATGATGTCCTTCGACTGCATGCGCAGAAGCCTTTCCATGTGATGATTGGAGGTGGCGACCAGATATACAACGATTCCGTCCGAACTGACGGTCCGCTCAAGGATTGGACCGACATCTCCAACCCTCACAAAAGACGTGCGCATCCGTTCCCAAACACCCTGAGGGCACAGTGCGATGAGTTCTACTTCAACAACTATGTAAAGTGGTACGGGACGGAACCGTTTGCAACCGCTAATGCTCAGATCCCCCAGATCAATATCTGGGACGACCACGATATCATTGACGGATTTGGCTCCTACACCGACCACTTTATGAAATGCGCCGTGTTCCGCGGACTTGGAGGCGTCGCCTTCAAGTATTACTGTCTGTTCCAGCATCACAATGCACCTCCAATGTCGACCTTCACGACGGATGCTCCTCAGACTATGCAGGCAACAAACGGGACTGCGGGTATTGACCAGCGTCAGCTCGAAGGCTGCTACGTCTACAAGGAACCTCAGGATGAACACAGCTGGATAGTTGGTGCTAAGCCTGGCCCATATGTCGAGGAAATCAGTAGGAATCTTTATATGCGCCTTGGGAAGCGCATTGCCTTTGCGGGGATTGATGCGCGCACTGAGCGAACTCGACACCAGGTCAACTACCCCGAGACGTACGATGCCATCTTCTCCCGCCTGGACAGGGAGTTTGCTGCCGCCAATGGGGAGATAAAACACTTGATTCTCCTACTCGGTGTCCCAATTGCCTACCCTCGCCTTGCCTGGCTGGAAAACATTCTTTCATCCCCTCTCATCTCCCCCATTCGCTTGCTAAACAAGCGGTTTGGCTGGGGAGGAGGCTTCTTCAATAAATTTGACGGCCAGGTAGATCTCCTCGATGACCTCGATGACCACTACACTGCGAGACAGCACAAGGCAGAGAGAAGGCAGTTGATTCAGCGCCTACAACAGCTTTCCGAGCGCTATTCAGTTCGTGTGACCATTCTCGGTGGTGACGTCCACCTGGCGGCTGTTGGCCGATTCTATTCCAGAGTCAAGGATCATGTCCCCATCGACAGCGATCCCAAGTACATGGTCAACATCATCAGCAGTGCCATCACCAACAAACCTCCCCCAAAAGCTGTCGCCAACCTTCTTGCTAGCAGGAACAAAATCCATCACCTCGATCACAATACGGACGAAACTCTGATGAAGATTTTCAACGACCAACCCGGTGGCAAGGATAAGTCCTCTAGCGCTAATAAAGTGACGATGCCGTCTCGAAACTACGCTTGCATCACCGAGGTGATCGCGCCAGAAAACCCTTCTAACGAACAGGCAGAGCTCTCCAAGGCGCCAAGGGATGGACACGATCCCCTCCACCCAGGGGAACAGGATGCTGGAACAAAGTACCGCTCTGCAGATGGTGTGAGCAATGTGACAGGCAAGGCTGGAGGGCTGGATGTAGCCATCCGTGTTGAAATTGACCCGGCTGATATCGAAGGAAAGACGGAAGGATACGGATTCAGTGGTATGTTCCGACCTGTGGCAGCTCTCATCTTCATTCTGCTTGACATCCAACCTGCTAACGCTACCTTTTGCTGTTTATAGTACCGCCCCTAGCCCCCGCAGCTCGTCCGGAGTAGCCTAGGATGGACTAATACTACCACGGTCGTAAGAGAATGTGGTTCTACACGGTGATGACTTATTTCCGAGACAACGAGAGCAGTGTTTTCCTATCCCTTTGTCTATGTATCTCCAATTCCTATCTGTAATGTGTTATGTTTTATTCATCAAGCAGTGATTCCCCTCCAGCTATTTCCCTTCGGGCACTGAACTAATTATTATTATTATTATTCTACTTATGTCTTTCCGTCCCTATGTTATGCTGTCTGTACTACTAATGATGCTTACACTCTTATCAAAGCTCCCCAGCTTCTATGTGAGATAGAAAGAGTTACAGTTTATATATGATAGAACTACACTTGAAATCTATGTATACATACGTCCATCAAAAAGATTTCAGCCAGCTTTGGGGGTTATTCCTGCGTTCACGCGCTTTTTTTTCCTTCCACAGCAAACCCAGAGCTATCCCGGCACCGTAACCGGCCAGATGTGACCACAGATCAACTGCGAAGAAGCGAAATGCTGGTATGAAATTCAATAGTTCTCCTAGTATTATTGCGCACAGGAAGGTAGAGCCCGATGCAGATATTTTATCCTGCCATTCGCGCGGCAGAAAGGCTATGGTGAGCTTATCACTACGAGGTAGATATTAGAATCTGGCGACCACGGCTGGCGGCAAGCAGACGGTTGAAGACAAATACCACTTACTTTGAATGAAGGACACACCACATCGCAACTATGCCTGAAATAGCTCCACTTGCCCCGAGGGACGAAACGCTCAGGTGGTTTGATAGAACACGGATGGCAAAGGAGCCAAAGGTTGCAAAGGCGCCGGAGGATAGATAGGCTGCTATGAAGTCTCCGCGGCCGATCTCCTCGTGCACTACAGAATGTTAGTCGTTCATCCGCTGTACAAGAGGTCAAACCAGTCACTATAGAGATACTGGCTGGTAAATATAAAGGCAGTGCCTACATCTCATTCCAACAAACCATAAAATCAGCATGTTTGAGCCGAGGTGACGGAACTGCTGATGGCTGAATACACTGCCGATGACACTGGCAGCATGCGGATAGTACGGGACACTGACTAAGTATTTGTTAAGGAGTCGCCATGCGGGAGGGACGAACTTCCAAAGCACAAAAACACCCAGGTTCAAGCCTACCAGGGCTACCACAGTTGCTGCGGCAGGCTTGATATCCGGCCACATCCGTTGTTCACGCCGAGGTTCTTCGTATGTTTCAGAATACAGGTAGCAGAGCCCAACGGTCAGAACAACGACTCCTAGGGACGGTAGGAGGCGGCGTGCCTAGGTAGCGAGTTAACCGGACGAAGTTATCACAGGATAACGAGATAGTGCGAAAATAAAAAAAAAAAAAAAAAAAAAAAAACAAGCTGAAGGACTAACAGTTGTAAGGTTCGAAGCATCCGCATCTGTTGAAGTTGCTCTCAAGTGCTGTTGTTGAATCCACGCTAGGGCTGGCCGTAGTGTCGGGTCTGCGCGAGGACGGGCTACAAGTAGCAGTTAGCATGACGACTATCAAGCGAGAGAAAGCCAGAGGGAGCGGTTCTAATAGCTCACCTTCTACGAGCTCCTGTGGCTCGTACATTTGTATATCCTTGAACTTTTTTGCCTGCGCCTGGAGCTCCTCCGTCCGCTTTGCTTCGCCATCAAGCCATTCTTGCCTCCTTTCCTCTTCCGTTTCTTTGCTCTCTTTCATATTCTTCTTCCTGACTTCTTCGAGTATGCTGCTCCCGTAGACATCTCCCTCTCTGGCGGTGCTGGTACCGAATTTCCCGCTCTGCGGCTTGTAGAGTCCTAGTTCCTCTGCCCGTCGTATCAGCTGCTCCTCCTCCTCCTGCTCCTCTCTTTCGATTCTTGCTAGGATAGCTGCGTCCTCGTCCAGGGGATGGGTTCTCCGCAGCCATGCAAGACCGTAGTCTACAATATGCGGCGGAGCAACGCGGGCAATTTCAGCTGGCAACGGGAGATCAAGCGTCCCTGACAGCCGCTGCTCCTGGAGGGCCCGTAGGATCCGGTTACCCTGCTCTGCAGATATGGTGGCAGTGCCGAATATCTGGGCAATCTGAGGAGCCGGTAGGTCGCGTTCTAGAAAGACAGCCGCATGTCCACGGATTTTGGGGCCAGAGGGTCGACGGCTGGTGTTGTTACTACTAGAAGCTGGCGTCTTGGTGGAAGCATATCGTATTGCGTCTAGCAGCCGTGTCGACGGGGGGTATAGGAGGGGAAGCTGAGCTAGGAGAGAGGAAGACCGCGAATGCGCATGAACCCAGCGACGACATGGAATCCGCCATGTAGCACTGTTCATCTCCTCGCAGGCGGTGACAAGCCGCGAACCGGATCCTCCAGACAAGCCCAAGTGCGTTACCGGCGGGGTTTCTGGTATCAATCGGGGTGTCGAGTACCCAGAGAAAGCAACAGTCCTATCCGTATGTCTCTCTCCCCTTGAGCTTGTCGCTGATGGCTGAACTTTTGTGTCTTTCTTGTTGTTTCTTCTTCTTTTTGATACAGAAAAAACGGCGATTTCTTATCAGATCAAAGTCACATGACTGATAAGATCGAGCGCGCTTAGTTTGATATCAAAAAGTTCGAAGAAGACGAAGAAGACGAAGAAGAGAAGAGAAAAGGAAGAGAAGGCGAAATGTCTGCCGAGTCACGACCGATTGACCCTGCAGCCTTTGCGGAGGCGCTCAAGGATCTGCCGCTTTCATCTGTGTTTGCTAAGGTCGCAGAGCTGGAGAACTCGACCGCGCATCTCGAACGCTCCAACGTCGAGCTCAGGACGTTCGTACGGGAATCAGAGGGCGGAGACCGAGAATGCGAAGATGCCATCACTGAAAATGAAGAGGTGATCGGACGGATGCGCGAGAGAGTTGGTCTCGTCAAGCGTGAGCTGGAGAGAAGAGGAGAAAAATGGACAGATGCGAACAACGATGATGACCGGGGAGAGCCAGTTGAGCCAGTTGAGCCAGTTGAGCCAGTTGAACCAGTTGAACCAGTTGAGCCGGCCAGCGAGGGCCAGGGCAACGGCGTGTCCAACGGCGTGTCCAACAGCCTGTCGGGGGGCTCGCGCAGTGTCGAGGACGCATCTGAAGGCGTACATCTCTAAGCCGGGGCTACATCGGCAGCGATCCTCCCACGTTACGGATTCAGCCTGGATGGTTCCCTTGCCATCTATCCACGGATATCTCGTCTCCAGCCCGGAGGTTACAAGTCTATCCTCTATCAACTACAGCCCGCCGGGCTCTCTACCGGATGACAGCACTTGATATGGCTTCTCTCTACATGAAGTGTTTGTAGGAGCAGCTCCCATGTCTGCCAATGCCAGCCAATAATAGAGCAGCTATATCCAACACAAACGGCCGTCAGACGGTCCAAATTCACAGTCTTTGCCGTGTCAGACGTGTGTACGAGTAGAGAAAGACGGTAGAATCAAGTATTAAACGCCTCCTGGCCTCTATAAAACCATTCTAGTATAAAATGCGCCGTTGGAATATAAAAACCGGCGCCGACTTTGCTTCTTCCAACATCTCAAAAATAAAAAAAAAACCATGCGAGAGAGAGAAAAAGCCCCTCTCGCCGTCTTCGCCGTCTTCACCACCTTCATCCCCTTCGTCTTCTTCCTCCGTCATCCTCCTCCTGGACTCCGCGCCGACGTGGGCGCTCCTACGACTGGCCGGCTCTGTATGATCAACCGCCCGTCTCGACTCCGTTGCCCTTTTGCGCTTCAGCAGGCCGCAAAGCAAGCCCAGCCTATCGCCACAGCCAGTCCGTCAACCACCGCATGGCTGAGGCCGGAAGATGAACTCTCTGAACATCCTCTCGTCGCGAGTCATCGGCCAGGCCACTGCGAGCAATTCGTCGCGGGGCCGCTCGCATTCGCAGGGCCACATCCTCCGGCCGCGAGATGGCCTGGCCGCCAGCCGATCCTACAGCGAAGGGAACATAAACCACACAAAGCAGGCCGATGGCGCGCCAGACGACTGCGAGGAGCAAGATACCAACGGCGACGGCCTCTCCCTGCTGGCGCTGGGAGACGCTGACCAGAAACACGGCCTCACGCCGGAGCTGGAGGAGCTGCAGCGGCCGTCGACAGTCGCTCCGGGGACGATGATGCTCCCCATCACCCAACGGTTCTTCGACGCCCTGCTCGAGACGCTAAAGACCATACTATCGATCTTCGCCTCGCCCGCAGTTTACGTCAGTCGCCGGTTCTATGGCGGCGATGGCCAGTTCTCGGTCATGGAGCCGCTCAGGTCTCTGCGTCCCGGCGGCGGCAGGAAGAACGGTCCGCCCAGCAGCACCGACGAGGGCGGAAGCTCTCGTGGGCTGGACAAGGGCGCCTCCAAGAGCCGGTCCAGGGGCTCTCAGAAGCTGCGGAGCTCGCTGTCGAGCGAGTCGCTGTACACCAACACTTCAGAGTCTGAGACCGACCGGTCCCTGGCCGAGCCTGGCGTGCGCAGCCGGCATTCAAGGCGGAAGTCCAGCCTGGCCACGACCGACAACGACGAAGGAACGCCGAGGCGCTCCATCAGGATCAAGATACAGAACGAGAGCAAGCAGGGCCGCGAGCAGAGGCCGTCAAGGACCAAGCCATCCCCCCGTCGTGGTGACATGGACGGCAACCCGGTGGCCGACAGCCTGAAGTCGCCAGTCTCTCCCGCTGCCCGGAAGCTGACAAGATACCCCCATGCGCCCACCCCCCCCAGGCCGTTGGTCCCGCGCCGCCAGCCGTCCTATCTGTTCGGCGCACCTCCTCCCCGGCCCCCGCAGAAGACGCTCATCCTCGATCTCGACGAAACTCTCATCCACTCTCTCTCCAAGGGCGGCCGCATGTCGAGCGGACACATGGTCGAGGTAAAGCTCTCCATGCCGATGGCATCTGCGGCCGGGCCAGGAGCGTCTCCCGCCATCCTGGGCCCCCAGCACCCTATCCTATACTACGTCCACAAACGCCCTCACTGCGATGCGTTCCTGCGCAAGGTCTGCCAGTGGTACAAACTGGTCATCTTCACCGCCAGCGTGCAAGAATACGCCGACCCTGTCATCGACTGGCTGGAGCAGGAACGCAAATTCTTCCACAGCAGATACTATCGCCAGCACTGCACCGTACGGAACGGCGCATATATCAAGGATCTCAGCTCGGTCGAGCCAGATCTAAGTAAAGTTATGATTTTGGATAATAGTCCAATGAGTTATATATTTCACGAAGGTACCCTCCCTTCTCCCTTGCTCCTCTTCAAGTCACTAATGATATTTCCCCCCCAGATAATGCAATCCCTATCGAAGGCTGGATCAATGACCCGACCGACAACGACCTCCTCCATCTCATCCCTATCCTCGAGGCGATGCAGCATGTAACTGATGTCCGCGCCCTGCTTGCACTCCGACGAGGCGAAGCTGGCAGTTAGCTAGCTTCTATATTTTATGAACCGCCCCCCCTGTCCAAGGCTAATAGGGTTGATTTCCTATTAGCCCGTTATTTGGGTAATGCCAAAGTACCTCTCTATGTTTCTATTTCTGACTCTCTCGCCCTCTTCTCGTTTCCTGATAGATCAACTCCTCCAGCGGGTGGCATTGGGCGCGGCGCTTTCTCTTTTCTTCTCTCTCTCCATCGCCTTGTATCTTACCTGTTCTCGAGCTGTGTTTTCGCATTCTGCTGTTTGCCAGGCAGAATTTGTACAGTTATAATATCACTAGATTCTACTAATCGTTCTTCTCATTTTATACGCCCGAGGGCTCGTTGCATATAGTATAATATGACGAGGAAGCTGGCATATCCAAGTATCATATTAAGTAGCTAGTCTAGGGTACTTGCTCCCGGTTTAGTCCCAGCCCTTCTATACCCTTCTTTTTCTACATTATTCACTTCTTCACTTCCTCAAACACCTCCTTCAAGGCGACGAGGGCCTTGTCGATATCGTCCCGCCTGGGATCCGTCACACTCACTCCCATGTGGCCGAATCGAATGTACTTGGAAGCAATCTCCTTGTGCAGGCCACCAGCAAAGACTAGGCCCCTCTGGAAAAGTTTTGGAAGAACGTCGGGCGGAGTCAGGCCCTCTGGCAGACGAATGGCCGTCATGGCGTTTGCTTGGTTCTCCTCCTTGGTTGCTAGCTGCTGGAGGCCCATGTCGGACACAGCCTTCTTCACCCGCTGAGACGTAGCTCTGTGGACCGCAAACCGCTCTGCGAGTGGCTTGGAGGTGATCTGGGTAAGAGAGGTGTGCAGCGCGCGCACCAGCTGGGTGGCAGGCGTGGCAAAGTAGGATGGTTTTCCAGCCTCATAGTTCTGCATGATGGGCAACCAGTTCTGGATCGAAGCATAGTAACTCGCCGGAGGGGTGGCCCTGTTCTTTGCTCGGTCCATGGCACGGCCCGAGAGCATCAGGATGCTCAGCCCTGGCGGGCAGCCAATGGCCTTTTGGCCGGCAGTGAGTACCACGTCGAGATCCCATTCATCAAAGGCAATCTCCTCGCACCCCACCGAGCAGACACCATCGACGACGACCAGCGTGTTGGGGCTGACCTTTCGGACAACTTCCGTGACCGCCTTGATGTCACTCAGCACACCCGTAGAGGTGTCGACATGTGTCACGGTCAAGATCTTGTAGTCACGTTCCTGTAGAGCCTTTGCAATCTCTTCAAGCGACGGTCTATCGCCAATTGGGGCCTTTAGCTGCGTTGCGTTTGCACCATAGGTCTGCAGACAGGCAGCCAGTGAGTCCCCAAAGTAGCCGGTATGCAGCACCATGGCATCTTCACCGCGTTCGATCAAGTTCGACGCAACAAAGTCCCAGCCCAGCGTTCCAGAGCCAGCAATCACAAACGGCTGGGAGGCTGGAGCCTTGGTTTGGAAAAGCTGTCGAAGCATAGTCAACGTCTCGCCGAATATCTTGACAAAAGCTGGGCCGACATGGCTCTCTCTGTAGAAGTAGATATCAGCACCGCACCCCTAAGCAACTGGGCTTCCCCCGCCAAACAGGACGGGAGAAACAATTACAACATACCCGTACGTCGACATGGACTGAAGAACGGCATCGTCGAATTCAATCGGCCCTGGGATGAGGACCGTAGGATGGGGAGCTTGCGCAGACATGGCGGCGGTATCTCTGGCTCTGTTTGCAGTCAGATCAGGGAGCGTCCGCTGGATCGGCTTATATTCAACGTCGTCTGGCTCGACTGAGACGTTCCTCTCGGTCGAGAATGGCGTGTTGAGTGCTGGCAACGGGAGCTTCTGGTCGAAATGCCTGGAAATCAGGCTCAACCGCGGCTTTGCCTGTGAGGACGCCAGGACTCCGCTCGCCGCGGGGTACAGCCGAGTGGCGCGAAGTGCAGCCAGCGTGGGCAGCGAGTATACCTTGCGTGTATAATAGCTGTATAAGTATAATATGTGTATGCGTGTTGGTATGTTTGGGTGAAGATATCAAGGCGACGTAAAAGGCGGACGTTGATGTTTTCTCTTTTGGGATGTTTCGACGTTCCTCGCGAGTTGATGTTTTTTTTTTCCTTCAGTCGGTGTATCAGTATACATAGCGATATCAATATATAAATATAAATGCCTACGATCAAACTGTCTCCATGGGAGATCTCGCTGTCAGCGCTGTCAGAGCTGCTGTCGCGCTACGATAGCACTCTCGCCCGCGTATACCGTGACAAACTGGCCGCAAAGGCTGGCAAAGCTGCCAAATCGTCGATACCCAAGGCAAAAGAAAAGGATGTTGAAGACAGACTGAAGCTGTTCGTGGAGCTGGATGGCTGGCGTTATACCACTCTCCCAGCCATTCTGCTCGAACGAGCAGCCGGCAACGAAGACAACGAGAGCAAAGGAGAAACGAAGCATGTCAACGGCTATATCAACAAGGACGAACTGGTCCGTTTGATGGACTGGAAGCTGTACGTTCATTCCCTCCGTCGGCCTATCCTGCACGAATGATTCTTACTCTCTTTATATGCTAGAAAACATGGCTCTTTTCGACCTGCGCTTATGGGCTTGATTCGTTCGAATCCGGAGCCACAGGTAGAATCCATTAGCAAGGACGCGTTCTCAAAGCTGGCAGAAGCCGCTAGGGCCGGAGTCTTTCCTGAATCAAGTCTGCAGCTGCTCTGTAAAGGATTCCGTGGAGTCGGTCCCGCAACGGCATCCCTCGTTCTATCACTTGCACCGCATACCGACGCCTATCAAACGCCTTTCTTCAGTGATGAGCTGTACTACTGGCTCTGCCTGGACTTGTATTCGTCCGGCAAACGGATGCAAAAGCACAATCTTCCGAAGCTCAAATACAATCTAAAGGAATACCAAGATCTATGGGATGCATTCTCACGGTTACGCACACGCATTCAAAAGCTCTCTGAAGAAAGCAAGGCAGAACATTCATTTTCAGCGCAGGATATTGAAAAGATTGCATTTGTGGTGGGCCATCTCGAGGCTGCCAGCTTGGCCAGGGGTGATTCCAAAGACCCGTCAAAACCGGTCCCAGAACCTTCGCCTACCGGGCTCGATCGAGAAGATGAAAAAGACCAAGGCAGAAGGACTAGGAAAAGGAAGAGAAGGGACATCTAGGGTAGCATCTTTGGTGTATATACTTGTTCGCAGTCTTAGAATTAAAAAATGGCAAAGGAAATCCCCCTTATTTGGAATAAGTCGCTCCTGTTATTAAAGCTATCTCTGAACAGTATCAAATAAACTAGCTGGCTAAACGGTAAATGAACAAAATGAATGCGTGGTCTAAGGTGAAATCATTGGCTTTCCTATATACTAATTGTACACGGGGGTTCCCGGCCCTTGAGCTGTCACCGACCACATATGAACATGACGTGAAATCTGCGTCATCGTGAGGACAGAAAAAGTAATCTACTCCTGACCGAAACCAAGAGTCTCTTCAACTGCAATCGTAAGCTTATTCTGTAACGCTTCATATGTCTTATAAGGGGGTAGGTCGAGTCGATTGAAACTGTATTACGGGACTGTTAGCTGGCTATGATGATATCCGCGAGTAAGGGGTAACTACATACCAGGTGTGGGATTTTGGCAACGCATTAATATCCCCTGACTTCTCAATCGTGAATCTCCTTGGCCCATCGCTTCCCTGAAGGTCTTTAAAGCCGTTGACAGGAATACGGGACGTTCCGGTTGCGAACTGCAGTAATCGAGATTTCTGTTCTGCGTCCCAGCTCCTTATTACCTTCCAGAAGTTCTGAATTACTTCGTCATCTTCTTGGTACCCACGATAATCGGTATGTTTCTTCCAATCATCGATGTGGATATCGGCAATACCTCCGATAAGGAGTTCAAGCTCTCGCTCATCAAAAACATTAACAAGGTCAGCGGGGATAAGTTCATGGAACCCAGCGAGAAACGCATTAAACTGCTCCTCGACTCTCTTCTGGATCTTCCACTCCGTTACTAATCTATATGGTGAGAGTTCGTTAGAACCTGAGACCTAGCAGCGGCATTTTATGGGTATACTTACTCCACATATTGCTTTTTATTCTCGTTTGTAACCGGAATATTTCTTCCATTAGGAATCAAATCTATTGTCCTGCGCTCACCAAACTGCTCATCGTCAATCGAAAAGGTAAGTTCAATGATACCCTCAATATCGTTTTTACTGGTAGAAGGGTTAGTAGTGCCACGGCCAAATTTACGGGGTGTATGGATCCTTACAGGGTCCACGTCAGGTTTCTATGGAAATCTTCATCAACGCCTTCCATGTCTTGTAAGGTAACTTTCTTCCTCAGCATCATTTTGTAGAAAGCTCCAATGAAGAATGAATCCAGGAACCGACGGTGGAAAATAGCAAGCCCAACCACACGGCCAATGAACTTGAAATAATTCAAATGCTCTGGGTTGATACCAGAATGGGGATTAATTTGAAGGGTATAATTATCGTGGGCCGAATATTCGAACAAGCAATAAAAGGGATTGAACATTTCGTGGGAAAGAAGGAAGAAAAATTCTCTATATTACTTATCAGCGACAACATTATGCATAAAAGCAGGCAGAGGAGAGCATACCTTGAGAGACCACCATAATCTAAACCATCCTCTCCGTCGAATTTGATCATTAAACGCTTCTTTAAGTCGGCTGGGCTTTGCCTCATTATTTCTGCAAACGAATCCTCAAATATGGCACCACGACGAACTTTGACGTGGCATTGACCAGACATTATCCTCAAGCCTGGCTGTGACCTGAAATATATCAACTTGCGCCGGAAATCACGCTTGTATTGTGGAACGCCTTGGTCGAGAGACGACGGCAGCCGAGGGTCATCCCAAGTAGTGGTTTTGGTGTTATGGTCTACAAAGTACACTCGGGCGGTATTTGTTAATCGCATTTCCCAGCCACTTGGCAATGCACCCAAGTGATTAACTGTCTGTGATGCGAGATGATTACCGGTTTCTGGACCGTACATCTGGACATATTGCTGTTGCCGGGGGTCTACCCAGGTTGTGGTTCGTGTATTGTGATCAACATAATATGGGCGGCCCTCAGGGGTAAACCGTTGTTCCCATCCAGCAGGTAGTTCACCAGTCCCTGGAGTGGTCGTATTACTGGCCATCATGGACACTGCACTGGCAGTTGGAGCAGTGGGTGGAGTTCGAGCCTGCTGGGAGTCGGGCGAGTTTGCACCTGTGCGATCCTCCGGAAGCATTCTACTTCGATGGGCCCGGCGTTCCATCTGCATATTGGCTTCCATTTGAGTCCGCTGCGTCTGCTCATTGTAATTCTGTGCCGGCCGGTTCCAGGTAGTTGTGCGGGTGTTGTGATCGACGTAGTATGTCCGCCCTAGATTATCCTCCCGTCGCTCCCAGCCGGTAGGCAGCCTACCTTGGCTGTCTTCAAACGAGCTGCTTACATTTGCTCGAGCCGGGGCCGTGGGTTGTTGTGGTGAAGTGCTGACAGGCGCCACGGCTGCGGTTGTGGTGGAAGGATGTGAAGGTGTTAAATGAGAGGTGGAGTTGTTGGCCTGGGGCTCTAGAACGGTGGAATTTGGGCGGGGAGCGGTCGGAGGAGCCGGAGCAGACGGGGAGGTCTGAGGAATGGGAGCAGGCAAAGTAGAAGTGCTACTATTGATTGGCCGTGTAGCTCCGGCTTGTGACGTGGGAACTGGCGTAGATAGGTTTGTTGAAAGGTTGAGTATCAGCTTACCATGAACAACAAGGTTGTCGTTTGACTTTTTCAAATCTCTGGTAAGCATTTCTAAGATAAGGAGCGTCAGCCAGCCTTTCTTTCAAAAACCAATACAAGCCCGAAAAAAAGGGGATTTCGTACCATCGTCACCAATAGCAAGATCGATGACATCGCCAATACGAATATTGATCACTCCCAGAAAACCTTGGTCCTTCTTCTTGAACTTTTTCTGGTCAAATATTTGTATGGCAAGTATGCTATCCTCGGTGACTTTCCTGCGTGCCGTGTCAACATTTAATCAGATCCAGTGAAGGCTACGGTCCGGTATTCCCTTACAGATCAAACATCTCATTCCAGTATGGGTTCAATGTCTTCTTGATAACTGAGGTGGTATGGGTCTGTTCACCACCAACTGTTGCAACCGCAAAGGGATCCGGAAACCCTGGGGCTAACATGTCAGGATTCCTATTGTGTAAAAGGCCTCGAGGGATCTCGGACTCACGGAAAACATCACGTTTATATAGTCCATCGGCAGCGATAACTGCAAAGCAAAAAAAAGGGGGGTATTAGTTGTAGCCAACTTATCGCGGGGCATCTCTGTCTCTCTCTTACTGGTGACCCTAAGATTTGGTTGCCTAGATATAAAACAAAACGGCATTAGCAAGAAGGAATTCACTTCAGAAACAACAAATACATGGGGGAACATCACTCACGCTGGCAAGTTGGAGCCCATCTTTGCTCACAGGCAGACCCACGATAGGTTTTGACTGCCGGCTTCACGGCGTCTAAATCACCCTTGGAAGCTGGAAGAGTAGCATCAACCAACCCCCGCCAAAAAAACAAAAAAATAGACAACAAGAGGAGACGGGAAAGGCTGCAAGATGCAAGATGCAAGATGTCTCGCTGTCTGTCTTTGGAGGGAGAGGGAGAGAGACACTGAAACGGGATTCGACTCGAGCTGGTAAACTTGCTGGTATGGAGAAGAGGCGCAGACGGAGGCTGAGCACGACGAAGCGGTTCCTTTGGCGGGCCCCCTGGCCAATTGGTGCCTGGGAGTGTCGAACTGGTGGCAATCTCTCCACAGACAGTCAAGTAAATATATAGAGATATATATACAACAGCAACAGAGAAATAGCAGATTCAACAGAGCGAGAGAGAGAGAAAAAAGTCTTTCGTTACTTTTCTATTTGAAGTTTTCAAGATGTTTTTTTTATAATTTTTTTACTTCAGAGCAAAAAGGGACTTCCCGATGTGGACTAGCGCGTGGACATGTGACGTAGCTTTTTATATAAAGCAGAAAAAGCTGAAGAGAAGACGAGGAATAGAAGAGTAGAAGAGTAGATGAGTAGATGAGAAGAGGAGAGCAGGAGAACAGTTGAAGCCTGATTGAATATCGATTTAGTGCAGCGCGTTGTTTTTTTTACCCCGTCTTATCGCCGTATCATACACCAGCATTCCCAACTCCAGGTAGTAGTTAAAGAAGAAAAGAAAATAATATCAAACCAAAGAAGGCTGGTTCAATCCCAGGTTTTTGTCACTGTGCGCAATTGCTGGACGGCAATATCTCCCTAGTACGGTGCATATCCTCTTCCGCGGCCTCGGTAGCCGCCTCCTCGATATCCCCCTCGAGGCATTCCGCGGCCAAATCCACCACGGCCTCGTCCACGACCTCGTCCGCGAGTCATCCCGGGTAGGTTTGTGCGCTTTGGAACAACCTGTCGGGCGGGAGCACGTCCAATGTCAGTTACTGCCACTTCTTGTAACATCCTATACGCTTGGCCCACGGCTAAGGACTGACCTTTAGATTTCTTCCACGAAACAAGCTCTCGTTCAGGACTAGAGCTTGCGCCACAAGGCTGGGTTCGCTAAACTCGACGTACGCATACCTGCAACATACCATTAGCTCTCCCTTCTCTTGCCAGGTAGCGTGAGAGCCCGGGTGGGAAATAAAAAAAGGGCGTATCACAAGGGAGCAAATAACAGCGTCACAAAAGTAAAGGATCATAGAAGGTTGACAACATTGGAGCTGAGAGTGATTGGGGGAGGACTCGGGATCCATAGGCTAGACAGACAGGGAGAGACAAACCCCTTTGGATGGCCGGTAAATTTATCCAGCAAGATCGTGACTCGGTTTATCGAGCCGCAGCTCTGGAAATGAGCTTGAATCTCTTCCGGAGATGCAGCGTAGTCGACGTTTCCAACAAAGATACTTCTCGCGTCGATATCTTCCTTGTCTTCTCGCAGGTTCTCGGTCTGCTGGTCCAGTGAAGCTTGCATCTCATGCAGTTTCGCTGCTTCAGACTCCATCTTTGTCAGTCTCTCTCTCATCGCAGCAATTTCTTCCTACCGAGATAGATAAGTAGTTAGCCCTTGATCATACTGTTCAATAGGTGTGCTAGGAAGTTCTACTTCATCATCTCCGCCTTTCTCCTGGTTGTCTATATGCTCTCCGGCAACCTCTTCTGCTGTGCTAGCCATGGCGGGAAAATAGTGTAGTGGATAGCTTAAGAAACGCGATAAGTCGTGAACAGCTCAAAAATATCACAATATCCTTAATATTTAGATCAAGAGAAATAAAACAACCCCTAAGATGGAGACAGGAAATAGAAGAGTTAGCGACAGAGCTGGCTTGTTTAACTTCTAATGTCTTTTAAAGGGAAAAAAGTGATTTGCAAGTAATTAAATCACTTTAGTGGCAGATCACGTTACCTTTTCTTACCCGCTTCATAATTTTATACAAAAAGATACTAACATGTCAAAGAAGGCTGTATCAAAGGGGAAATAGATCCAAAGTATTCAAAAGTGTGCTTTTTGTTCTCTACTGAGTATATCAATTGCCACGAGCCATGAGAAACTAGCTAAGTCCCAACATCACAGCGGGAGAAAATGCAATAGATAGATATCAAGGTACAAGACCGCCATATGCTGCCTCGGTTTGGATAAGTTGGCCTGAGCCATGTCACATATAGTTAACAATACAAGCCTAGCAAACTTGCGTCTGGGTAGCAACACATCGAAAGTCCGAGTCACCATATGTTAGGCTTGCTTTACTCATCATGTACTCACTCAGATATGCAGCAAGGGAAGAGGTTATCCTGTGGATGCATTGCTATGAGACTGAGGTTTCTCGCTACTCGATGAGCCGGATACCACAAACGGGGCAGATTTTATATCGGAGGGTGTGGCGTTGGATGCAAGTGACGGGGAAGCGATGGTACTAGGGCGGTTCGTGGTTTCGGTATGGTAAGGCGCTTCGGGGGGTGGCGGTTTTGGAGGTAGATGGGAGGGAGTGCCCCATTTCGCAATCGAATCCTGGGCGTCAGCCTGTCTTCCGTAGGCTTGTTGTTGGCCCGTTGCGTTGGGGGGCGTTCCTTTGGATTTAAAATATTGGGAAGGAGGAGATGGATTTAATCCCGGCTTCGATGTATCTCTAGAATTTTGCCGCGAAGGGTTGTTGAATTGCGTGTTTGTGTACTGAAGAGCGTGAGTATTATTATCAAAATAAGCAGCTTGCGAATTGCCAGTTGGAGCAAACGATCTGTTTTGAGGACTAAACCGTGAACGTGAAAAGCTACCAGGTGCAGGATGAGAGGGCTTATTGGGTATAAATTGAGGGGACCCTAAACCCTGGGTATATGGGGTTTGGCCGCCCGCCATTGTGTTGGGAGGGAGATTTGGCCAGTGTACGGGAGGTGAACGTGCCATGGACTGGGGAAATCCAGGTTGGAAAGGAGCAGGAGTCCAAGCCGGAGGTGGTTGCGAATACTGCAAGTGACTGGGCGTGGAGTATGTAGGTGCCCTAGGAGACGGTACAGTTGCAGAACGTTGAGCCATCATAGGCGAAACCTGAGCAGGGTGCTGATACTGGGTGTACCCCCCTGGGTGGCCAGCTTGCCAGTTACTCTGGTTTGGATGCGATTGTGGCCCGGAGTATGGAAGCATTCCGTTCATTACTCCTGATGGAGCGTACATTGGGCCTGAAGGGCTCATTTGCGAGTAATGCATGCCAACACTTGGTGGAGTCTGAGTCATTACATAGTAATTCTGAGGCGGAACACCTCCATTATGAGACGTATTGTGATATACTGCTGGGCCACCCGCAAGTTGGGGGGAGGTGTAGTATGCGTTGAATTGTGATCTAGCCTCAAACCCATCGTCCTTTGGAGACCTAGGTTTGGATACCTTTTTCCGTCCTGCTCTGGAACTCGACCTGGAAACATCGGCGCTGTGTTCTCCACTGCCAGTATCGGTCGATTTCGATTCAGGGAAATCCCTGAATATACGCTCCCGCGCTTCCTGGTACTTGGCTTCGCGCTCTTCTCGAGTTAGATTGGCACGCTCTCTCGATGGTGTAGCTCCAGTCGATGATGTTCCCCCATTTCGCTCTTCATCGTGAGTAACATCACCCCCGGATTCCGAACCAGTTTTCGAAGGAACGGCTGAGCTTGTGGCAGTACTTCCGGTAGCAGAGCCCTTCTCACCGGGCTGACCCATACGGCGCATGATCTTCATCGCAGGGGCAGCCACAGATGGATTATTTCCGTTTGCAGGATGCAGCATCGTTAATGGAGTTGGCCTATGTTGTCTTAGTTTCGATGAGCCTCAGCATTAGTAATTTGGATACAACTTACAGCCTGCTCCATGGGGTTCGATGAAGCCTGACGGAAGTGACATTGTTGTCAACGAAATGTGTTAGGTGGTAATAGTCACCTAGCTTATGTGCAAGTAAGCGACCAAACGAGTTGCATGGTGGTAACTCTAAGGATCCTTCGCTTTAGGAGCCAGTTAGCTTGGTCGGCTGAAACAAGATTTATGATATAAGAGTTACCTTGAATTTTTGATGAACGATATAATCTTCTCTTCTAACTGGAGGAGTAGCAGACGGTCCTTTGGAGAACCCATAGCCTCCACAAGCTTTTCATCAGGTTCACTGGGAAATCCGTGAAGATTCTGCTCACTTTCAGATGCCGGTGTCGCCTCTCTAGGGAGAACCCCATTTCTCCGCAAAGCATCTTCATGGAAAGGCAAGGCATTTTTCTTCAACAGCTCAGGCTCTCTAAGCAAGGTATTTTTATGCAAGTCATCTCGATTTGACACGGGCGAAATAGAATTCGCCTGCGAGCTAGCAGTGTCTACAGCAGGGGCGAGATATTCATCTTCTTCCACCGCCTGAACACTCGCACTATCGTCAGGCCGTAAAGACTCCTTTTCATCCATGGCAAATGTGGTGACGGAAGCCATGCTTTTGGAATCAAAGCTGGTCGGTTTTGTGGATGAATTAGAGAGATGTGTTTGATCATCATCAAACAAACTGTCCGTTCGTGGCTGCCCATCCTCTTGAGCCCCACCGACAGTGTCTCGTATGGGCCTACCCTCTTTATCTTCCGAAAGATGAAGGTTATCCAATGTTTCGGCCAGGCCATTCCCATCTTTATCCGGCGTGGCGGGACGTGTAACTGGGCTCCGGACATCTTGGGCCGGGAGGCTATCGATATCTGCATTGCATCGACCTAACGAGCAGCTATTAGACCGAGAACCTTCACCGCGGTCGTGCGCCCGGGGAAGCTCAGATTCAGTATGAGGGTGCATTGCAGCAACCTAGAACAAAATAATATAAGTAAATACTGGTAATAAATAGCATAGGGTTATGTGGATTGAGGACGGATTTCCCCTACCTTTGCAAACGATGGTCGACTACCGGATTCTCCTGGCCTGGATGTCATTGCAATAACGAAGGGCAGGTGGCCATGTGAAAGGCAAGGAGGTACAGAGGATCGAGCGAACCGTTGTAGATAGATATCAACTGATATGTAATCAGGGAATAGAAATGATATCTCTAAGAAAAGCTAGGATGGACAGGCCCAGATACGGTGACGACATATCTCTGAGCTTCAGTATCCGGCATGAATAATGAGTTCATAGATATATCACGGCCTTTATTCCAACCATCCAACGGATACGATGAAACCTGCGCGCAGAGGCTGCCAATTTTCTCTCGCGGTGTGGGGGGGGTTGATAGTCGCAGACCAGACGGGGACAGGAAGAAAATGTGCCTCAAGTCATACAGACACAACGCCAGCGGGAGTCGCAGAAGAGCTGGCAGAAGGGCAAACTCCGTATACAGGCTGAACCGCGCAAGGAAGCAAGAGGACGACGGCGACGCTGAAGTGTTCGACTTGGAGATTCGCAAGGAGAAGAGGACGGAGAAGAAGAATGAAAGCGGTTTCTTTTACCCTTTTTGGCTTGTGGGCTTTTGCTTAGTCATCATAACCTCCACGAACGACGAGAGGAAGAACGACGCGGTTGATAATTATTGAACAACAAACTAGCAGAAGACGACGAAATAACAAGAGGGACGAGCTGGGAAGATGAACAGATATAGGAATATTCCAGGACGAGGTCCCCCGTCCAAGGCTACTCCTACCACGGTATGCCAGAAATGCTTGAAGAAAGATAAGTTCATCCCTTGCAACCAGCTTAATATATAGCTTATACTGACAGATCCTGTTTAAGCCATTACAGCTACGAATGTACAACACAGCTTCAGGAGAGGCCGTACGGTGCGAGACCGTCTAGAACTCAGCAGCTGTCCAACCCGCGGCTCCGGCCACAGCTGTCGACCGAAGTCCCAAATGATTTACTCAGAACGTAAGAATTGTGCCATAGCCTTTCTTTAGAGCTTTATGTTGACTTGATATTAAATAGTAAAGGGGTTGCTGATGAGCAACTAAGTCGAGCAAAAGAGGAACGGTCAAGGCTGAGTCCGAGTAGAAGCCCGGAAAGAGACTATGAAGGAGCTACACGAAGTTCAAGGAAAAGAGCTAGATCAGTGTCGTCATGCTCTTCAGTATCCACGATATCAACCAGCCGTTCACGGTCACCACCCGGCCGTTCGCGGCGAGATACGCAACCTTCGCGGTCGAATGCCCGTCCTCGTTCTCCAGCTAGAATGGCGAGGCCTGAGGCAAACCAGGCAGATCTTGGTTCTGATGGTCATGCAAACGAAATGCCACATCGAATTCATGACCAGAGCTCACACCGGTACCGACGGTCCCGATACTCGGACTCTCGGGAGCCAGACAGGCGTCGTGAGAGATCCAGAGAAGATACATCACATAGAAGCAGACGCCCAGAGAGAAGACGAGAGAGGTCCACCAGTGAAGACGAGGATCAACACAGTTTACCACGCTCGCGTGGCAGGGCGCCTAGACAACCTAGTTTTGAGGGCCACCCTGTCCGGCAAAACTCTCCACCTAGGCAACGAAGCCTAAGCCCGTATAGCAAGCGCCTTGCCCTCACACAAGCTATGAATGCGCATAGGTAGATAATCCTTGGAGACTTTTTTTTCGACGTTGAAGGGCTTCAGATAAGAATACTCCGTAATCTGCATCAACTCCCGCCAAATTCACCTAGATAACCGTTGTGGTACCAAATATGATTTCGAAGTAACCCCCCCCTCCCTTCCTGGGCCAAGGGGAAGGGAAAACTGATGTCAACGTGTTCCATATGATCATTAACTCCAGTCTTCTCCCTCCCTCCTCTGCTTAGTTTCCTCCTGCTCTCGGGTATGAATACCCTGGACGAGCATTTCACCGTCGATTCCGGCGGAATCTTCATCTCCATCATTGTCTCCTATGTGTTTGTCCTTTACCGCAGCCTGGGAATTCTGTATCCGCTGTCTGACAAGCTGAGCCATAGCGTTCTCCGTCTTAACGTCCAACACTCTCATCTTCTGCTCAAGGTCCCGCTTCAAGTCCCAATTAGGCTTCTTGGGTTGTAAGTTAAACAGGTCAATTGGTTTATCAGCGTCTTCATTTTCTTGCGCAGCTTGAGCAGTCGCCGCGGCGATTTCAGCTGCCTTGTCTTCTAACGTAACGGCGTCTCGAGTGGGGTCATTCTCAAATCCAAGCTTTGCACCCTTTGACTCCCAGTCGTAGTTTCGTCCAGACAGATATTGAGGCACGGTGCTGCCATCCGAGTCTTTCTGGTCTGCGGAATTGCTCTCGGTCTCGCTTCGTTGTCTCTTTAGGGACGCTAGTTTCGCAAGGCGAGCTTTGCGGTCCGCAGCTGCCGCATCCAGAGTCGTGTGTGAGGATGACATAGCACACGTATCGGTATTAAAATGCGTTTCCTAGAGAGCGATATTATGTGTTGTCAAGATGGTTGAAAGGAAACAAAATCTTGAAGAAATCCAAGTTTGTACCTTTTGCACCGCCACAAATTAAAGCCACAACAAGCAAACTTTCCCGTTTGGGCATTTTTGACTGAACAACTTTTTTTATTGTCGAGCTTCTTTAACGTCGACTATTCAATTAATAGATACAATCACCGCGATACGAACCGATATTGTTATATTTTGGGCACCAGTTGGCTGGTAGACTTGGTCTCAAAAGGTTCTGGCTGCTTATCATCCCATATTTTCCCTCAGTCTCCCCAATAAGTTATGGGAAACGACTCCATAAGAGACCTGACAGAGTTATGAGCCCTCTGGGCAGTGGGAGGAGAGGCCTACGCTCACAGCTATTTGATATTCTGTCAACCATTGCTCCTGTTGACTCTGTCCGGAGACCGCAAACCATATCAATTGCTCGAAAACAGCTCTCCTCACTCTCACCTTCGCCGAAATATGCTTCTACTGTAAGCAGCTGCCACAACGAATCGAAATCAGAGCTTTCATCTCCTCGGCAGCCCCATGATGCAGGCATTCGGGGCTCCAAGATATCATCCAGGCGGAATAGCTCATCACAGCGTCGGGAATTGGATGATAGAAGACATCATAAAGACAATGGAACACATATCATGCCGCAACAACCGCAGCCTCGAGCTAAACATATGCCTAAATGCGCAGAGGTTCACGTTCCTTGCCCAAACCAACGGTTGACGACCTCCCGCAGTGTTGAACCCCCAATTAATGCACCTTTGAGGTATCTAAAAGGCTATAATTTATCACGGCCACAGAGACGGGAATTGCGTGCGGCAATTGAAAGTGAATGTGCAGAAATTCGATCCTCTACAGACCGTGATGTGTACTCTGATGAGTACCTGGTCAGAGAAATGTCTCTCTATCCGCTTTCCCAAATTCATCCGAAATGGAAACAAAACTTGAAGACGCTATACGCCAATAAACGCAATAATGTTCCCGTTTCTGAAACATGGAAAATGTTGAGCACTGAGGATTCTGATATTGTGCCTGGGTGGATCAAGGGTATTTTGGGCTCTCCCCGCACCGCGCCTCCCCCTTCTACACGGTGGCGGCGCTTATGTCGAAATGAAGCCGCCAGGCGATGGCCTCTTATGATTCTGTGGCTACTGTTACATTCACCATTGAGAGCTCTACGGTTTTTAGAGGCTACAACCACCCGCTTTTCTCCCTCTTTCCCCATGGTTGCAGATTGCTTTATCTATCTTGAAACTTTTCATATTGCAGATTTTCTGAGCTCCCCAAAATCGAAAAAGAGGTATATTCATACATTGCGACATTGCCTCAGGCCAGAAGTCCTGCCCCACCTGTCGATGGGCTCACAGAGCGGGTTTCGGCTTTATCTGAAATACTGCGAGCCTCATATCCTATTAAAGGGCTTTAAGCACGTTATAAAACGTCAAAAGTTTCTCTCTCTGGAGACCTTACTATGCTTTACAGACCTTTTTACCAAGCAAGGCAACATCCCGGAAGCTTTGAACTCATTGCGCCTTCTTATGACTCGGTTTGAACCCCAGAAATATCATAAATCTCCAACAGTTACGGACCGGTGCTGCAACCTTTTAAAACTAGACCGTTACACTCGCAAAGATGATGGCAACATCACGTTTGAAATATTACCACAAATCCTGCAGATGGGAGTACAGCCTGATTTGTCTATATATAATATTGTGGTATCTAACGCTTCGAAATCGGACGACTTGGACACTGCGCTGCAGATAGTTCAGCTGATGGAAAGCCAAGGGGTTACACCAGACTCCCATACGTACCTATTAATACTACACAATGCTGTTCGTCTTAGGGATTATGAAAAGGTAGACCACATACTCCACAAGATTACGAAAGTCAAGACCCTGTCAACACATCCACATATTGTCAGCAAAACGTTGCATGCAATTCTATTACTCCCTAATAGTACGGGCCCAGGACAGAAAGGTGCCATGGAAACCTTTCATAAAATGCTTAACGTTTATAAAAGAGCACACCAATTACAGCCACTGGTCGACCTAGGGCTGGTTCCATACAGCCAGAATGACCAAGTACTTTCAGCATCGAAATCTCCCCCTTCGAACCAATCCCTAGGTATCATGATCACGGCGTACCTAAGGACGCAGCCTGACCCTGACAAAGTTTGGGAGTACTTTACACGCTTTCAGAAACTGGTGGCTAGCGGACATCCTCTAATTACACCTCTGGTTTCAACAGATTATGTCTTTAATAGCTTTCTCATGGCGCTTCGGTTTGAATCTCGGATGATACCGAACTGTTTCATGCTTCTCAAGTATATGCTCCAACCTCTCTCAGAAACAGCTCTCTATGTAGCGAGAGGCCAGGGCTGTGACCCACTTTCACCTTTACCAGCGCAACCATCGAAACGAACTTGGACGATATTATTAAATACATTAATATCTCATAACCAGATAGAGGCAGCGGAGAAACTTCACCAAACGATGAAAGATCGCGGAGTAGAAATCAATGATGTGTCCTGGAACACCCTCATCAGGGGATATGCTTCCAATCAGATGGTCGAAGCAGCAGCTAAAGCGCTGAAGGAGATGGAGAGGCAGTCTTGGAGCCCTGATGGTCACACCGTCAAGGCCTTGGGATTTATTGAGAACCAAGAGCTTCTTCGTACAATCCTTGATCACCTTGACTCTGAGTCTGAGTTGGAGAAAGGCAAGTCGGCTGTCGAAGAGTGTTAATGCTTGCAAGAGCATCGTGCATAATGTATTATAGGTGTATTGTATTATATATGATGATACAATAGATAATTGACACGAATAAATGACCCGCACGTAATATATATCTCCCTCCTCTTGATATCGTTTCTGTTGTCTACAAACCATTATTTCGTAGAATTATGGGTAGAGCTCATGAATTCTTTAAAAAGTAGTACTCCTTTAAACCACATACGCGCCAAATTTCAAGATAAACGAAGGAAAGGAAAAAGACCATGTATCAAGTGCCAAGTTGCTAATTCCCTAGGAAGAGGGAGATCTATTTCCCACAGTCAGAGAGGGATTGATTTTTACATCTTATGGAATCTAAACTTACGGCCATAATTATGCAGCAAATACTGACATATGGACTTAATCGCTCGCCGACCCGCGCACATTTCCAGAATATGCCGAAAAAGCTATGGGGAGTTAGCAAGGACAGAATCCAGGTATATACGGATATATAGTCAGAAAAAAGGATTAGATAGTACCCGTTTTGATGGCGGTCCATGATTCCAGGCATTATACTGTGTGCATAAGCACTTGTACAGATGATCAAAAGGATCACTAGTAGAAGAGACTGGAAATTAAACAGAGCAGCCTAGGGACTCAGTCAGATAAATACATCCCTAACACGGTATTACACGCCAGAATAAAACTATTAGCATACCATGGCGGTCGTAAGTAGACTCTTGATCTCTTATAAGCAAACTGCAGCCTGAAGGTGTCTTTTTGCCCTTTTATTTGTTTCTCTTTTTTCTTTGCTTTGAACGAAATTGATGGATCAAGGGACAATCACGTGACAAACACAGCGCTTGGCTCCGACTGTATTAAACGCGCGCTAAGAGGCGCTTTTGGCGATTCTCAACTTCTTTCGATCTTTCAACTTTCTCCATCTTCAGCATTTTCTGTGTGGACATTTCGTTGTCGAAGAGAAGAGATCGCTTTTTATCAAGCTTCTGCCCATCAGGATAGCCGCAAGGAAGAGCATAGGACGACACGGTCATGTCGGAACCAAGAGTGCGTCTGACAAGGCATCAGGGTCAACTGAGCTTTGGCAATGAAAGTATGACATAGTGTGCACGTCTTCCTGGGCCTCTGTTTCTAACATTTGATATTTGATTTAGTTCGACAACTGCTCTACGCCTATGGTGACACGACTCCTCATTCCAATTTCCCCCAGGAACCCAACGCTGAAACAGTTCGCGTGCTGGATGAAATTGTGACCGATTTCATTATTGAGACTTGCCACGAAGCGGCCCAGGTCGCCAACTATTCAAACCGACAAAAAGTCAAGGCCGATGACTTTCGTTTCATTTTACGACGAGACCCCGTCAAGCTCGGTCGTGTGCAGGAGCTATTCCGCCTTGAACGTGAGCTCAAAGAAGCAAGAAAGGCTTTTGACCAAAACGATGACCGATTGGGTGGCGGCTTAAAGGAGGCCTCCAAGGCGGAATTGGCTGACTTGGCTGATGCGGCTGGCATACAAGACGACACACTCTCAAAAGATGGCACTTCGGTCCCAAGAACCAAGGGGAAGCGAGGGAAGTATAAAAAGCGCAACACAACGGACCCGTCTGCTGGTAATACAGGCAAGAAACGTAAGCTAGGTTCTATTGATGGCGGTCTATCTTAACAAAGTTCTTCCCCATTGGTTACCCCAAAGCTCTGTGATCCATATGAGTTAATCATTATCCTTCGTCCTCCATAAAGTTGGGCTATTCGATACTTGAGCATACACCACCCCGCCAGATACCCAACAATCACAGAGTATCTTTGTATGCTTGTATGAGGATTACCCACTCACGCCATCAAAGAGTTATGAAAGGATCATAATGGTGAAGGGGGTAGCAATATTTCCAACGCTATCCTAGGCACCACTTAGTGTCGCCTATCAAGGACCTCTTATTACGATGAGAGCGCATGGTCAAATATTAACAATCCTTGTCACAGCCAACAATAATACGGCGTTGTCCCACTTTACCACGGCCTTCTAGCAGAAGCATGAAAATCGTTTCATTCGTCTACCTGGTTAAAAAGCCCCCCCTTTTTTTTATTGTGGGCATAATGCAAATATAACTCCAAAGACGCCTTCGTACTCCCACAACCGACGCGAAGCACGACTCCAAAAGTAAATTTACCGAACGACCTGCCAGTTCCATGACTACAGTTAAGACTGGGGAAGGTGATGAAGGTAGAAAATCCTGATATTGCTTAAGCTCGCAACTCTTCGGCTTGAGCACTACCACGTTGTCCACCTCGACCTCTGTTTGTCCGGTGACCACGTTGGCCGCCTGATTCTCCCGTGTTTCCAGTGGTGTTGCCACCATCACCACCACCTCCCAAAGTAAGCTGGGCGGTTGCAAGTCGGTTGGAGAGCTCCATTTGTGTGCGGATGGAGTTGGCAAGGTACGAGACCACAAGCACGTCCTGGATATGTTTGTTACTGTCAAACGAGTTAGTTTAGCTCGGCTCCATAGATATAATAGGAAATATGAAACGTGGTATAAAAGTTGAACACGTACAAGTCACTTTCGATCTCAGCAGCATCCACCTTTGGTGCAAGTGCAAGGGCGTTCAGTAGAAACTGGCCAAGGGCGGTGGAAGCAGGTGCCTCCTCATCCATTACCGACTCCACATATCTCGAAACTCGATCGATCATGCCGATGACTTCTTCAATAGATCTTTCCAGGTTGTCGATGTCTGTGAAGAGATTCGTCGATCGGTCTTCCCTATCCTTTGCCGCCGCGATCGCCTCCAGACCGTTCTTCTCCGCATCGCCGTATCTGATCTCATAAGGCACCGGTATAAATGCCGCACTATCTGCAGCTCGCTCCGTTGTGACACCCACCGGTGCAGAAATATATGTCCTGGTCACGATATCCTTGCCGGGCTCGGTAGAGACAGTCAAGTGGACTGCTGGATGAGGCCATGTTCCGTCGCCATGTCCACCGTAAAAATTTTGAATCAAAGCCGAAAATGTGTTTAGCTCCGACGAGGTTGCATACCACCCGACAAGAACTTCTTTGGGGTTGGCTTTTAGGTGAAGAGAGAGCATCTGCTTCTGGTACTCCATATCCACCTCGACCTGGTCGGTGGTCTCTGTGTGGCCGACAGCGAAACAGGTGCGGATCTCAACCTCTGTCCCATCTTCAGATCGAGTGCCAAGCAGAGTGCCGATAACTCGTTCTTGGTCAGCATTGCGTCGAAGGGAGTGGTCAAGAATCGAAAAGATAGCCTAGATCATCGTCTCACTTCAGCCTATGCGACCTGTGCCATCTACTCTTGCGTTTAGCTTACCTGGGGCTGTATGATAACGTTGAGAGGGGCAGTTGTGGGCGCAACTCCTATAGTCGCTGGTCCCAGGGGCCGCGCAATATGGATAAATGAGCCAGTGTCAGCCATGATTGCGAGAGGAGCCGGCAGTTTTGTCCGTGAGGTCTTTTGTTCAATGACTCGTCCTGGATGTGCTCTTTTTGGCGGCTTGAAGATTGAAGTTCTGCTTTGGATGTTTCGTTAACTATTTGTGTGTGGCGGGAAATTTTCTACGCTTAGATAAGATAAGATCGAGATCAGGGAAAAAAAAGATATAAAAAAAACCGACGGCTTCATGTACATAACTACAAGTGAAAGATTCGCCGCGTCAATTAGTTGGGGTTGGTTATTAACTGGCTTCTTTTATGGCCAGAGATTATGGCAGTCCATCATAAAAGAGCTGGGGCCCATCGAGGCAGAGGTTCTAAACCTGGCCGGGGTAGGGGACGGAAGTTTGAGACCTCGAGACTCAAGGATGTGAGGTTTGTTATTCGAAGATCAAGCTATTATTATCGCTTACAACATACTAATTCGTGTTTACAGTGAGGATAACTCGTCTGGAGATGAAGAACGTGCGAATGTGGAACCGGTCGAGGAACCGGGCGATAGCGAAGGATCTGTTGTATCTTCCGGGAGCGACCTTGACGACCAACCGCGAGAGAATTCATACAGCACTCTTTTGAAGCTGTTGAACAATGATGCCAAATCGAACGAACCAGCGCGTAAGAAACGAAAAATTAGGCCTAATGAACAACATACGAGCCTCTCTGAACTACCTATACCTGTAGAGGGAGATGTCGATCCTGGGAACGAATTGGTTGATATGGAGGAATCGGAGGATGAAATTATAGACGATGCAGATTCACATTTGGAGGATGACATCGATGGCCTCGTAACTGACGGTTAGCTCCTCTGAAAATTCCTCTTGAAGCTCTAATTGTGCTTTGACTAATTGTTTCCCCCATCTGTATAGGCAGAAATGATCCGTTTGAAAGCCACTTTGGAAATCCTGATGAATCTGAACTATCTCAGAAGATTGAAGCTTGTTCTCGGCGATGGCGCTCTATAAAGTCGGACCTAATTGATGGATTGTATGCTGTGGCATGTAGTCCGGATGTAGAGCAAGCAACAAGTGTCGTTTTGCCTACGACCCCTACACCAGTTGATCTTAAGGTATTTTATTTGATCTTTGAAACGCTTAAGATTCTCGAATGTTCATTCACTAATACACTGCTAGCTCAAGCGAAAATTAGCAAGGAGTGCCATCTCATTCGACCCTCTTAGCACCTGCCTTACGCCATACATATTCGGATACCGTGATACCTTTTTTTGCTCGAGAACGACTCAAAACTCTGCTAAGCTGCGGGACATATATTGTCTACATGCTTTAAACCATGTTCTAAAAACTAGAGACCGCGTGATCAAGAACAGTGCGATCTTGTCAAAGGAAGACGGAGGCGACATTGAACTAAGAGATCAAGGATTTACAAGGCCTAAAGTGCTGATAATCCTACCAACTCGACAGGCATGCGTTCGTCTAGTCGACTCTCTCACTAAGCTTTTCCCCATGGAACAGCAAGAAAACAAGAAAAGATTCATGGACAGCTTCTCCGCGGCTGATAATGATGGCTGGGTCAACAAAACAGATGACTTCAAGGAGCTGTTTGGAGGAAATGACGATGACATGTTCCGACTTGGTCTGAAGTTCACAAGGAAATCTCTCAAATTATTTTCACAGTTTTATAGCTCTGATATTATTATTGCAAGTCCGCTCGGGCTACGAACTGCAATAGAAAAGGAAGGGTAAGTGAAAGCCAATTCTATGCTTTATGAACCAAGGACTGACGTTTTTATTATTATAGGGGGAAGAAACTTGAAAATGATTTCCTTTCCTCAATTGAGATGGTCATTGTAGATCATGCAGATGCCCTTATAATGCAGAATTGGGAGCATGTTGAATACATATTCTCCAACCTCAACCTTCAGCCAAAAGAGGCGCATGGCTGTGATTTTAGCCGAGTAAGGCAATGGTACCTTGACGGCCATGCAAAGTTCCTACGGCAAACACTCGTCTTTTCGGCTTTCAATACTCCAGAGCTCAACGCGCTGTACAATTCACAGATGCAAAATGCCTTCGGAAAAGCAAAAATAATGCCAAAATATGACGGTGCCATTCTAAATCTCCGACTACCAATTTCCATCAAGCAAACATTCTCTCGCTTCGATTCGCTTTCACCTCTCAAAGACCCGGAAGCTCGCTTCCAGTACTTCACTCGAACAGTTCTAGCCAACCTTTCACGCAGCTGGACAGAGACAAGCTCTGGAAAGGGGAAGTTAGGCGGGACACTCATATTCATCCCTTCATACCTAGATTTTGTCCGCGTACGGAACCACTTTGCCAATTCCTCCCAGACTGCTAATATATCGTTTGGCTTGATATCAGAGTACACATCTGTACAGGACTCATCAAAGGCCCGAAGCCATTTTATGAATGGAAGACATTCCGTTCTACTCTATACGGAGCGAGCACATCACTTCCGCCGATATAATATTCGAGGTGTCAGCAATATCATTATGTATGGGCTACCCGACAATCCCATATTTTGGGGAGAAGTAGTCGAGTATCTGGGAACTGCTCCTGGCGGCACAACTACCACTCCTACGCTACGAGTTCTTTTCTCAAAGTGGGATGCTCTGAAGCTAGAGAGGATTGTGGGCACGGCTAGGGTTCGAAGCATGCTGTTAGAAAAGGGAGGGGATACGTTTACTTTTGTCTAGGCATAGAAGATATTGCAAGGATAAAACAGTATATATTGTTAACTTATATACCACTTTTGTTATATACCCTTTTGACCTACTCAAGTCTTTGTATAATTACCATTGATATCCAGTGGACCTATTCACATTCTCACATCAAGCTTAATATGCCTAGCCTGGATTCAAATCTATGTACTAGGTCTCATAAAAAGTCGTCATTATAGATGAACCATCCAAAACAGTCTTTCATTTTTATTCTAGTAATGATCATAACTCAACCACCGCGACGGCGGCCCAGTAAGGCTTCAGTCTCGCCTTCATCAGCCGATGCACGATCCCGAGCAGTCCACGGCTTGGGCAAGGCTTGGTGCTCGACATCGTGCTCGTCATTGCTGTTCTCAGGATGTTGGGAGGTCTCCCCAGGTTTTGTCTGGCTACCGTTGTCGGCCTTTTTATCACGCCCAGCTGAAAGTGCCACATACAAGGCACTCAGTAGAATGATCGTAGATCCAAGCAAGCTGGTAGATGACGGAGTGGTGTTCCATATAACCTTGTCATAGAACAACGCAAAGATAATCTGTAGATATAACATAGATGTGGCACTAGAGCCATGGGTGGAGGGCTTTCCATCAATTTTCGGGGGCACATACGAAAGGCCGGCCGTCAGAAGATACTGAAAGACAAATCCACAAAGGCCCAGGCTGATGAGCAGAAGAAGCTCGGTGAGGTTGGCAGGGAGCCTCAGGCTAACAGAGGGGATGAACAGAACAGCAATGAGACACATGACTGAAGTTGAAAGGGCGAAGTAATTGACGCTCACGAGAGGGTGAGCACGACGCCCGATTTTGCGGATCATGGTGTATGCCGTTGTTGCTCCCACCACTCCCACGAGAGCTGCTGCAACAGCAAGAAGATGCTGCTTTATATCAGGATCCTGTGAGCTCCCGCTGGCTGCAAAGAGTCTCGTAAGGAACGAATTGCTCTGTGGCAGCATACTGGCGGATTCCTGCTCCGTTGGGCTTTTTGGGAAGAGTGCCACTGGCCTTGCAATGAGAACGACCCCGAGAATCGATATTACTCCGGCCAACTGCTGTCTCTTTGTAAACCTCTCGTTTGGCATGACGAAGGACGCCACATAGCAAGAGGCGATTGGCGTCAAAAAGGTCAAGACGGTGGCTTCGGAGAGAGGCAGGTATATGAGGGAGTAATACAGGCTCAGCACTCCTATAAACCCACTAATACCGCGAAGTATCAAGAGTGGCCGTATGGCTGGCGCTCCCAGAGGATCAGGGACCTTCATATACCACATATATATGAAGCTGAACAGGGCGGTTGCGGGCATACGAACGAGTAAAATCTACATGTTGCACATTGCCGCATGTCAGCCCGTAGTACAATTAACTAGATAAGACGGCAGCAAGAAACGCACCTGAAAGGGAGCCATGCCTTTACCGTGAGGCCCATCTCGCTCCAGCAGCCTCGCCATGACGTTCATGGTAGCTCCAAAGAACTGCGCGAGCAGAACCAGCAGCATTCCTTTACCCTGCAACCAGATCTGCCACACCTGCTGGAGCCATCGAGATGGGCTTGCAAACGCTTTTGAACCGGGAGCAGCTTCACAGCTATCGCTTGGGCCGCTGGCAGTCTGTTGTCCTTCATGATGCCCTTCATGGTGTCCTTCAATGGGAGTCGCTATGGGCTCTTCGCTGTTTATCAACGACTCTCCTGGCTGGTGGGAAACTCCTCGAGCGCTGGGCTCACCCGACATTGCGCAGACGAGAGGCTTCCTGATATTAATTCCGTTTTGGTGTGTAGATAGAATGGGCCGTCTCGCTGGGTAGTTTTGTTCTATGTAGGCTGAGTAAAAGATGCAGTCTCTGTCTCGGCAAAGAAATATTTTACCCGGACATAAATTACGATGTAGATAGCATGATTAGTTCTTGTCAAATAGACAAAAGCCCAGCTTCAACTAATGTATAGCAGTCTTTACATAGAGTCATAGAGGTGAATATATTATGTTTGTACAGTTTAAAAAAACACATAGGAGCCCCCGTTCAACCAGAGCTGCCAGTAAGGTTGAAACATTCTCCCGAGGGAAGACAGGATAACGTGTAGAAAATTCGCATCAGACGGCGTACTTTTTTGCTTGCTATCATTTTCATAGTTCCGAAGTTGCATACATTAGGTATATAAAGTAATAAAGAATCACTCCTTTCTAGTCGAAACATTCCGTTCGGTTTCCTCGTCACTCCCCGACGGCGACACTGGTTGGCTTGCTGTGTTATGGAGCGAGGTCCGGCTTCTCATCATCTAGAAGACGTGTCAGTATTGCTGAGTCTGTAGCATTTATATATATATATATATGTGCGTGCGTGCGTGCGTGTGTGTGTGAGGGAGGGAGACATACCCATGACCGCACTCCGCCAATTAGTCCCAAGCTGTATCCCGTAGCAAAGTCTTCGCTTCTACCGGCCACGCCTGGGCTTTCTGGTCTGCTGGGGGGTTCGGCCTGTAGATGGGCTCTGGATCCCCAATTGGGACCGGCTTCTTGTCGTGTAGGGCTGGTAGGCCGGCTGTTCTGCCATAACTGACGGATCTCTTTGCTCAACTCCTGCCCGGTAGTAGACCAGTTATTCTTGATGGCATTACGGAGCTCCGTGACGTGTCGTTTGATTTCAAGCTCGTTCTTCTTCACCCAGGAAACGTTCAGCTCCTGTCTGGAGGCTCCTCTCTTGAACTGGCGAGCTATGTATTTATCATAGTCACGAACCACCCTATTTACATGATTTGGTTAAAGTCAATCTTTATTGGAATCGAACTTAGATGATAGACCTACTTGGTGATGATGCCGGTTGTGCTGACTCCCTCTGTCCTCTGGGTAACGAGGAATTTGCCCATCTGCTTGATCGGAGAGTAGATGTCGTCTCCTTCATCAGCTCCATAAGGCAGGTCGTCGTGAGCCACGTAGTCGATCTGATGCTCCTCCAGGAACTCTGGGGTCACTATCCAGGGACAATTTGGTATCACTTCATCGACCCATTTGCAGTGGCGTATGGTCTCTGCCCTCTCCACCTCGTTCAAGACTGTCAGGCCCTTTCGTTTATGCGTCTCCGCGTCTCCAGTCACCCCAACGATCAGGTACGTGTTTGGAATCAGGTTCTTAGCTTGCTCTAGTTGGCGCATATGTCTGTAAATCCATTAGCAATGCCCATGATACGTCTGCCGTGTAATACGTACCCGAGATGGAAGAGGTCGAAAACCCCATCCGCATACACTCTCACCGGCCGGTTTGTTGGGGGAGGATTGGTATGGTACCCCTTGGGATCCTGAATTCCGGCATGCGTAGCTGGCTTGAGGCGCTCGCGCTCCTCCTGCCGCGACTCAGCCCGCCGCTTTGCCCGGTTTTCAATATCAACACTCGCCTCCGTAGTCTCTGACGGCTCACCGGGGTCGATGTTACTTGTTGCACGGCTGCTCACGCCTTCGTGTGCGCCAGACCTATGCTTCAGGTCCTCGGCAACAGACCGGCGTCGAGCCCGCTTGACAGGCGGCACATCTGGCCCGGCATTCTTGTGCTTCAGGACGGGAGAAGCTGTAGCAGCAGTAGAGTCGCCTGCATCTTCACCAGATGCGTCGCGAGAGGTAGGCTGGAGCAGCTCTGCCGGGGAGGCTGGCGGTGCTGGTTCTGATGCGGGTGCAGCTTGTAGATGTGAGGAGCTCCGCTTCCGTTTCGTGGTCGAAGCCGGCGGCGACATCGTGGAATGCTAAAATAGAACTGCCTCTGACGGGAGGAAACCAGCTAATACTCGTAGGCAAGCATTGGAAGCTGAAAGTCGTTCTCTCGTTCGTTTTGCAGAGACGAAGTTGAAATAACAAGTTCAGCTTTCCAACAAAATTTCGTTTTCAGGGGCGCCGGCGGGTGGATCAGCTTTTGTTCCAGGGATTTTTTATTTACAACATTTGATCAAGCATTATGATGGGCTCGCTATATTCAATTACCTGTTGGCACTGTGTATAGAGATCGTATCATCAATCTGGATTCGTGTGAGTTGTATGGCGATGCGTATATGATAGCCAGTGACCATAATATATACATCAATACGAGTATAGCATCAAACCCACCAGCAGCTATCGATCAAGACAGCAACTATGCGAACGTTGGATTGAAAGGACAAATGCAAGAAGAGTCATGCGCCTCGCCTGTCAAGCCATCCATAGAAGATGAGAGAAAGAGGGAGAAGTCTGAAATATAGAAGAAATGCCCCCAGATCAGGACGAGCAGCAGAAGAAAAGAAACGAAGAAAGAAGAAGAAGAAAAGAAAAAGACACCCGATATTCCATTGAAAAAGAACCAAGTCGATGAGACCAGATAAATCCCTTTTATATAGTTGTCTGTCGTTGTTTTTTTTTTTTTTTGCTCCCTCAAACCAACCGTTTCGGTGTATCGTCAACCCTTGATAGACGTATTCCTCCTGTTAAAAAGGATATGCAAAACAGATAGTAACATGGTAGGTGGCAGACGGCGAAGCAGAGGAAGGGGAAGAGTCCTCGGATTCCATCAGCTAGCTTCGTTAGAGCCCTAGTTAGCACTCCATGGCGGATCGAGTGCGGCCTTCGAACAAGTAGATGGAGCCAGGGCTTGACCGTAGTCAGGAAAAAAGAAGAAGAAGAATGGAAAAATGTAGATTCGCCCTTGCACGTTGGCCAGAAGAACGATGTAACTAATTAAACACATTTGCAGGTCATAGTCGTGGTTTCACCCAAGCCTGGGGTCATCTTTTGCATATTCTGACACAAGGGGATGGAGTGAGAAAAAAAAGGACAATAATGCCCCGGCCGGGTAGGTGAGTTGGGGTAAATAAACGATGCTGTCCTTTGCCCCCTTCCTGTCCCCGCCCCCGTTTCCTGGCCAAAAACTACGAGGAGGGCGGTTTGCTGGTGTCTGACACGGAGTTGGGCGAAGAGTCGGCGGTTGGAAGGGGGGAGGCAGAGATGACACGGGGGGATTCGGTCAGGCCTTCGCTGGAGGAGGCCGTTGACCGTTGGCTGGCCTGCGGACCCGTCATGCCCTCTCGTTCCTTTTGTTCGGGCTCCCGAGGCTTCTCTCCGTCCTTGTCTTCTTCGGTGGCTTCTCTCCGGACTTGGCTTTCTAGATCCTTATCCTCATCCGCGCTATCGAACATGTCTTCGTCGCCCATATCTGTTAGCATCTCAGTACCGTCTCCAAGGAGGATGATTCTTCCAGACCGGCCGGCTGGGCCGGCTGAATCATATCCATCAGCCCCTTCGTCAAACTGCTGACGGACGCCCGGGCCACGGAAACTCGCTATTTAGAGGATGTTAGAAGAGGTCAGGAGTTTATATATTTCAAAAGAGGCAGAAGAAGAAGAAGAAAACGCTGGTATTTAAAAAGAAAGACCTAACAATTCAACGTTCTGCATTCGGGAGGGTCTCACCATATTCCGGTGGAGCACAGGGGCCATCTCCATTTGCGACTCTCTCGGCAATGGTATTGTACCACTCCTCTTTGGTTTTGCCGTGTAGTAGCCCTATGATGACCATGGTCATGTTGTCACAGCCCAGGCCACCGGTCTCCGGGTTCGAGGAGAGACAGTTATCCATCATGTTCTCACAGATACGGTATAGCTCCTGTTTCGCAGCAATGCCTCTCCTGACAAATTCTATTACGGCCTGCGACGACTGGCAGTCCCATATTCCTGGTCGTAGCGTTAGATCTTTGCATTGACAAGCTGCAAGACGGGGAGAAACCAACCATCACAGGCAACAACTAGGAATTCATCATCTTCGGTAACCTCATGAGTTGTGACATCGGGGTTGGCAGTTACAATCTGCTGCTCGGGAGTTAGATCTGCGGCGCGCTTGAATTCAAAGTCACCCAGGGCTCGAGAGAGGGCCAGGTTCCCATTGACTCTGCCAAAGTCGACGAAGCCGCCCGCAGCGCTTATCCGTGCCTTCTCGCCTGTTCAAAACTGTTAAACTGGTGTCGGTAGGGCTGTGCTAACCGAGGGGATGTACCTGCGTTCTGCGGTTTATGGTCGAATGAGAGCGGTTTTGCTCTTCCCTTGACACCCAAGACGGATCTCGAGTCTCCGGCGTTCGCCTATACCACGTCAGAACATGTATATCGGGGATATATGAACAGCCAGCATACCACTCTAATCTTGTCCCTTGAAATTATAGCAACCGAAGCTGTGCAGCCAGAGATTTCATTCTCGTATTGGGGGTCTATTACCAGCCGTCAGTCAGTGTATTATAAACGAAAGGAATAAAAGAGAGTGTGAGAGAGGAAGAATACTACCCTCTAGGATGGCACGGTCCGTAGCTAGAAAGCCGTCTCTGAGAGCCTGTTCGATGTCGCCTCTGGCAAAGGATTCCTGCCTGGCCACGATCCGGTGGACATGCTCGCCCGCATAGAGCGCCATCTGCTCCCCGCCATGGCCGTCGTATACGCCAAAGAAGGACAGACGCTTATCAGGACTGGTCGGCCCGTGGCTCTTGTCCAAGTATTTGGCCTGAAGATCCAGCACAGCAGCGTGAGCGTCTTCCATCGAGATCCTCCATCCCTGCATCGCCGACAGCCCATACACCACACAATCATCCTCGCCCTCTTCCGACTCCTATTTTCAGCCTATTAGCCACACAGTCAATTTTCCTTCGAGGCAGCCCGACAGCTCACCTTTGTAACTATCGGCTGAGACAGCGTCTGTCCCATGATTCTAGCAGTATATATACAGGCCGGTTCGGCAGGGTGCGCAAACTCTCATGCACCAGAGAAGAGGGAGGCGGGCGGGGGGGGGGGGGGGGGGGGTTTAGACTAGGACTATGCGAACGAGGCGAAGAACGGTGTCAGCGAGCGAGAGGCAGTAGGAGTCGAGCGTCCGCTTTCGAGTCGGAGGAGCCAGATCGTGAGAGCAGAGCAAGGAAGAGTAGAAAAGGAGGACGAGGAAGAGGGAGGATTTGCCGTGCAGGTTGGCTGCTTGATGACTTTTTTGGGAGGTTTAGTTAGGTTAGGGCTGAACGAAGCCCAGCGTGACAAGGATGGTAGAAGTCGTTAAAATCAGAGAAGCGTAAGAAGATGAAGAAGCGGTTGATAGAAGAAAAGGCGTTTTCCCTCCTTTGGTTTCGTCTTCCTCTGGCTTATACCGTCATTAAAAACGTCTTATCGTCTACTTTACGATGTTTTGGCGGGGCGAAAGAAGTTGCTAAAAGTTGTGCGCCCAGAAAAGTTAAACGCCAGCAGTTTTTTTCTTCCTTTTCTTTTTATAGAGGACTGATTATGTATATAGAAGTAGAAAGATATATGTGTGTGTATGCAGTGAAGATGCATGGAGTGACTGCTAGAGTATAGGTTGGACTGTCTATCGGGGCGTTGGGTAGAATCAAGGCTTCCACGGCAAGGATGCAAGGATGCGGTGTTTATACAACTATGTATGCCGGTTCCGAGGTAGTCCTTGTTGTCGACTGACCGTCTGGCCATCATGTAGCCGTCGACGGCTGGCTTGAACCGGTTAAACCAAGTCGAGGGCCATCTTGATGCCAGTCCTGCCATTGCCGTAGTAATCGTCCACAAGCCCGGTCTGTTCGAAGCCACGGCTGCGGTAGAGCCGTCGAGCCGCCGTCCGCTCGCCGTCGACCCAGAGATGGACCGCCTGGCACCCTTCTCGCCGCAGCTGGTCCTCGATATAGGCCATCATCTGCCTCCCCACGCCCCGGCCGCGGTGCCCTCCTTCGACGCATATCTTGTGCAGCAGGGCCTTCTCCTTCACCCGCACGTACACTGCGTAGGCTACCACTGCCTCTGCACCTCCGGCCGTCTTGCTCTCCGCCCTTGTCCGGCCGTAGATGACTCGCGAGTTTGGCTTCTTCCGCCACAGGCTCATGTCGAACTGCATCGCCTCAGAGGTCGGGAATGTGCGCCGTTCGATGCGAGCGATCTCTTCTAGCACAGCAGAGGCTTCATCCTGCTTCAGCGTGCGTAGCTCCCCGATCACAAGAGGCGTGTCCATCTCGAGGCCAGCAAGGGAAGAAGAAGTCGAAGTCGAAGTCGAAGATCGATGCATCTGATGACATAATCAGTCTTTTATAAGAAGTTTGGCCGTATCGGAATAAATAGCTATAGTATAGCCCTATCTATTATTATTATTTAATTCTACGCCTATTTATTACCTTTTCCTATACTTATTTAGTTACTAAGGTATTTACTACTCTACTATTTTGTAGACATGAGGATGTGCGGGAGTAAGGAATGATATTATCAATATCTGCCACTCGGTCAAATGAGTGAGCCTGTATTTAGGGTGGGCACATATCGAGGTTTGACAGATGTATATACTAGTTCGGACAAGCATTGAGATATGCCTTGACTGCGCTCGTGTCCTTATCCACTTCGATATACTCTGGCCTTGACGTATTTGGCCAGTGCAAAATTAGCATAATTGTCAGCACTCTGCCCCGAGTAGTAGCTGTAGCTTTGTCGGAAGGTAGCGCGCGCAAGGATTTTAGTGTATAGTGCTTGATACGCTGGTTGCCACACGTATTTATTATTAGACGTTCGTAAACGTATTTCCCAATCGACGATATGGGGGGTGAGTTAACAAAATACGTTAGGTGTGAAACTTCGTGGTAAAAGACGCTTGCTATACAGCTTGTGTTAGAATACGACCGCAGAAAAGGGCCGGATGCTACTTTGCCTCTATTGATGTAATTATCAAGGTGAAAGCGATCTTTAGTATAAAGCTGTCCTAGACCGTATGCCATTGCACCTCCGAGACTCCGGAGGTCAAAATATTGGTCGCAGAAGTTGATCTGAGAGTGCTCTTTCCCATCGTTTTGGGCCGCATAGGCATTTACCATGTTTGTGCCTTGCTGTGGGTCGCAAGGATCAGAACAGAGCTTGTTAGGATCATCGCAGCGAACCTGCCAAAAATATTGCCATTAGGTACATGTAACTGGGCATCGAGGGGGAGACATTATCGTTCCCCTCAGGCGCAATGGGATATAACCCGGGAAAAGTCTCGTTGTCCTGGCAGAAGACGTGGATTGAAAATAAAAGGAGCAAAATAACGGCACGTGGCAGCATTTTGAGCAGGAGTGAGTTTGTGATGCTGATGTATGATTTCTCAGGGCGTTCTAGGTCTGATATATATACCTATTGATCAAAGTATCTGGACGCATAGCGTCCCTTTGCCCAATACAAGCGAAGTCTATAGAAAGCAATGGCAAGGTATATTGATATATGAACGGTAGGGATAGCAGGGACGGCAGGTAGTATTATGCCATAGAGTCTATGAGGCCAACGCATCCTCGATGGGCAGGGTCAAGATGGCCATGCTGGGCAACACATGCTCGGTGTTATTTCACATACAGACAATCGTAAAATACGGTAGCCTGCTAGGCAGCCGGTTTATACAAGGGTGAATGTGCTTCTGGGGCAGAGTAAACGGGTATAAAGTAGATAATAGCCAGAATACTTCAGGGGGTATATTGTTGGATAATCAGAAAGGATAAGCTTGCGGTGACTTGATGCAGGTAGTCCTCCCTTGTGACTTATTCCCTATCCTTGACGTAAAAGCAAGCCAGGGGAGGAGGTGGTCGAGAAGTGCATCCATTGCATTTTAGTACCCCTAGCTGCTCGAGATCAATGGCAACAGTTGTCAGGTAACAAGAATAGCCTGTAGATATAACTAGTTGACTATAAAAGAACGGCCAAAGCTGCAGAGCTTTATAGAAGCCAGGCTATGTTAGAATCCTATAGCTATATCAACGTCGAAGTCTTCTATCTGGAAATAAGATGGTGGTTAGGGGTTTCACTACTTGTTGTCACTTAACGATCTTAGCGCCAAGGATCTCGGATAATTTAAGTAAGCTAGTTACGTCTCCTGCCAATCAGAATACACCAGCGGTTTCTGTTAACTAAAAGTTGGAATATTAATATCCCGGGGCGAGCTAGAACCTTTGGAACCTTTGGAAGGCGGCTGGTGACCCTGTGGTGCATGCATAGAGATGGGATTTCCAACAGTTAACGATACGCTATGAGGCTACTTCGCTTCGTACCTTGCTAGGTCTATGCATATATAACAATGTGTGTAGGCAGCAGCTTTCCAATACACCCTTGCTCTTATTTCGATCGTACAATGTTCCCGCCTATAAGGCTGCAGCAACCTATTCCGAAGCACCCATTAATAGGAGGACCAAGTCTAAGGGATTCTCGGTCGTGCAGTCACGGCTCCTCGATAGTGTAGATAGAACAGATAGCTATGAGTCTAAAAGCCAAGTCTTTAGGCAGCTGAACTAAGAGCCCTACTAATACTTAATTTTGTTGCCAGAACCTAGAATAGGTTATAGTGAAGTTGTTGTTCTGTATCTCATTACAACAAACTCTAGGTGTATTTATATAATTACTAGGTTAAAAGCTTAAGCTTTCTCCTATAGCTAGCAGAGCTATCTATAAGTAATGGAGCGAATGTATTCAACATAGATATTCAAAAAAAAAGTATCACGTGATCTTCTGACTAAGACGATGACTCAGCATCCATCCAATATGCCGATCCACCATTCAACATGTTGATGACTAAGCATCACCATTCAATTTTGATAGGGTAAGATGACTAAGCCGCTAAGCCACTACTCATGCAGGGTTGCAAGTATCCAATCAAATGCTCAGAATTCAACCAATCACGTAATTTACAGCAGACCCACAAATACGCACATTTGACCCCTTCTATATATCCACTTTTTGGAATACAATATACTTCGCTTCGCTCCGTAAATTACTAAGACTCCCCTTCTCCATCGCATACTATTATTATTATATAGTATATCTATAGTATCTATAGTAGCTACCTTATCGCTATTATAGTCGGTTAGTATTAGTACTATATTAGGTATTTTTAGAGTTCGCCACAGTGTTTATATAGAAAATAATGGTACTACAAAAACTCTATATTCCGCTATAGAGAGGCTGTGATCACGTGTTATTCCAACAGCCTCCGAGAAGAAGTTTTACATATGAAAGATATAAGAAGAAGAGAAGAGAAGAAGAAAATAACCAAGGATAGACAGGGCTGGCGGTCGAGATGCCTCCCCAGGACGACAAGCGACAGGCTGCGAGAGAAGTCATCGACATCCTCCATGAGATATCAACTCTGCTTGTATGTATGTTCGTTTGATTATCGACAGAGAGGTATTAACGATACTGTGTAGAACACTCATCTCGACAGGACGGAGCTGTCACTCTGCGTGTCTCTCATTGAAAATGGCGTTAACCCTGAGGCTTTGGCTGTGTGTATTCCCTTCTATACTGAACATCCGAACATCGGAAGAGTAGCTGACTAGAGTCCAGAATGTGATCAAGGAGCTGAGGAGAGTCGGCGTGGATGGTGACTTGGCCGACAAGCCATAGACTGTATCAAGGATAAAGGAGTTTCTCTACGTGGAGTGCTTTATGTCTGTCTCGTACGGTGGATGTATTTGGCTGGCAATGCAATTTAGACTCAAATCCACGGCTAAAGATTCAAAGACGCTGCTACTGCTATATACTGTCCTTTGCGGCCTTGGACTGGTCACCCTTGCCGGCCGCTGCTTCAGCCGTGGCCTTCTTCCCGTTGGCCTCCTCGGTCTTTGCATCCTTTGGCTTCGTGTCTTTCTCATCGTCACTGTCCCCCAGGCTGAAGGGGTCGTTGTCGGCCACGGGTGATGGCTCGACACTCGAAAGGGGCTGCCACTTGCTTGGCTTGTTCACAGAGGTGGCCCGGGGGTTAGGAGCAGAGTAGGAGTCCTGGATCTCCTCTGGCGGGCCCTCTTGGAATGAAACCTTGCGGCGGTCTGGAGACGCGCTCTTGGCCTTGAATAGATCTGGGTTCGCCTGAGGGCGAGGAGGACGCGGTGGGGGGGCTGTATAGTCAGTTTACCACATTTCGAAATAAGTACAGAAGATAGCAAATCAAGGGCCATACCTTCATTGTCTCGTAGCTCGAGCGAAGAGAAGTCGTCTCCAAGTACGTGGGGGTCTGCGTCGTATCTCTCACGATCCACACTCCGTCTGTGCTCTGCACTCCGTCTGTTAGGATAGCCCTGATCGTTGTAGGCGTTGACATGTTGTCTCTGTCCGTATTGCCGTTGACCATGCTGCACGTCCTCGTCTGAATCCTCTCCGTCAAGCCTCCGCTTAAAGTTCTCCACCCAGGTGTTCACCCTGGACTGTGTCTCCAGGAAACCCTTGCGAATATTCTCCTTGATTATCGGAAGGTCGTCTGTTACATCAGTTAGAGGTGTGAGAGTGTTTGAAGAAAAGTGACGACACCTACCATCAATAAAACTATGCTCTCGATCATATAGCTCATTCGGCTTCAGACCTTGCCCCCTCTGTCCCGATGCCATCCCATGATCCCACGGAGACTGCTGGTACCCCCGTCTCTGGTCAGCACCACTATAGTGTTCGGCTAGCTGGCGTGCATATCTCTCATCGTCTTCAAGCTGGCTTTGCGTCGTGGAAGTTGGTACCCCGCCTACTGCTGGTCGAGGTGGCATCGGCGGACGAACATCCTCCTGTGCGTCAGGGTCCGACATTCCTGTACATGGATTTAGCCACGGCCCACCAAACGTTACAAACAACAAGCCTTCGTTCTCTTGTTTTATGCTCACCAAGCAATGCATTAAAAGCCTTCTCAACGTTTCCATCACTCGCAACCACAACCGCCTTTATAACGGGCCCATCTATGTTTGGAAAAGCCTCTTTAAGGTCGTCTATTATCCTCTGATGCGGGTTGGGAGGCCGCTGGGACTGCATTCCTGCTGCCTGGCTCGCGAGATTAAGCTGCGAGGACGACCGACTGTTGATGGATGCCAACCCCGTCTCTTGTGGTTCGTCGTCGAAATCCAGCGGACGCGCAGTAGTCGGAGATTCTGGGTTGATCGTGCCCGCTGGCGCCTTCTTTGGAGTAGTTCCCTGTACCGCAAGTATCAGTTTTTCATGTCAACGTCCTCAGGAGGGTTCGCAATTGTATGTGTTTGCCTAGCACTTCATGTACGTACCGCTTTGTCTGTCTCTGCCATTACGAAGGAGGTTCTAATGTCAACGTCCCGCAACTGGAATTCCTCAGGATATCACGGCGCCCCAGTAACTGCAAGTGTTCGATATATTTCTCAAGACTGCAACTGTCACAATATCTTGTTTCTTCTCTTCAACGGTTGTGATGTTTTTTTTTTCTTCTTTTCCTCCCGCAAGAAGTTGTGACGCCATAAATTTCTTATGTCAGCGGTGGACCTTCGTAACAGTTCGTTATTTATTATTCCATCCATAGTTAACTTGTTTATCAAGAGAAAAGAAATAGCTCGACGTCAGTATACAGTGTGGCTGAGCAGGTACTTTGCAGGGCTGATACGACATGTTTTGTTGACTATGGCTGACGTCAAGGTCATATATACCTAATCTGCTAGTTACCTAAATGGACTCAGAATTTGATACCTCGGGGCAGTTTGTTGCCTCTCTCTACAAGCCGGTCGAACTTCTTCCAATATCGCGGCACAGGCAGAGCCTACTGTATGCCATTGAAAAATACCCTGTTGTCATCCTGGTTGGCGAGACAGGGAGCGGGAAAACGACACAGCTCCCTCAGTTTCTTGAGCAGGCTGGATGGTGTAATGATGGGAAGCAGATTGCCATTACACAAGTGAGTTTTGGTCGACGCCAAAAAAAAAACACCCCTCTAGTTTCCGTACGGTCAAATTACTAAGAAGAGATATAGCCCAGGCGGGTGGCGGTGACGTCCGTTGCGGCTCGCGTTGCAGCAGAGACGAGATGCGAGCTTGGTCAAGAGGTTGGCTACTCTATCAGATTTGAAGATGTCACTTCAGCCGCCACGCGAATCAAGTTCGTGACGGACGGTTTACTGTTGCGGGAGGCTCTAGTAGACCCTCTGCTCTCCCGTTACTCTGTCATCATGGTTGACGAGGCGCATGAAAGGTCTGTTAGCACTGATGTACTGCTGGGTGTGCTCAAGAAAATCAGGAAACGAAGACCGGAGCTACGGATTATAGTGAGCAGTGCCACCCTCAAGGCTGAGGACTACATGAACTTTTTTGTAGGAGGTGATCAAGCTGGCAATGATACCGCTGAGGACAACAGTTTTGCTAAGATCATTACGCTGGGAGGTAAAATGTATCCTGTCGACTGTCTGTACTTGGAAACCCCTACAGAAGATTACATCGAACGCGCCATTAAAACTGTTTTTGATATTCACGCCAATGAGCCGGATGGGGACATTCTCCTCTTTCTCACGGGGCGTGAGGAGATTAATACAGCAACCCAGAAAATTTCAGAGCAGGCCGCATTGCTAAGTGAAAAAGCACCGGCGCTTCTACCAGTGCCTCTTTATGCCGGCCTGACCGCTGAGCAGCAGCTATATGCCTTTGAGCCTGCTCCCGAAGACACGCGCAAAGTGATTGTCTCTACCAACGTGGCCGAGGCGTCAGTCACTATTGAAGGAATAGTCTACGTTGTCGACTGTGGTTTTTCAAAACTTCGGGCCTACGATCCATCCACGGGTATTGAAAAGTTGACAACAGTTCCCATCTCAAAGGCATCGGCGACTCAGCGGGCAGGCCGTGCAGGAAGAACTAAGCCGGGGAAATGCTTCCGACTATACACTGAGCAATCGTTTCTCTCATTATGCGAAGAGACGTCTCCAGAAATCCAACGTTCAAATCTTAGCCCAATCATATTACAACTCAAGTCTCTAGGTATAGACAACGTTGTACGATTTGATTACATATCGTCACCGCCATCAGAGCTTTTTGTACGAGCATTTCAGCTGCTTTCTTCCCTTGGTGCTATAGATGAGTACGCAAAACTCACCAAACCGCTTGGAGTTCAAATGGCAGAATTACCGGTCAATCCTATGATGGCAAAAGTGTTGTTAAGCTCGACGAAGTTTGGCTGTCTAGATGAGGTTCTATCTATTGCTGCAATGACAACACTTCAGGAAACGATCTGGTTCAACCAAGATGAAAAACGTGGAGTATCACCGGCTATACGACAGTTCGCCGTCGAAGAAGGGGACCACTTGACATATCTAAACATCTACCGAGCCTTTGTTACCAAGGGAAAGAAGGACCCAAAATGGTGCAGAGATCACTCTCTTATCCACAAATCTATGATGAAAGCTGTCAGTGTTCGTGTCCAACTTGAGAACCACCTCAAGCGCTTTGGAATCGACATGACTAAAAGGCAGAATGGCACTGCTACCGTCACAACCGAGCAAATCCAGCGGTGTCTCACAACAGGATTCTTTGGGCATGCTGCTAGGATGCAACCTGATGGAAGTTTTAAAAGCATCACTGGCAATATCACCCTGCACGCTCACCCAAGCTCGCTTATGTTTGTAAGTTGCCCTTGATAGGCCTGGTAGATGCTCAATGCTGACTTTGTATAGAATCGAAAAGCAGAATGGGTAATTTTCAACGAAATCCTGCAAACTGGCACTAAAACTTTTATCAAGGATATTACCAAGATAGAAAAATCCTGGCTGCTTGAATATGCACCCGAATATTATCGAATCAAGAAGTAGATTTAGACGACCATATGGAAAAGTTGCCCCCGCATGCCCATTTATTCAACTGATCTCGTAGGTTTATATGTAGAACATGTAGTAGACATATCTCTATAGAATCATTTCTTAAATCATGCTTAACGGCCGTGAGAGATGTAGAATTATTGGCGATTTCCTACACTAATTTTTAGCTGCGAAAGAATTTAAATATAAAATATTGCTGGCCAAGTACACCTCATCCCACTAACATCAACAACGTAACCGGAGATATTATACCCTATCAAGGTCAACACGTTAATATCGTTGTTACAGAGATTCAAGATGCCTCATCACCATCACCACGACGATCATGGCTGTCATGGTGAAGCAGGCCATGACCATAGCAATGATATCGTCCCCGCGGTCCAATCCCTTCTTTACAAACAAGTTGACTTCGATAAGATTGTCACCATGAACGAATCTGAACCTCAAGCTGGTGCTGCGATCGTGAAGAAGACCTGGGACCAACGCCTACAAGATGAGCCTCAGCTTGAAAGTGATGCGGATGAACAACTACTTATGCATGTTCCGTCAGTGATCTCTATACCCCTTCAACCCTTCAGCCTGGCTGTCCATATAATATATGGCTAGCTGATACCAAATTATTCCTTACTGACAAGGAGTAAATAAGCCTCAATAACGCAAGTGATGTACATATCGATGGTACTGACTCGATTATAGATTCGCCGGCCAAGTGAAATTACACTCTGTATTGATTTATGCCGCGCCGTCGCCCTCAGCTCCCAATACAGTAAAATTATTTCGAAATCGGCCCGACCTTGACTTTTCTACTGCTTCGGATCTTGCACCAACCCAGACGATATCTGTCCCTCAGTCTCTAACCGGCTCACAGGCAGACGTACTGGAAATGCCTCTTAACCGAGCACTCTGGAACGGGACAACGTCAATCACCATGTTCTTCGAGGACAACTGGAGTCATGGTGAGGAGGATGTTACTAAAGTCGGATATGTTGGCTTCAAGGGGGACTTTATGGCTGTAAATAAGGAGCCAATTACCTTCCTATACGAAGCTGCTGCAAATCCCAAGGATCATGCGGTGATCCAAGGCGTTGATGGGGTTGGCAAAACCATCGGAACCGGAAAGTAATTATTAGTTGAGTCGATATATTGGTTCATCCTGTGCATAATCACCAGGCGCCCCATTTTGTAAAGGGGTTCTACTTTCACATGGCATACGATCAATTTTTCAAGCTAGTGAGTTGAATATTCTAATGATTCAATCAGATGATTTAAATTTTATCATAATCCAAGTTCTAATTACTCAGTTCTTAATAAAAATGGATGCGTCATGTCCATGTTTAACTTCCCACAGATACTGTTGCAACGGAGGATAACTATGAAGGAAATTCATGTACATATATAAGAGATGGTAGGATGCAGAAAATCAAAGGATCCTAGGCTCCGGAGTATGTCGCTATGCAAGTCTAAGAATGGAAAATAAAGCAAAAAGAAATAACCTCCCGACGATCGCTTGGCTACTCTGCAATCGGCTCTCGAGCTCTTGCGGGCGCTGCTTCCTGCGGTTGCTCTGTATCGTTTTGTAACGAAGTAGTTGGGGCATTGGGGAGTTTCACTCGGTCCGATACCTGAAGTTCAAGCTTCTCAAGTTCATCTTCTACCTCCTCCTCGTCCTGGTTGGAGATCTGGCCCTTGAGTAGTTGGGTTATTTCCTATATGACACCGCTGTTAGACACTATAACGGAGCCAAAGCATATAATCTGATGCCACTGTACCTCCTGATAAGCTCTAGCCTCTTCCGTTTCACCCATAAGTTTCTCAACGCCTTCTAAACCTCCCATTTCGCGATGGATGGCCTGTAGAACTTTGTTGCCTTGGCTCAAGCCAAATAAGATATCTTTTTGCACTAGGGCAAACTCCACACTGCCGGTAAGCTTCTCCAGCTGTTCAAGCTGCGCATCAGTCTTCTCCAGAAGCGACTGTTGGTATTTCTTTCGCCGTAGCGCTAATAGTGCCCGAGGGCGGTCATTCCGTGCAAGGCATTGTTTGGCTATCTCCGTCTCACGATCGGTAAGAACCGTTATCCGTCTTTGGTATTGATGCAGTTTATCACGCTGATTCTTCAGATCAAGTATAGCCCTAATTTATTCCAAGACAAGTAGCAAAACAGAAAGATGCCAAATTACGGGTCAGCCGGGTTTGTTCTGGGATATCGCATGAGGGTGTTTGGCTGAACAACCACAAACGTACTTATCCTGCGCAGAAATCTTATGTGTGCTCCCGGCGTTTCCCATCTTTGCTATGACTGTTCTTCTGTATCCAAGGCCTGTGCATCCTCTTTCATAGCGGTTGATAAGCTATCCTTGTCGGTCTTTTGCCGGTCAAGTTCGTGACTTTGTCAGGAGGACGAAAGGCTTATCGATAAGAATTTAAGCTTCTGCCTTATCGCCCGGAAAAATGAAATTCCACATAGCTTATTTTTATCTTTATTTTTTTTTTGTGAATTTCAATTTGAAGCTGTAGAAACGAATGATCGTTTTAGAGAATTTATAATGGCGCCCAGGTACCGTGGAAATAAGTCCGCAAGTCTTGGGCATGGACTTGACAGAGAAGTAAGGCTAGTTTGCAGCCCTGAACATGTTATCTGCGGTCATTTAAGCTAACGGGAACACTCCAGATATACCAGGCGGTCCGTAAGCTCGATGAACAGCATCTTGAAGAAACAGGGGAGCCACAACCGCTATATGCGCATATTATATATGACAAAATTCGACGGTCGAACTCAAGTTTGAACCGCCGGCCGAAAAAAGTGCTTGAAGATAGCATTGAAAGAGTTTTGGAAATTTTTAAACTGGATCGCGCAACGGAGGAAGATGCAGATATAATCGAAGGCGATTTCGAGGGTCTTGAGGAAAATAAGCCCGATGTAGGATGCCCTGGTTTTAATGAAATTTACCAATTGTATGTACTCTAACGCTTTCGTAGGACTCTAACGTCTTGAACAAAAGCATCGTTAATATGTGGGCTTCACAACCAAAGCCCCTACCATCGCCGCAGAAAGCTTCGGAAAACACGACTCCAGATGTGTCGTCCTCGCGGGTGATAGCTAACAAACGTCGCGGGGCAGTAGGGGAGTCAGCTCCTAAAAGACGAAAAGCCGAGAGCTCCATCGATAAATCACCGCCTACGCATGTGAGCTTAGCGGATTTGGGAGGCGTAGACGACATTATCCAACAGCTAGAAGAGTTGATCGTTCTCCCGATGACTAGACCACAGATATTTTCTTCATCAAATGTACAGCCTCCTCGCGGAGTGTTACTTCATGGGCCACCAGGCTGCGGTAAGACAATGATAGCCAATGCATTCGCAGCCGAGCTGGGCGTGCCTTTTATTGCAATATCAGCGCCGTCAATCATCTCAGGAATGTCTGGTGAATCAGAAAAGGCGCTACGTGACCATTTTGAGGAGGCCAAAAAGGTAGCCCCGTGCTTAATATTTATGGACGAGATCGATGCAATAACCCCAAAACGTGAGAGTGCGCAGAGAGAAATGGAGAAACGGATTGTTGCGCAGCTCCTCACCTGCATGGATGACTTGGCTTTGGCAAAAACCGATGGGAAACCTGTTATTGTCCTGGCGGCTACAAACCGTCCTGACAGCCTTGATCCCGCGTTGAGACGAGGCGGCCGATTTGATAAAGAAATCAACCTGACGGTCCCCAACGAGCCCGTGAGAGAACAAATACTTCGGACACTGACGAAGGATATGAACCTGGCGGATGACTTGGACTTTAAATTTCTTGCAAAAGGAACAGCGGGCTTCGTCGGTGCTGATTTAAATGATTTGGTCTCTACGGCGGCAACCGCTGCTATAAAACGTTACCTCGACCTTTTAAAAACTGCCCCAGCAGAAGAAATGGATATCGAAGAAGAACAAGCTCCGAATGGAGTGAGCAAAAAGGTCTTAGAGCTGCGCCAGCTCATAAAGCGAGCTCGCGAGACTCCTCATGAAGCAGACCCGCAAATATATGTCTCAAATGAAGATTTCCTTGTTGCTCTGCCCAAAATCCAACCGTCTTCGAAACGAGAAGGGTTTGCAACAATTCCTGCTACTACCTGGGCAGATATTGGTTCACTGGGCTCTGTACGAGAAGAGCTTGTCACAGCAATTGTCGAACCTATACGAAATCCCGAGATATATTCCCGTGTCGGAATATCCGCACCTACTGGCGTCCTGCTATGGGGTCCTCCAGGCTGTGGTAAGACTCTACTGGCAAAAGCCGTGGCCAACGAGTCCCGCGCAAACTTCATCAGTATCAAGGGTCCTGAGCTCCTAAATAAGTACGTGGGCGAGTCTGAACGTGCGGTACGGCAGGTATTCTCCCGAGCTCGATCATCCATTCCATGTGTTATTTTCTTTGATGAGTTGGATGCTCTGGTCCCTCGACGGGATGATACCATGTCCGAGGCTTCAGCACGCGTTGTTAATACGTTACTTACGGAGCTTGACGGGCTTGGAAGCTCGAGAAATGGTATATATGTAATAGCAGCAACCAATAGGCCTGATATAATCGACCCAGCCATGCTTCGCCCCGGTCGCCTCGAGACATTACTCTTCGTGAACTTGCCCGGAAGAGATGAGCGAGCAGAAGTGCTTCGAACGCTGATACGGAAACTGCCTATCGAAATGACAGAACAGCTAGTAGAGTTGGCACGCTCCTGTGAAGGCTTCAGCGGAGCAGACTTGGGCTCTTTGCTACGCCGGGCAGGTTATTCTGCGATAAAGAGGAAAGATACCATCAGATTCGAAGACTTTGTTGCTGCTAAGCAGGAGATACGGCCCAGCGTCACGGATATGAAGAAATATGAGAGCTTGAAGAAAGACTGGGGAGGCGGGAGTGCCTTTTAGTTACAGATATAATATCCACAGTGTTTGGCTACGACCTCATAGAAAGCGCCCATGCAAGTTATATTGATACCCTATGTTTACAATAGAATAGACATTCCTGTACAGCCATATCAAATACATTGGCTTTATGAATGAATATAAATTAACGCTTGAGACAGTTTCTTTTCACTATTACATCCAAAGTCTACAAGTACCATCTGCACCGGCGCTAACACACCATGCCTCCCTAGGATGCCAGTCAACATCAAGTACGCCCAAATCTCCAACAACTTTATGACCACGAAGGACTTTCAATGGGACAATATTTGCATTGCTCATTAGGTCACCAGTGACGCTGCCATGGAAAATCTGAAGGAGACCATCATCGCTAGAATCGATGAAAAGCGGGTAACGCTGGTGGTATTTCACCGCACGAATCGCCTTGCTATGGTAACGTAAAGCTTTATATGGACGATCTGACAGGTCAACATCATGCCATAGCAGACGACGATCATAGGATCCTACAATCAGATTGTCCCCTGAGATAGCGGATGAGGTAGGATGAATGTCGAATGATGAAATCCAGCGGGCGCCGGGTTGGAGGATTTTCAGCAAAGTCTGACGAGACAGGTCATAAGATCGGATGGTACGTTGGTTTGCCACATAGAGGATGGGTTTGGCAGGATGGAAATGGGCTGTCTGGGGAGGACCGCCTCCCTTGATGCGCTTGCGGAAAGGGTATTGTGTTGAGTGTTTTGAAAGGGTGTGGATTGCAATCGCGACCGAGGCGGGAGTTGCTGACGCAGGGCAAACAGTGACAAAGTAATCACCACGTCGATGCCATGATATCGATTTAACAATGTGTCCTAGGGGTATGGTAGCATAAACCCCATTTTCGGCGAGCGAGGGTAGAGGGCGAGTCCATTGGACCTTGGATCCTTTTTGCTCGGTGTTTTGAGCACCTTTGGATGCCGTAGCTGCGTAGCCCCATCCGGCATCTACCACGTCGAGACTCGCTGATTCAAGTTTGGGGCTTAGAATATCCGGTATCATTAGATATACAGACTCTCCTGCCGCAGCAGACAGCAAAACGGCATCCTTTCCAGGCCTCCACCGAACAACATTGACAGCCCCTTCATCATTCAATTGTACACTCCACAGTTGACGTCCTGTAAGAAGCTCCCACACTCGAACCGTACCATCATCTCCACCACTAGCCAGCCAAAGCCCCGTCGGGTCAACTGCAACACTCCGAACGCGGCCTTTGTGGCCTCGGAATAGCGCTGAGCAGGTGGTAGGGAAGGGCTTTAACTCCTCTGGGCTTGGCAATTTTGGAAGCAAGCTGCTCGGGTCGATATTTAGTTTATTCCGGCGTACTCTGGGTGCCAAATATAGGTCCAGGCAACGCTCAAATTTCTCCTTAACGAAGGCTTCAAATCCAGGAACTTTCCTGAGTGAGCCATAATCTCTGGGTAAGAATGATTTTTCGCGGTCCTCTGGGTCCTGTTTCTCCCAGGCTCGTTTCTCTTTTTCATCAGGTAGATATTCAGGTGGAGGGTGGTAGCTCTCTTCGTAACCTGGTGGTGGCAGTTTTGGTGCTGGAATGTGCATCGGGTGATCTTCGCGCGGAGTCTCATTAGCCCAGAGATCGAACGTTTGGATATTATCCTGCGAATCATCCTCCTCTGGTGGTGGCTTGTATGGTAATATTCTTCCTTCTCTTATCGCTTTTACTATCTTCATCACTCGTTTAGCTTCATGTTTGGAAGCCACGAATCTCCTTTTGGGTTCAGGGGCGGCGCTTAAGGGCATAATCTCTTCTTTACTTGTGAAATATTCCACAGTGGGCTGATATGGGTCGTATCCATCCTGGGTGACCTCGTTCATCTGTAGCTTGCTGAGGAGGGTTAGCTCGTCCTGGCTCAATTGCAGCGGCTTTCCTGTGGCCGGATCAGTCAATCCTGTCCAGCCCTTGGGTATCTCAATAGTATCAAGAAGCGCATCCAATGCTTCTCCTTTGGCAGGCCGCATAATCTTCTTTCCATTGATGTTATATCCAATATGGGGGTAAGCATCGTAGAACGAGGTGGGGATGTTGCCAATCGTGTTAGCATCTTCGTCCACTTCAGAGAGATCTGAGTTGTCGTCGGGGTTTATCTCATCATATATATATCGATCGTTGCCATTCGCATCCTTCGTAATTCGAAAATTGACAGTTTCTTCGTCCTCGTCGTCCTCGTCCTGAAATGCAATCTCTCCGGACTTTCCTAGCTTCCCACTCTTAGCATGAACCGGCAGCTGACCTTTTGATGCCAGGTCACCGTCTATGGACTCGTCTTCGCTTTCACCACTGAAATCATCAATAAGTTCAATCTCTGAATCTTCCTCTGAGCTCTCGGACGCGGAGGAGTCTAAGCGAAACTCCTCTCCAGACACAACGTGCGTGTCTGTCTCAATATCTTTCGTGATAGCCTTGCGCTTCTTGGACTCCATCGAGGGCGCCATGACTGTGGATAAGGCCGCTGGAGTGAAGTGCTTCTCCTCTCGTTGCGCCGATGCAGAAGCTCTTCTTCTTCCATTGACTTTTTGAATATCAAAAAAATGTTGATTTTTTTTCTAGGAAGCTTAAAAAATGGGTCACAATATACCTGCTTATGTAAGAAGCTAAACTTCCGCGATGACATCAAAAGTTGACATCAGCAGCAAAAGCGAAGCAACTTTGGATATCTTAGTGATTTATCGATACTATCTGAGCGGTAGAACGGGCGATTATACGTACATATTCAGGAGAAGAGGCTGTCGTTTATACACTGGTAACCTCATATCGACCGGAGATATATTCAGATTTCGAGATGACTGCTGAACCGCCGTCTGCATTTAACTGGCTTGACCAGGCTTTACCACTCGTACAAGAAGACTCGCTCCCATCAAGCAAACCAGCGGAGGCGCCGAAGAGACACGCAGCCTGTGACGAGTGCCGTGAGTTTTGTTTCTTCTTTTATATGCACGAAGAATGCGTTGATGGATATAGTTACTGACTGCGTCTCCACAGGAAAACGTAAACTAAAGTGCACAGGAGACGTAAACGGCTGTCGTCGATGTACTAGGCATGGCCTCTACTGTCACTATTCGTTTCAGAAACAGATGGGACGACCACCAAAAACAGCTAGAAGCCTGGTCGGACTCAACAACAGGACAGGGTCACGTAGCCTTGGGTCGGCAGAGAACCCGGACCTGGCGTACGGTACACCGGACGCACTAGGTGCACTTGAGGCTAGCAATATGTGCCCTGCAATATACAAGACTTTCATGAAGAATACGTATGATGTGCGCCCTGGGCCGTTTATAAGTGATGGACCTTTGTCCGGATCGAACGATTCGCTACAGCAGGCTGCCCCAGAAACATCGACTATGATACCCAGGGATATTGACTACTCTCAGATTTCGTCTTTGCTCTCCCCCTCCCAGACAAGTCTGGAATCAAGCCCAAATACCAGCACAGCCAGTCCGGCCCCGTCTGCATTTCCTCAAGTGCTAGCACCCTGCTCATGCCTGTCCCATCTATACCTATCCTTAAGCTCCCTTGCAACTCTCAGCTCATTTCCCCTCTCTCCGAATACCTTAATTACCCTATACAACGCCTCCAAGACGGCCAGCGGAGTACTAAGCTGCCAAATCTGCCCACAAACATACAGCTCTGCAGTGCAGAATCTCATGCTGCTGGGAACCCTGCTCACATGTATTGCTAATTCCTGGTATGAGATCTCACTAATGGACGCCGAACCTCTCGCAACGGAAACCCTCGGCCAGTCAACTATCAGCTCGCTTCAGACTGATAGCGAGGCCTGGAAATCCTTTTTGAAGGATTGGCTATATCAAATTGTTCGATATGCGGTTATCGGTCACCCCACACCCCCCAATGCCCCTTATGTTCAAAACCAATGTGAAGAGAGTCCAAATCTATTGAGCCTGGTAGAAGGAATGGAGGCACGTCAGATGCAGTGGCATGCCGCCAGGTTGCCGCTGGTTAACCCCAGTTGTCCTCGGGAGCACGCAGAATCTTCTTCTACCGCTGGCCAAAAGGAGTCCGATTACTTTTGTGTTCGCGTTGCTGGTAACGCCAGGCAGATTATCGACCGATTTCCCTTTAGTGCTGATGAGTTACAGAATAGAAAGTGACTATTATGGCAATTATTACTACGTATATAGAACGGTGGAAAATGTTAAAAATTATCTATATCATGGCGTACAGTACTCAACAATTGATTCTCTAATTATTTGTTATATTATACTCCGCTTTTTTAACTTAGATGTAGTTATGATGTACATGAGAGGGCATTCCGATGACCAGCAGCTTAAAACTTGCGCCGTTAAAGAAACAAAAGAAAAGAAAGAAATGCACCAAGCCGGCTTATCTGGGGGTATGTTGTTGTTTCTGTGTCTCTTCTGCTTTTCCTAATTGCACCGTAATCTATTCATTTCAAATTCGTTGGATGTTGCGAAATGCGGAGTCGGTATTGGATAAACGGATCACTCGTCATCGTCATCATCAACAACGTATCTGTGTTTCTTTCGCGCCTGAGGTGAAGCCCCCTTTTGACCTGGTGACTCACTCTCATCCCCAGAAGGCCTGGAGGCTTTACCGGTCGATTTAGCAGGTGGGACATCATCATCAATCTCACCCTCGGCATCCATTTCCTCGACCTCCATCTCTTCTTCTTCCTCGTCCTCTTCGACCTCAGGCTCCTCATCACTACCGACCAGGAAACCGTCGTCTTCATCGTACTCGTCTTCACGCGTCCGGCCTCTCCGGTCATAGTCGTCTTCTTCATCGGAATATATGTCATCACGACGCCGTGGTTTGCGAGCCGGTCTCTTCGCCCCGCCACGGGACTTGGTTATAGCCATATCCTCGTCTCCCTCGAGATCGGCGATCGTAAGGCCTGCTCCCGTCCGTTGGAAGCCTGTGCTTCGCCGGCCGCGGTCGACTTCACGTTCGACTGCAGCTTGCCGTTTACGGGCTTCACGGAGTTTCTCTCGTTCCGCCTGCTCTGCCTGTTTCTTTGCAAGCTCGGGGTCTTGCTTCACCTCGATGATGGCAACTGACCCATCGGCCGTCTTCTTACCGCTTCGTGCAGCAGCCGCAAGCGATTCCTGCAATCTCTGGACGGCGTCGTCTGTTTCGACTGTTGAGGGAAGGATACTGAGGGAAGAGGTGATGCGTGAAGTAAGGCGGATGACTGACGATGCCTCAGACGCAACGCCGAGGTATGTATGCGCATCTAAGTCTGGATCGTACTCCTCGCGCTTGCCGGGCCTGCTGGCTTGCGCGAGAGGCTTTGAAGATATCCTGTACTGCTCGGTAGGGTTTGAAGCAAGCTGGAGAGTCAGCGAGCCATCTGACCAGCGTATTATCCTGGCATTGGACTGGAGTTCGCTTCCGTCTGGACTTGTCCTCCAGCATAGGGAGGTAGAGGCGGATGAAAATGGAGGCGCAACGTATGTTTCAGGGTTAAAGTCTTCAGACTCTATGGAGAGAAAGTTGGGTATAGCGCAATTAAAAACCTGTAAAACGGTTAGCACGTCCTTAGCAGTAGATAAGGTAGGAACGGATAGATAGGTCTTTTTACCTGTCCGTCAGTAGGCTCTGGTTCCGGAGCACGTCCTAGACTCAGGTCCATGATATTCAACGTCCCGCCGTACTCCATGCCATCCTCCTCCATGGGCGACCCGGCCCTGTCGTAGCGTCCTTCATCGTCTCCCGAGTCCAGTTCAACGTCATCGAGCTTCCGGCGTCTTTCATGTCTGCTCCTATTAGTATCTATACACATGGCCGAAAATGCACGAGCCGGGCGCAACACACATATCTTCTTCTTCCTCTTCGGAGCCAGACCCAAACAGCCCCATATCACCATCGTCATCAAGCGCTGGGGGGCTGTTATCCACATTCTCATCCTCGAGGAGCTCGTCCTCCGCCTTTCTCGGAGACTCGTCCAGGTCCATATTTCGGTATCTTCTGCCGCGTTTCTTCTTCTACCTCCAAACACACACCGGACAGGACGTAAACAGAGAAGAGAAGAAGAAACACAGAGAACAATAAAAGGGAAGATAAACTGAAAAGTGCGAAAGCTGTGCTGGTTGAAGATGTCGAAGCTTTTGCGACCTCCCAAGATCAAAATGCGGCTTCCGGGCCGACAGTAAATCCGAGATAACCCAAAGACCGCCAGAAACATCCAAAAACTCCCCCTTGGATAAACAACATGACGCAGAGACAGTGAGAGAAGAAGCAGAAGACGCAGAAGTAGGGAAGAGAGAAGACAGGAAGAGTGTTCTTTTTGACGGAGACAGCGCACTTTGTTCTGCTTCTCTTCTTCTATAGCCAGAATCCACCCACGCGGCCAGTTCTACCCTGGATCTCGCAGGCCAGTTCAACCAGTGTGCCCGGACAATGTCAAACTTCTTCCAGAGCGTGTACGTTTTTCCGTCTTTTACCCTCAGTGGCTTGGCATAGAGAGTATATCCTACCGTATCTAGTCTATACTGACACTGATATAGCCGGCAGGGCTTCGGTCGCGGGTCGAACAAGAGCAGCAACAACACCGCCAACTCAGCAAACAGCAACGCTAGCAGCGCCAACAACACCGGCCCTAACACACCCAGTGGCAGCATCAATAACAACAATAGCAACAATAGCAACAATAGCAGCAGCGGCAACAATGGCGGTAACCTACCACACAGGGCCGCCGACGGTTCTGGCTTCCCGCCGTCTTATCCCCACAATCAAGCAGCCATGCCAGCCCCTCCATCTGCGGCCCTAGAGCCAGCGCAGCCCGACCAGCGGGACTCGATCAAGTATTTCTTCCAGGAGAAGTACGCCTCGTTAAACGTCAAGGGCAACTTCTTGACCCTCTGTGCCTGTCCGAAGAACGTCGAGCTTGGCGAGTGGCTCGCCCACCAGGGTTGGTCGATTCCTGACACTATGTTTCGCATCCAGGGCTTAACTGACATGTGCATTTAATACTAGTTGTCGAACAGAACCGCCTGCTCCATGGTATGCTGCAGGTTATACAAGAGATCAACGGCGTGACCGGATACCCAATCTGTAATGAGATGACATGTCCGACTATGTCTGCTGGAAAGTGAGTGTGCATTGGTACTTGACCGCCCTCTCAGATGCTAACGGTATTTTCCTTTGCAGCTTAACATACACATGGCTGGTAGACGGCAAGGCTGCAAGGATATCCGCCCCCAAGTTCATCAACCGGGTCGAGAAGTGGATCGTCAGCAAGATTCACGACCCTGTCATGTTCCCTACGGACCCGGTAACCTCGACTCCCTTCACCTTTGGCTACAACGAACAGGCCAACGGTGAGAATGCAAGTGCCCAGAACGCCGACCCCTCGCAGGACTGGATCGGAAAGTCGAGCGGTTTCCCCCCGACCTTTTACAAGGACTGTCAGGGCATCATGAAACAGATGTTCCGCTGCTACGCTCACCTCTACCACGGCCACTGGGAGAACCCTTTCTGGCACATCAACAAACATGAGGTCCTGAACATGTGCTTTGTCCACTTTGTCACCGTCGCCAAATACTACAAGCTGGTTTCAGATAAAGAGCTCGAGCCCATGCAGCCCCTGATTGATATTTACACCAAGCAGGAGAAGATACCTCCTGAAGCCCTTGCCGGTCACTGGGCTCAGCACTCATCCCAACCCTCCCAGGCATAAACTGTCATAGACAGTATTTACAAAACATCCTCTAAATTCAAAAAAAAAAAAAAAAAAAAAAAGAACACAAAGGAGCATCAACTGAGAGCTACTGGATATTTGAAAAAAGGGCCAAACGAAGTGCATCGGATATGTGGAAGTTCTCTTCATTTTCTTTACTTACCTTGCCAGGAGTTTAACTGTTCATTTGGGCTTGAGCTGAGGCATCTATCTGAGTCGGATAACTGGTTTATTTTCTTCTTGGCCTCTATTATTTTTTTTTTTTTCTCTACCATGATTAACTACTTAACATGCTATCCTGCTACGAAGTGGACGTCACCATTTGCCAGACAAGAGGCGATAGACCTAAACAGTCGAGCAAGCGAATTCCATCTTTTTTTCTTCTCTTCATCTTCCTTTATTATGTTCATCTTTTTATATGTGAATAAAAATCCCACGTCACGTGATGATAAAAATGCCTGCCAAGTCCCAGATAGGAAATCAGCTTTCTATCAACTTTTGTGTTTGTTTCTAAACTGCGGGCAAAGCCAAAAAGCTGCGACTTGTCGCAAGATTATTTCCTGTCGACATATAGAATAGCTGAAGCAGCCTAGACGGTGTCTGATAAGGTGAGTTCCGCGCTTGACTATACAGAACTGACTCGAGCTCAGGGAGAATCGTGTCTGACTCATTTCTAGTCCAGCGCCCGGCTTAACCATTGAAACGACCACTCGGTTTTATTCTATAGAAAAAGCGCTATTTCCTTCATAGCCGGCTGGGATTAACTGCGATACGATGTCGTCCACTACCGTGGCCCTGTCTCCAGGCCTTACCACCTTTCTCAGGAATCTAAAGGTCACCTCAATTGAGTCGTCAATCGAAACGCTGATATCGTTCGTACCTATCTTACCTCCTTCAGATGAACTGCGATACTAACAACATGTAGGCTCCTTAAACGGCGACAGATACGCCAGTCGCACTCATGTGCGGTCGCAACAGCATATCTGCTCATGCGAGTCGTTTCGACGTTTCGCATATGCGAGCCGGACAAACTCATAGAGAGAGTGCAGCAAGTTGGCAGGCTGATTGTAGCTGCACAGCCGCGAGAGATGGTGGTTGGGAATATTGTCCGTCGTGTACTAGGTCTTATCAGAGACGAGGCAGAGAATGAACGGTTTCGAGGGCTGAGTTCACGACGACGACAGCAGCAGCAGCAGCAACAACAACAACAGCAGCCAACCGATTCTGTGTCAGCAGAAAGTACTCGACCACATACGCCACAAAATACAGCCAGCAATCAACCGATGTCTACACGTCTAGATATACCCTCGTATCATGCATCACACTCTCGGAGGCGAGGTGGGCCTCATCACGAATTAAAAGGACTATCCCCCTTTGAAACCTATGGACGACATTCGTCTCGGCCGCCATTGATGACGCACCCGTCCTTCTCCGGAGTGATGAGTACTTCAGTGATATCCATGTTCAATCTGCTTTCTGAGCCCGAGCCGGAGTCTCCCGGGCCTGTATCACCAGTCGCGCCAACAGCCTCGCCATCATCTGATGAACCGACAGGTAACAGCCCAAAGGACTTTAAGGCCGAAGTTATCGACGGTATAACTGAGATTGTGGACGAGTTAAATCAGGTGGATGACCAAATAGCGGCCTATGCGCTTGAACATATCCACTCAAATGAGATAATCCTTACCTACACTTCCTCCGTCACGGTCCAGAAATTCCTTCTTAAAGCTGCTGCACGGCGCAAGTTCACTGTCATCCACGTTGAATCGTATCCCAACAGCCACAAGGATAGCCACGCTGCAGTAACGGGAACCCTAACGGGGGATGAAGAGGGCCTGGCGACAGACTCTTTCCAGAAGCCCCTTATCGCCCTAGGAATCACAGTTATCTTGATCCCCGACTCTGCTGTGTTTGCCCTGATGTCACGAGTGAACAAGGTCATTCTGGGCACTCATTCTGTCCTTGCTAACGGTGGTCTTGTCGCCGCAGCCGGATCCCGCGTTGTTGCCAGTGCTGCCAAGGTTCATAAAACTCCCGTGGTGGTGGTTAGCGGCATATACAAATTAAGTCCTGTCTATCCCTTTGACTACGAGGCCCTGATAGAATATGGAGATGCCAGTGCCGTCGCAGACTACATGCATAGCGATGTCGTTGAAAAAGTCGACGTGATGAACCCACTCTACGACTATGTGCCGCCTGAGCTGGTTGACCTTTACATCACTAACGTGTGAGTACCACCCCTTCGTTTTCTTTCTTCCTTTGCTCTCTGACCAACCACTAATTTGAGATCAGTGGTGCCCATGCTCCTTCATATCTGTACCGTATCGTGTCAGACCACTATCGTACTGAAGATATCACCTTTTAAGAGATCCGGTTGGTATCCGTTAAGAGGCAAAACAAAAGATCACGCAAGACTTATGGCAAAGCAGCACAAATGGAGAAAAGAAATGGAATTTTTGTTGACTTGCACCTCTGAGCTACTGATTGAAATCGAGCGAATGCACAAGGATTCCACATTTACCGTGATCAAGAATCTCGGTCTCTGTCTAAAGCAATGGTTTTTGTTTTGCCCAGCAGGATCATCCTTCACATATTAACCATAGAATTCGTAGCAATTAGCTTCTGTACTGTGCCATAGCCATAGCGCCAAATAGGCATTTAATTCTCGCGTAAAACCACACACATCGCGCCGCCGCATTCCTTTAAGATCGTGGCTTCTCCTTCTTCTCCTTCCACAGAGCCGACAGACCGACACCAGAGACCTTGACAACCTTGAATCGAACACCGGGAATATCACCCTTAGCTTTGCCCTTACGACCGAAACCAGCAAGTAGAACCTCGTCGTTCTCATCAACGAAGTTCAAACAACCGTCATTGGGAACTATAATTCAAAAGTTATATATTAGCCCGTGTCCCTTCACCAGTATAGCCGTTTGCCCCTCCACCATCCCCCCAAAGCTAGATAGATCTTCAATTTGTAGACGCGAGACACCCAACATACCGAAAGCAGTGACTTTCTTTCCGTTCTTGACCAGCTGGACCTTGACACACTTTCGAATGGCAGAGTTGGGCTGTTTGGCCTCGACACCAACTTTTTCTATAACGATTCCTTTGGCGTGTGACGATCCACCGAACGGAGAGGACTTGAAGGCGGTTCCGAGAAGGCGCTTCTTGTATGAGAGATCCGCCCAGCGACCCTCGCGGCGATGGTTTCGCAGCTTGCGGGCGGCGTTAAGACCACGCGGCTTGCCTTTTCCCATCTCGATAAATTATCTATGAATTAATTTGTCTCGCTGTTTTGAAGGTGTAAGCCGTTTCGTTCGTTCTCCGCCAGGGTGTAAGGGCTCTCACATACGGATAGGGAAGATGTGTTGAGGGAGAAAAAAAGGCCAACGAGCTGTTGTCGGTTTTTCTTCGTTTGATCTCGTCGTTGGTGTCGAAGTCGCCAAAGAAGTTTTTTTTGGTGTTTTTTTGCTAAAAGTGCGTTTGGTAAGCGAAGTGGAGGATAATTATTCCGGCTTAGTAAGTTCTTACCTCATCTTGATGACAACAAGGGTTTTAACATGAGATTTATAGGATAGAGGATGATGGATGATGGATGATGATAGACGGGAAGATGTCGAAAGGTGACTCTTCTAATAAGCAGGAGAAGCGGTTGCCACCACCGTTTCTCTTCCAGGGCCCGTCTCAGAATGCGTCCAGCGCGTCTTTGGCGAATGGGAACAACAGCAACACTACAGCACAAGCACCGGCACCAGCTCGGCCTTCACTCCCTCAGGCGTCTTCATCTCATGTCTCAATGCTGAAAGACATTCAAGACATCCACGACATTCATGATATCCATGATATCCGGGACATTCAAGGCCGTCCACGCCCCGACCAGGCACTGCCCCAACGCCCGGCGGAGGGAGCAGACGCCCTCTGGGACCAGATGCAGAGTGCGCTCGCCGAGGTAGAGCTGGCAGCTACTGGTGGTGGTCGTATGTTTGGGTCTTACCATCCTGAAGTTGTGGAAACCCTGCGAGCCAAGCAGCTTTCTCTCGCGCAGGCCTGGGCGAGGACTGAGGCAGAGGAGGTGCCGAACAGTGTCTCCTCTGTCGGAAATGCGGCCTTTTTGGAGGCAGAGGAGAATAATCCCCGAGAGGTGCTGGATGAGAAGACGGAGAGAGATATCACCCATGCCCGGAAAAGAAGGGAAGCGAACGATAGGTACTTTGAACGTGTTAATAACGGTGTCATTGATGTTGTTGCGAAGTTGGAAGATGTGGCAGAGACGATGCGAGAGGTTGCTAGCAAGAGCAAGGAAGTCTGGGCTGAGAGTGGAAGTATGCAGTCGCCTATTGGTTCTGACGGTTGACGGTCTTCGCAGCAGAAACACCACGATACTGTCCAGACTCTATTATACAGAGATATACCACATTCTAAGTTATATCCTAGCGGTTGCACCCGGTAGCAGCGGTAGGAGTGTCCCATCCTCATCAGTGGCAGATACTACCTGGACTGAGCACACATGAGGGATCCAAGGTGTAATCTGGTAAAACCCGAACACCTGTAGAGTCCTTTTCTAGCAAATGAACAAACGACGGAAGACACCCAACTCTAGTATGAGTAATATACATTATAACAATTGGCAGTCGGCACGTCTATCCTCCACGGGCCTTTCTAAACCTCTCCCTTAAATCCTCCCAACTGAATTCATGTATACTCCGAGCTAACGACATAACCTCTTGATTCCATCTCATCTTCCATACATCAACCGTAGTTGGCCCTCCGCGTGGGGCGTAACCTCGTCTTGCTAGTGCTGCAGCATAGTCGACTTCGTCTCTCACGCTGTAATTTATGGCCGCAGGCATAGACATGTTATTAAGAGCATCGATTTGTTCCCGAAGAAGAGCTTGCTGCTGCTGTCTTTCCGAGAGGCTCTTGAGCACAGTAAGCTGGATAACAGCATAGCTCAGAGCAAGTCCTCCAGCCTTTGGCGCGTCTATTGTTAGCAAGCTGTCTGTTATCGAATGGCAGTCAGAGCATACAAATCCAGCGATGAAACCCATCTTGATACCAGCAATAAGTGGCAGTATCGCCAGTAGATTCTTTTTTCAGACCATCGTCGTCCTCGAATTGATATGTTGGTGAGTTTTCGTAGTTTTGCTGCTTTTTTGTCTTGAACAAAAACTCCGCCAAGCTTTTTTCCTTTTCGGGAAACCTTTTTGCGTCTTCAAAATTCCAAAACTTCCAAAGGTCAATTAATACCACAACATCTCTTATTATCGCGATTAACCGGACCACTGCTCCCGTTGAACCGGTTCTTTTCTACTTATATCCTTCACAATGGCTGGCGGTGCCATGAAATATCGACATCTCGGTCGCAAATCCTCGCATCGACAAGCCCTGCTACGAAATTTAGTAACCTCTCTCTTCACACATGAATCTATAACGACGACATGGCCTAAGGCAAAGGAAGCTCAGCGGTTGGCGGAGAAGCTGATTACGCTAGGGAAGAAGAACACAGAGGCCAGCCGGAACAGGGCTCTAACGGTTTTTTTTGTACGTTCCCCCAGATATGCGCGAAGATTTTACCTTGGAAGAGAATTTAATTCCTATAAAACGCAATGTAACTGACACTTGAACTTGACCAGACACCTCACAAGCTCCTTCCAAAGCTCTTTGGACCTCTCCGTGAACGATACCAGGACCGACCAGGTGGCTACACTCGAGTCCTCAGAATTGAACCTACAAAGCCTGACCAGGCCCCCTCTGCCATCCTCGAGTTAGTGGACGGGAAACGAGATATGCGGTTTGCAATGACGGCCAGGACTCTTGCTCATCAACGAGCAGCCGGTGAAGAGGGGATGAACGAAATCACGGCTAAAAATGTCATGAAAGTGACCAGATATCGACCAGATGGCGAGGCTGCGTTGGAAAAGGAGGTACAAAGGATAGAAGCAGAGGAGAGGAAAACAGAGAGCAAATAGTAACCCTTTCTTTGCCTCTGCTCTCGTCTGGTTTTGCTTGGTATGGCGTGTTGGACTTATAATTTTATGTTGATCAACTCTAGAGGTGCATGCTCGGGTCCCTACTTTTGATCTTCTTCTCTCGGAGGGGATATGCCACTGATTGGAGCCCACTGGCACTGAGCGGCCTGTATGCCATGCTTGTTACTTTATATATATTGTATATTATGATTTGTTTGTCAAGTATCTATGGTTCAAAGGCCCGGTTGTGGTATCGTATCATCCATAGGCAGGCTCTTGATGCTCCATGCGGACTAACTGCAAGGGTGATTGGGTATTTACTCATCATTAAGCTGGCTGGGATATTTGTTTCCGGAAAGACACCTTCTCGACAACCACATTCTCAGCACCCTGCTCGTCTACCCGTATCTGGTAGACATATAGCACGAGAACATCTCCTTGCACCTATAACGTGAAGCGTGAGCAAATAACTAAGTACTAAAATAAGAGATAGAGAATGTCTTACATCCATCAAGCAGAAGCTCGGAGTCGGCCCCTCTCCCTTAGATACGCCTGACGTGGTAAAAGCGCCAGTCGCACTGCCAGGATTGACAAAATATCTGCCTTCCATCTCGTATGCTTCGAACTTATGGGTCCCGCCCCATAATAGGATATCAACATCCATCTGCCGGGCCGCAATCAGCAGCGCTTCCGAATCTCCCTGTGGAATAATGGTGTGGCCGTGAGTAAACCCGATACGCAAGCTCCCATGCGTGACAACCTTGGAGAGCGGGAGATTGGGAGCATCCACGTCGAAATCGCCCTTCACGACCTGCAGGTCTGGCGCTATCTGGCGGAGGAATTCATATGTATCTCGATCCGTGAGATTGCCGAGACATAGTATCTGGCCTATTTTCCCGGGTGTGAGGAGCTTCTTGAACTGTATAGGCTCATGCGTTAGCTGGCCGTGGTGGTAGGGAAATGGAGCAGCGCTAGATGTGCACTTGTAGGCTTCGTACCTTTGCGGGGATATCCTATTTTAATCGTTGAAATAAAGCCCTTATTATCAGCATCACGTCTATAGATCAGGCCTCCGCGAGGGGGTGTTCATATGGATAGTGGCTTACTGGCGCCCTGTCGGGAATGAAGAGGTCGCCAATGACCAAGACAAGGCGGGATGTCATCGTTGATCAACGAGTGCGGCGTCAATAACCCATTCCCAAATATCTTCGAGGTCCAAAATGTCAGTGTCTGCGTTTTGTCTCTTCTTCGCTATCTCAGAATCATAAAAACGTCACCGCGAGCTATCTATCACGTGAGGAAGCCATCCGCATATATATAAATTTACAGAATATAGGGACCTGTGAAAACGACGCCGAAAATGACAGCCTCTGCATCCAAACCCAGGCCCCCTCCGTTTTGCCCAGCCTGGTCGAGCGGCTATAAGATGCTTTGTCTGCCCTCTCCCAGGGGTCTTTCAACAACCTCGATCAACCTCGACACTCGATACTGATACACATAAACGTGCTGTTTGCCGACATCCGGAAATGCTGGAGTTGAAACGAGAGAAGAGAGAGCTTATGGCAGAGATGCGATCTCTGGCCGGCACTGTGAAGAATGCCCAAAAGCCCTTTCCACACCTTTATCAACGGCACAGGCCTCACTGAACTTGACGGAGAATATGGCTATAGTACACAAAGCTGTTGACAGAGAAACGCATAGCTCGTCTACGTTAGTACGCTGTACGGTGCCTTCCTGGAGGGTAGGGAGTTTTACATGTGAGGCTCTCTACATCGATCGGGTCATGATTGGGTTCCAAGGAGATGGCTGAACGTCGTGTGTTTGGAGCTTGAACGCTATAATCTATCGAATGGAGTAAGTAGAGATAGCAAGATAGCAATATATCCTGATGATAAATTTAGGGTCAATCAGCTATAAGCAAAATGACTAAAATACAATTTGTGCTTCACCCGTGGGAATATTAGATCATGCGGCAAAAGGGGTAGTAGATGGAGTATGATTAGTGGGTAGTAGACGTACACAAACAGATACCTAGAACCCTAGTCAAAAGAAACCATTCGCCCAAATTGTCCTGGTTTAGGACTCATCAGAAAGATATGGCTCAGAATATTCATCCTCGGTTGTGTTCTCGTCGCCTGAGTTGATAGCATCCTCCTTTTTCCAACGATCCAATTGGCTTCGCTGCTTCGTGGACACGACAAAACGCTCATCAAAGACCGACCGCACCGCAGTTCTCGTGGCCTGTTTGAAGGTTCCTGGATGTGAAACAACGAATAGCACAGCGTTGTAAACCTTGGCAGCATCTTTCTTTTCATCGCGGAATTCGCTGCATATTATCAGGAATAAAAGTCGAAATGCGGCGTCTCGTGCTCGAGATTTATCGCCCCTTACAGCTCGATAACGCTCATATTCGAAATCGTAATCGGGTTTGCAAGCCCTCAGATCGGCAAAAATACCATCAATGGACTGCCCGGCAAGCACGTCGACCCCGAGAAAGTCATATGTTTCACAGAGAGTGTGATACTGAGGAATATCACCTCGCAAAGAGCGGAAACATTGTCGATAGCCTGATTCCAGGCCCTTGAGAGCAATATCAAACAAAGCAATATTGCCATGGACGAGTGTCGTATTTTGCGGCTGGGCAAGGCGTTGAGACCTGACAAAGGATGATAAGTATGGTATCGCCGAAATGTCAACATCGTAGAAAGTATCCCCAATTTTGAGTGTTGTTTTCCGGGAATTTGATTCAATCGCCTGAATCGGTCCAGCTTCACCACCGAGTTTCAGATAAAGATCATCCGGTAACATCCTCCTCCCTTCTCTCGCCCAAACCGCAAGGCTACCGCTTCGACCGTCATATTTAAGGACAGCATTCCCCTCATTCTCTCTCACCACTCTGATGATTTCCTTGACCAATACAACCAATCTCCAAAGGTCGTCAGCATGGCATTCTTCCCATTCAGCAATCTCACGGGTGACGTCTTTGACTTCCGGCGGTCCAAATATGCCCCCGCTGTGGTAGGCACGGACAAGATTCGGTGTTTGCGATACCCATAGCTGGGGAAGAACTTCTTGGATGTCGATAGGCTTATGAGACACACGCGTCTTGATCTCAAGAGTTGATTTGATTGGCACCCGTTTTCCGTCTTCCTGAACTATTAGTCCGGATTCGGTGGGAAGACGAGAGTGATTGTTGGGTCGCGAAAGAGACAGGTTTTCCATCATGTTCAGGACATTCTCATCCACACTTTGAGGTTTTGAAACGTCATCAACATAGGCGTCGGTTTCGTAGCGTACTATGAATTTCAAACCACCGAAGTTGTACGAGATGATCCGATGATGTCCAGTGCTACCGGATACTTCGGTTGTGGTGAAAGCTTTCTCGAACTCGTGGCCGTAACCTCTGAAATCGTGTGGCCCAATGAATGTGTGTGTTTCCGTTTCTGCCCGACAAAAGATTGCTGTGTTGCCTGTGATCTCAACGTCGATGGTAAAAGGCTCCAGTCCATCTTTGGAGAGATGTGGATTGATGAACGACAGAAGTTTGCGGACGTTATTTCGATCGGTTATCAAGTCAACTTCGCGTATGTTGTACGAAGGATGTTCAACGTACAACGAGCGAAAAAGTGGCTCAAGCGGACTTTCAGGATGGCGACACGCGTTTTGAGCAATGTAGATGAGCCCAGCGTCCTTGGGCACTTTCTTGGGCGTTCTGGGTGGAGACCAACGCGGCGGGCAGCCGGGGACGGCAATAATGGGGCCAGACGATTCTATCCAGTTATACGAAGCCAAATGCTCCACATTCGTGATGGACGGCCCACTCTTGTCATCGGTCGACTCTGGGCGATGTATATCTGCAATCCGAACAGGACCCATGGCTGCCTTGCTTCCTCGGTGGTATTATGATAGGAAGGAGAATGAGATCCGGACTGACTTACTCAGCATATTTATATATCAAGTCTTACCCCGCCCGGGCTTTGACACATACTTGCATGAAACTCTAAGATCTGCAGATCTTTATTGAGCGGGCCGTAGAATTCTGCGGTGGTCCGGGGCTTTTTCGTGGGGGCGGGGTTATAGAGCGAAGTTATAGTATGACGTTCGATATCAGAGGGATACTGCACCGTATTTCTCGCTGCCCTTACTATGTAGACATGAGTAAGTACTATTTAAAAAGCCTTGGGTATTTGGGTGGGTTGGGCTTGGGTCAAATCTGAGCACTTTTAAAAAGCCTTGGGTAAGTAATTATAATGGCAGTATACTGGCAGCGAGGATACTTGCAAACAGTGACTGTGCGGTACGGCCCGTTGCGGGGGTACCGACAACCACGCCAAAACCAGGGGATAAGGCATCCGATTTCATTGTACCCGACTCGCACTCGGCTCAGGCGTTGCATTACGGGAAAGTGATGCCTAAAAAGATGAGACACCCTGCGATACAACCAACGCCGTGCTTGCATCCCTCAGCCTCGGCCAGTTTGAGTTATCTGACGTCGCACCTGTCTTTCGTCCGCGGCCGTCACCTTCCCCCATGTTGCGCTGGGGATTCTGCTGGCATGGCCCCCTGCATTTTCGGCTCTGCTGGGCCGAGCTACCCCGACTGGCAGTGTTCACGGCTTGCGGAGAGCTTTGTTGCTGTTTGGTACCTGACCCTGGTGGAGGCGCACGCAGCCACTTTTACTCCCAGTGCCGGCTTGGGTTCATACCCCCTCGAGTGTGAGCTCGTATGGTGGGCCATTGGTCTCAACGACTATGCCAGGGTGCTAGTGGACATGGCATGAGGTTTCACGTCCGCACGCCATCTGTGAAGCTCAACCACATACTGTTTTGAGCAACTTCCTAGGCTTACCTGTTGCTGCCACACCACCTGCGGCTGTCGCACGCATCAAGGGCCTGTGGCTCCAGGCATCGGAAGATGGCATGTTGGCTGCATACGAGCTGTGGCGCGACAGTTGTGTAGACAGCTCGCAGACCACGTCTCTCAATGCTTGGCTTCTGTGGGACTTTCTCTGGTGCCCGCGACCCCCTCTCGTATCTGCCGTCCGTTTCGCCGCTTCGCAGGTTAGGGAACGACTCTCACAGCGGTCACGAACTTGAAAATTTGACTTGTATCTCATTTTTTTGATAAGGGTTCTCTTGCAATTGCACGGACTCTACCGTTGAATTTAGAGATCGACATATTAGGTGCGGATTGGTAGATGGTAGATGGTTGGATCCTTCATGGACGTTTTTTGATGAGTAACGTTATAGTCTCCCGGTAATAAATAGTTCATTGCTAGAAAAATGTATACTCTTCAGCTGTATTTAGTATATCACACGAAAAAATGAGTAGAGCCGCTGGCTTCCCACCATGTAGATTAAGCGGTTGTATCAAAAAGACGGGACAAGACAGAAACAGCCAACCCCTTAAGCTTACCCAGATTAAAAAGAAGTTCAAGAAGGTCGCTATACTCGAAATAATAACACGGTAATAATAAGGTGTATAGAAGGGAGAAAAAAAAGAAAACAAGGATTAAAGAAACCTGTGGGAAGTCATAAAAAGGTGGTCGTAAAACGAAGCATGCAATGCTTGACACTCTAATGGATATGAAATAGAACTGCTTGCTGTACGGCGGCATAACAAGTTTGTTCATGGACTAAAAAAAAGTACGCGCAGAGGTGGTATGTATGTATGTGCGTAAAAGGGCTATCGATATCGTTTCTTGCTATCACGACTCGGCGGGGCGATAGGCTTGGTGTTAATATGAGATACATTCTTGGATCCTGACAAGTCGTCCTTTCTAGTGGCGCCGTGTCGAGTTGGGGTTGTAGGTATAGGAGGCTGTGTGTGGTGTTTGGCAGGGCCAGAGAGATGGCTTGTAGAGTTCGACGCATGGGAATCACCGTTGGGATCGTCTCCATCTTGTACTTCGACATCGTCGAATTTGTTCCCTTCGTTCTCTGACCCGGATGAGCTTGGGCTAGGGCTCTCGGACTCTGAGGGGGCCTCGTAATCGCCATCATCGCTGACTAGGCTCGGCGCCTGGTTAGATTCGACAGTATTAGGACTGAGGTTTGGAGAATTGGAGTCGGCCATGTCGATGTCTCGACCGGCCTGGAGGTGCCTCTCTCCTGTGATGCGTCCTGACGACGAAGGCAGTGTTGGTGATGTCTGAAAGCGGGCGGGCGATCGATGGTTGAGACTCCGTTTATCCATCCCTTTCCGGCTACCGGGTCTCTGAGGCTGTGAGGAGGCATAGACTGTGCGAGTGGGTAGTCGGTTATTTCGAATTCTGAGCTGGGAGGAAGCGTGATTCGCCTGAGTGTGGGGTGTATCCTCTGTCTCACTGTCTGAGTTGTCATCAGAGAGAAGCATGTCGATGTCTGGCTTTGTAAAGGCATCGTTCACGATATGAGATAGGTCTATGTCAATGCCCTTCCAGAGCATCAAGGAAGACAAATGAGGCGTCTGTGGCGAGGCCTTGAAGGTAGAAGCTGGAGAGACATTCGGCCCTTTGAAATTCCGTTTGGGCGTATGGGACTTGGGTAACGGCTGAGAAGAAGAAGAACTAACGGGCTGCTGCAGGGGAGGGCTGGCCTTTGTCTGCGGGCCTTGTTTTGCCCCTTTGGCAGGATCGGTTTGAAGGGCAGATCGAATCAAGGGATGCACGTAGCCGGCAGGGCCAGCGGCGGGCGCCTCATTCTGTCCGCCAACTACGGTCCCAGCTTCGTCAACCTCGACGGGCTCACCCGAGGCGGCAGCTGCCGCATCGTGACTCGCAAAACTACGGTTATGCGCAATTCGGCAGTGATTGATGAAACCCTGCGTGCTGGAGAAGTTGTCTCGCCTGCAATCAAGGCACACCAATTTGACGAGCTGGCCATCCGACTTGCGTTTTATGATCATCGGGCCGACTTTGTCCTTTGGTGGAGGGTATCCGCTCGAGAGGGCCTGTAGTTTAGCCCCAGCAGCACCGCGCTGGGAGCGTGAGGATGCCGTGGTCGCGTCAGCCCATGCGGCACGGGTGGTCCGCCCATCTAGCGGGCTCTTGCCGGCGCCAGATGACGGCACCATGTCAGCCTCGCCCCCGTCGAATCGAGGGTCTGGGAGAAGCCACCGGGCATAGTGGCGGGTATAGGCTCCATTGTTTGCACCCCAAGGCGAGGGAGAAGCTGGTGGACGAGGATTGCTGCGTGGCATCACCGCAGGGCCAGTACCATTGCTGACAGCGGCCAAGGGCCCCGTCAGACCGGATCCGGGGTACGGAATCTCGCCACAGCGACGGAGCTGCTCCAGGGCGACCTGGCACTTTGCCATCTCCTGTTCTATCATCCGTAGCTCATCGTGCTTCAGCAGGACCTCCAGGCTAAGCTGCGACTCCAGGGTCTGGCGCAACTCTTCGGTGTCCATGGTACGCGCCGCCATGGGTTGCCGGAGATCGCTGATTCTGGGTATGTCCAGCTTGTTGGCGGCGCTCGCAGAGTCGGGATCGGAAGGCTGTCGGTCTGGCACTACTCCGGAGTCTGGCGTCTCTCTTGAACGGTCGATGTCATTGCTCTCAGATGCGGTAATATCGCGCAGAGTGCTTAGTTGGAAGCCAACAACCGCAGCATCTGGCGACACAGGCTTATCATCCTCCCTCGTCACTTCTGAGCCAGCAGAATCGGACCTTTTTCGCTTCAACTTCTGCTGTGTTGGTGAACGGGGACTCGGCGCGGGAAACTGGCTCTGCTCCGACACAGCCATGCCCTTCACTGCTCGCTCCTGCGCAGTTACCGGTTGACCCCTAGCAGCGGAAGACCAGGGCAGCAGACGGAACATGCCATATATGAGAGCGATTCTTTGCGGAGGTATGTATTCAGTTCAGTTCGGAGCGGAGGTAGTAGACATATATATTTTCTACAGGGGACCGGCCGCGACCACCATCGTAGGCCACCAGGGCTGAGAGGAGAAGGGGTCTGCCGTCGTCTGGACGGTATCCGGCGAGCGCCCTCGACAGCGCGATCTGTCTTTCAGCGGGACGGGGACGAGGACGGCGTCTCCAACCCAGAAAACCGCTCCAAGGGCCGGGAAACCAGGCGTGTTTCAGGTACGGGAAAAAGCCAAACCGGGGCGGTTCGTCGTTCTGCGCATGTATATCTAGGCAGCACCACGGACGGGGGCGACGGTGCAACCGTAAGGTCTCGTACGCTGCGATGAGCCAGCTTGCGGGCAGCGGTCGGACGGGAAGTGTGTTGTATATGTCGAGTTTGGTCGTCCGTTCAGTCTTTTGAGGCTGTGACGTTTTCGACGGGGATGAAGAAGTTTGGTTTGACTCTGACCAACCAGCGCTCGCGACGGCCACCACATATAAGACGGCGGCGATATAAAGAGGGACAGGAGGATGCTACCGATATAATACATCTAATACGACGGGCCAGATGGCGATGGATGCTTGACAAGATGCAGTGTAACTATTATGGGAGAGAGGCTGTTCATAATAGTCTACTATAGTCTACTATGGAGTATATATCAAGTGGAAGCTCGTGGATCTGCTGCCTGAGGAGAAGCCGGCTGCAAGACTCTGGCATCTGTTGATACGTAGAGGCTCCTGGGACAAAACATCGAGCTGTCTATTTGATATGCAAGACGCAGCGCTTGCTCGGCCAATCGGATGAGTGCAGAACAAGATATAGAACTGTATAGCTGCTGCTCCCATGACATGTGTAGCCTTATAGTCAGTTATATTCACTTTACACGCTGATAACACACATCGCCAGGAAAAAGAGGATATAAAAATTACACTCGTCAAGCACAGGTACGTATAGACATGTTCCAACAATATATAAACACATTTCCCACAACCAGAACGTGCTACGGTTTCCAACTGCTCTTGCACCCATTCGCCGTGCACCAAGACACATCCAACAACGTAGACGTAACACTCCAAGAAGCTCCCCCCAACCCGCTTATTTGGCAGCGCCCTGTCGGAACCGCAGCACGAAATTGACGATGACGGCCGCAAGCAGGGCGATGGCCAGCACCGTGGGGCCGAACCGGTCGTCGAAGCCGCTCTGTCCCCGCCTCCGGATGCTCTGTGCTCGCCAGTGGAACGTCACTAGCGCATATATCATGGCGGCCATGGCAACGAACGTGAAAAGGGCAGCACTGATCTGGCCGACCCGGTCACCGAAGTTGAGCAGGCCAATGGCCAGGCCGCCGAGGATGATGGTGAAGTTGAGCCATGAGAGGAACGTTCGTTCGTTGGCGAAGAAGACCTTGGGCTCAACTCGGGTGGGCAACGCAATTCTCTTGCCTGTTTGATCGTAAGCTTCACTTCCGTTTACTCTCTCAGCTGTGCAAAGACGTCCGCCGGCCCGACGACTTGGTTCGGTAGCTTACCTGGAGCTGACTGCAGGAGGGGCTGGCTAGACATGACGAGCCGAAGTATGGACGGCGAAGAACCGCGGGTGGGTGTGCAAGAGCTCTGCAAGCAATTGAACGTAGACCTGAGCTCTGTATATATTATATATAATCGTGCTTCGTTAAATGTAAAATCATGGCCGGCTGAAGAATCGCCAACATCAACTTTTTTCGGTTTTTCTCTCTTTTGCCACTTTCGGCTCAAGAGCTGTCACGTGGCTGGGTAAGTCACATGATTGGTTTACTTATGTAATACTTATAAAGCGACATTATATAATCTACAGTCTGACATAATCACTTGATCGAGGGCTCGAAAAGTAAACAAGCAGAAGAAAAAGGTCGACTTTGCCGGTGATATATTCATTCCTGCAGCGATCGAATATCGTTGTCGACACCGGACGGACGCTCCTTATTCCTTTTCTCGCGTAGCAGCATCGGACAGACGACATGGCGGTTGAACCACATTCGAGCTCGGTATGGTTAACCCCTGTGTTCCTGCTAAGCAGCGCATCCCAACTGACATTTGAAACCATTACATAGCCAATTCCTGTGGAACAGCTCACCAAGTTCGCAACGGAGGTTAATATCTCTTCCTTGCTCCGTTTACACGCCATTGCGCATCTGTTCGGCGGTTGTCAACATACTAACACAACCCACCAACTAGGCATGCGATACCACACTCGAAGGCGTCGAGCAGTATGACCACGAAAAGGTCTCGGAATGGAGCGCACAGATAATAGTACGGTTCCCCTTCAGTCAGCCGCTGCATTGCATACTCTACCGCAGCATCAGGGCCAGGGACTAACATCGATTGCTGCCGCACAGAAACAAGTCCTTCAATCTCTTATTGCCGCGATACCCTCTGACGAAAACGACAATGAAGACAGCAAGCCAGACCACTCAAAACCCACATATCGGTTCAACGTCACCTGCACAATCATACAGCAAGGCTTCTCAAGCAAAGAGGGGTCTACCACCGTCGAGGCTGCTGGGCGACGGGGCATGCACTGCGCGTCAGGGGCGTACTGGGACACCAAACACGACGGCATGTGGACGTACAAGCATCCTGCTGGAGAGGAAAAGGGCATGGACCTGGTCTTGAACATCGTCTGGTTTGGATCTTTGAGATAAATTACGAGGGAGCGGAACACACAAACATCAGGCAGCCCCCCTCTTTTTATTCCCCCTTTTTTTTTTCTGGAAAATGTACAACAATCTCCAGGATGAGAAGATTTTGGATTCTGGGGAGAGTACATGAGTGGTTGGACTAGAACACCCGCTTGGAGACTCCTTTCTGGCACCAGGGTGATGCGGAAAGCCTCCATATTACGCATACTTATACCAGGTCATATAAAACAGCTGGTAGGTGAGAGTGGGATGTATATGTTACTTCTTTTGAATCCTATACCATCTCCTACACCGATAGAATGGATAGAATTGAACTGCGTCTGTTTCATAAATCATACATAATTCCCTCCATACACTAAATTATCCTGAAAGTAGCTGGAACAAAACGCCGTGGTAACATGTTAACGCCAGGCTAAACCAGAGCCAAGGAAGCAGAAAGTAGATATCAAAAATGAGGAAAGGTGCGCCTTCACCGTGGCTCAGAGTAATCATTCAAGGCAACACACACTGCACCCCGATGGTGGCCTTGGTACTGGCGAATGACCTGCCCTGATGAAAGCTCCCACAGACGTGCACAGTGGTCACTAGAGACCGTAACCAAGTATGCAGAGTCAGCTGAAAAGGCACAGTCCCACACCCACCGCTGATGGCTTGCCAGCGTTGTCTCCAGATAGAGCGTATTAGTTGTAGGATCCATGGGAGGCCCGTCTAGCAGGGAGACAAACGGCTGATCCGACACAAAACTGTCGTTCTGGATAATCTCGGATGCAGATATTTCCGTATTGCCGCCAGATTTAATGACCGCAGAGCTCGCCGGGGACCCTTTTCCATTCCATTCAATTCTGCTCTTTGTCGATGCCCTTCCAGTTTGTCTCCCGTTTGCTTCTTCTCCATTTAGAGAGGCCTTCTCGCCAGCTTCCTTTGCTTTCTCCCTGGCCGCAACAGCCATTTTTGCAGGCCCATACTCCGGGTCAAGCGACCAGACTTTGGCTGTGTGGTCAGCCGAACATGTTGCTAGGTGCTTGACATCTGGTGAGAGTAAGACTCGGGTAAGGTAGTCTTTATGGGCTTGGAAGGTTGCAACAGGGACAATGCTCGTTTCATCCTGGTTTTGAAGCATTCGCCATAGGTATACATTTCCCTGTTCGGATATCACCACAACGGTAAGCAGCTTGTTCGGCATATAGATGTAGGAATGCTAGGAGGAGCATTACCTTGTTATTACCAGCACAAAGCAAGGAGCCATCACTGGCAACGCTGACACTGGCCATGGATACATCTTCCTCGGGTATAAGCTGGTGTGTACACCTGCTCTCACCCAAATCCCACACTCGGATGAAGCCAGATCCATCCGCGCTGATCAGTTCGCCCTGGTTCGGGTGGATCACCACATCATTGACAGGAGCCTTGTGCGTGTAATTCCGCTGCAGCGTCCCCGATCTTACATCCCAGACCTTCACCGTACAATCTTCAGAGCTGGTAACCATCCACTTTCCTTCACAGTGGAACGCGACTCCAGTAATATTATTGGTATGGCCATCAAACTTCATGACCGGGTTTGGATTTGACGACCGGATATCGTAGAGGTACACGCGATGACGGCCTGCAGCGGCTACAAATCGTTTATCTGGGGTAATGCATAATCGGTTGACTTGCGACTCTGGATGCTGGATTGTTCGTGAACATATGCCCGAAAGGGCTTCCCAGAAGCTAGACAGCGCGTTAGTCGTATAAAACTCCAGCTCAACTCGGCGCTTCTCTTCCGCCACCGTATCCAGCAGCAAACATACCGGATAATATGATCGTAACCAGCTATGCCCCTCGTTAGTTGCTATGATGAAGCTGAAGAAGCGGGACGGCGACCTACCAGTACAAAGGATCACACTCATAGTTGCAGCACAAGTCTTGCTACTCTGGATATGGCTTCAACAGCTATAAAAAGGTCACCACGGCTGAACACTTGGTCATATCCCTTTTCCTTCATCTCTTTTCACGTCGTTTCTTACAACTCTCGAGCTCGAAGAAACCGGCGGATCGGCTAAACGTTTTGCCGGGTGGATGTTGAGCCTCAAGTACTTCCACTCTGTATATTCAGCTCTACGAAGACTTATAGCCCATAGCTTTATTTAAATACGGTATCAAACGATAGCTCTACTTGTAAATAGTCTTCTGATAAGAAAGTATTCTGGTACATGTCTGGCACGGTGAGATATTCTCAAAAGCACATCAAGACCAGTTACTCTGTCGGAACATCAATAATCCTGCATAAAAAGTGACTCCGACATAAAACACTGAAGAAAAATGATTCATCCTCTCCACAAACCTCAGAGCAGCTAGATAGAAGCGGGATAACAAGTGGACAGCAGGAAACCCTTTGCAACGAACATTTGACTTAGTTCAAGAACTGCTTCCCTCACAGACTTGTTAAGAGACGACTACTACTAGCTTGGAGAGGGTTCTTCGGTTGAGATCTATGAGCCCTTGTTGACAGGCTCGTAGTGTCAAGAACCCCAGCAGGATTGCACTGTGATGCTTCAAGCTCCATAACAAGATGCAGTCACTGTCATCAGAAGGTATTTATGCTTCTTTACAGACACGCTGTTCCTCTCCCTCCCAAAGCCCTCATGAGCTTCAGAAAGACGTCTCTTCCAACTCTCCGCCAAATATGAATCAAGGCCTGGAGCTTACAAACTTCACTGAACCACAGCTGCAGAATTTGTGGGATTTTCCCGGTGAACTGGAAGGACTCGAGGGGTTCGACACGCTCCCCGACATTGGCCTCTTCGAAGAAGACGGCGGTTTGGACTATCAAGATGGATTAGACGGGCTCGTGGACTCGAGGAGGGGCGATGATGGCAACACCAACAACCTCCCACAGAGGGACAGCACACTCATCGATACTATATACCCGGCACAAGGGCAAGCGGACGCCGGTGCCCGTCACCCCTTGTTGCGAGACGGATGTGCACACGCCTTGACGGAGATGACGGACGTGGGTAAGCATACACTCAAGAGGCCCTTTAATAGCATAGATGATGCCACGAATACCCCTATCGACGAGTCGTCCGAAACAGCGAAAAGACAGTGCCAAATCATACTCGCCAGGCCCAACAACTCTTATCATGGTGAAAAAGATCCCTCGTCTTGCAGTCATGGTGCTCCTGCGTCTCAACATACCAACCACGGTGCATCCACTGTTATTCAAGGAGCATCAAACTATTCGAGTACTTCTGGAGAGAAAGTTAGGCTTCATATGCTATCTCTGCCGCCGAGCGTACAGCAATCCCCCAATGACACTTCCCGAGCGCAGCGTGAACCATCTGTTGACTCGTTATTTGATGACTTGGACGATTCAACTGTGCCTCCTTCACACCATCAACCTTTGTCTTTACCAGGCTCCACGCGGCTCACCGTATCGCCGTCTATTTTATCGCCTCCTGAATCTCCTCTCCCCGAGGAGCCTACCTTTTCAAAGTCACAATGGCCTAAAGCCGTGTCTGAGATCATCAGAAAGAACAACAGTATCGAGAACCAGGATGTCGTCAGCTCTATGTATCGAGAGATCTTCACCATGCCCCGCAATGCGCAGAAATACATTTCTCCTTATCCGCGTATGGGCGGGCCTTTGGGCTACCTGCCCTCGACCCCAGTGGCTCATGTTAAGTGCGTGGAGGTAGCAAAAGATACCGTTGCCAACCGAATGAACCAATACCGTAAGATAATCCATAAATTGAGATACGACCGCGACAAGTATCTTTGGCTTTCTACCGAGTGGAACGCTGTTGATTCAAAGACGGGAAAGACAAAGGCTCAGCAAACGAAAGAGGAGTGCTCGGGTCTGAGGCGATCAATCACTCTAAGAAACAAGGCAGTCAACGAGGCCATGGCAGAGACAGAGTTCTGGCGCAATAAATATCGAAATCTTGAAACTGCATACTGCAATCTTGCCAATCAGTATAAAATTGCCACCGCTTCGAATAACAGATTGAACACTCCTGCCTCTCAGCCACAGCCTGCCTCTCAACCCTCCTCCCAACCGGCAACTAGGACTCCAAGCATATCCTCAACACCATGTTCTGAACCCGTTAGCATCGACCTTACCGCGGAAGAGCCAGGAACCTCTGACCCCACGTTACTTAGCCAGACGTCGTCTCTCCCAGAGCCTCGCACTTCCGCCTTGAGCCGTATGCGTAAGAAGAGATACAACTGGCTAAATAACGGCCAACCCTTCCCCAAGGCGAATGTTACAGAGAATAATGGTGATGATGACGAAGAAGATGAGCTAAGTCAGATGCTGATGCGAGAACTCGAAGCCTCCACCTGAGATCATCATACGTCTGTTTTCTTTTCTTTTCTTTTCTTCTTAATTATCACCATTCTTTAACAGATTTTGGTGTCTCATACCTTGCGCTTTTCATGTTCGCCTTCACCTGATACTATTCGATGTCAGAGTTTTCTTTTTTCCTCCATATTCTATAAATAACGCCGTATATGATACCCCTTTTCATAGGTACACGACTAATGCCATAGCTGTTTCGTTTCCTCTCATTCTACGTTTACTGTATTGCTTGTTTGTCCTTCTCAGTAGGGATAATCAGCCTTGAATAGTGCACAGCATATCCAGACCAAATAAGAATCGAAGCCCATAACAGGTTAACTAAACCGCCTGTTGCATCCAAGTAATTTACTGCCGACCTGTTCATCGTTCAAATCCATGCGCAGAAAAGATAAGGACGGGGCTTGATATAACCCAGCTATGTAGTATGCTGAGCTGCTCCCCACATAGAATATATACATTCACTACTTTCTCAAAGTCGATAATACCAATTCTATATTCACCAAAAGACAAAGAACCTCATTAACCATAACTAGTCACGTGTAACCAGTTATTTAAAGGCTCCCAAAGCTTCAACTTCCTCTCAACCTCTCAAGATGTGGTTGTGATGTGTGGGCAGCGATGATACCACATATACCGTTCGGCCAAAGGCTTATACCATGGTGGCAGCGGGTACCAATATGAATCGCTGCACCACTTATATGCATGTATGCCTGACGAGCACCTCGCCATGGCAGAAGCGAGCTGAAAGACCCCAGGCGCAAAGAGCTTGTTGAATGCCTGAATACACTGAGAGGCCGAGAAGCTCCTCCAGCCGTCCTTCCGCCTCTATTCTGGGCAGGGATCTGGTTTTCGGACTTGGAACACCTGGAAGCTATCGTCACTGAGTTCTCTAATGATATGGAGGAATGTACCACTAAGTACAAAGAATATTGTTAAATCCACCGACAAAGAGTCAACGACGATGGCAATAATAATACTCCTGCACCGACTAGACGGCCGGATGATTCATGACATTCCAAGGTACGCCGATCTAAGAGCATTTCAGGAGGGGTGAGCGGCTCCGTATATTTCTGCTATCCATCTATTCAATTATTCACGTGTATATTCTTATATATATTTCTAGTGCCATAAGAGAGACAAGATGTGCGTAGTCACCAAAGTGACAGGACCATGTTAAGCGGCACATGTTATACCATCCATCCGGTTTTGGTTCTAAACCACAAGTGGCGCGCACCTACTTTTGGAACTCTTCGTTGTTTTTGGAATCCAGACAAAGTAAATAAGTGGCATCAATCCGTCGAGCAAGCTTCTACAGAATCTATACGGAATTGAGTCCTTCTGGCCCCGCGTGTCCACCACCACTGGGACAAGCAACTATTTGCTCTGGGGCCAATAGAGCGATCAGATGACAAGTCACTATGGCTTAAGTTATACTGGCTCCGTGACTCCCGAATTCCCTCTTTTGCTTCAGAGGGATTATCTCGCTGTGAGGCACCAACAATGCCCAGCGATCTCGAATCTGGTGGCTCTATATCCAAGTATGATGTTGCGCCAAACCTCCGGTTATACAACTACAAGACAGATGCTCGGATTGTGTCGAGAAATACTATTACTATCTGGACCGAAGACCCAGACGGCCTTCCACTGCCAGAGATTGAATTCTTTTGTTTACATGGCTTCTTCATAGAGTCACTTTACTTAAAGCTGCGGCAAGCCATAATCAAGATGAGGATGACGACGGTTATTATGAAGATTATTGTTATTATTATGACAACGGCTTTGAGCCCGAGCCGATTATTACGGAGCGTGAGTTCAGCTAACCCCTCGGAGACAAGCTCCTCTCTACACTCGGTGATCCCCCTGTTTCATTGATGGGTTAAAGATTATCTCTATCGCACCATATCTTAGCTCCTACCAGCTTGGAGTAAGTTTTCAGGCCACCAGCACACCATATTAAAGGCCTACACTTTATTGCTCTAGCACAGTTACTACGGTAGGCGAGTTCACCAGTTTATCCTTCGAGTGAAATTCCTTGCACGCGATAACCCTTCTCTCACTTTGATATATATACAGATACATATGATACCCTTATATAGTTAATTAATATGATATTCTGAAATTGCTAGCAGGACAACGTAGCTCACTCTGTTATCTCTTTGGTGCTGATAATTTAAATAACGTATACAACTAGGAGGTACACTGCAGCGAGTCCAGTGGGCTTAAAAGCAACAGCACGAACGTCATGGCTAATACTTGTCACTAGGCTTGATCTCGTTGAGGATAACATCCAGGTCCTTTTCACAGGTCATGCTCTCATGCTCTATAATCTCCTGATGCCTCGGGCTACGGATGTCGAAGGCGGCCTCGAAAGGCATCGGCTGTGAGTCTTGGCTCTGTGACATGTTATCCGGGTCGATCTCCTTTTTCATCCCATTCTCATCATAGACATGGTTGAAGTTGAATGCCCAGAGCATCCGTGATACCACTGAAAACAGAGAGTCACGGGCTATATACTGCCCAGGACAAGCTCGTCTACCGAAGCCGAAAGTACAGGCTGGCAGCTCCGGGTCATCAATCCATCTCTGCGGCCTGAAGTTGCTAGGATCACCAAAGGTTTCCTCATCGTGCTCGAGCGACCAGTGGTTGGTTGCCACCGGAGTACCCTTTGGAATCCTGTAGCCCATGTACTCGTCGTCCTGGATAACCTCATGAGGCATTCCCGTAACGGCGATGGGCCTCCATCTCTGGAATTCAGCTATAAAGGCATTAACATAGGGCAGATTTGGCATGTCATCAAATGTCGGCAGCCTATCGAACCCTACAACTCGGTCAAGCTCTTCCTGGGCCTTCTTGACAGCATCTGGGTGCAACACTGCCGCCATTACAAAAACGCTCAGAGACATTCCTACGGCGTGTCCGGCTTCGAAGAGGCTCGAAATAGTCCACAGTACCTCTTCCCTGCCGACTTTATACCCTTCTTTCCCCTCAATCATGGCCTTGGACCAATTCCAGGAACCCGACTCAAGTGCAGCATCTGTTAATCGTTTGAGTACCTGATACTGCTCCTTGTTGGTCTTTTGTGACCTAGCTTTCCATCCACCGAAGAAGTTCAGTACATAAACGAGCCATGGGTAAGGCTCTATAACATGGTTATCCTGAAGCGCCTTCTCGACATCCATCAGGTTTTCAATATATCCTGGGGGATATCTCTCCCCCAAGTCAGTGATTCTCCTGCCATACATCAACACAAGGAGCAGATTAGCCTGATAGAGGTCGAAGAGGTCCATAAACTGGCTTCCATCTAACAGTATCTTGTGCAAGAGCTGTTTGCTTTCGACATCTTGAAGAACGCGATATCGTTTCGCCATGCTAGAATTGACAAGAGTCATCTGGAGACGGTTACGCTGTTTCCATCTCTGCCCATATGGCAGAAACGTTGTCGAATCGCCGTTGAACCCATAGTCTCCTAAGCCAACATAGTGTGGGCGAGAGCTATAGATGCTTCCTCGCTTATCCAGGAGATCTCTGGCCGACTGGTATGATCCGAGCAAGATCACCGTCCTCAGTCCGCATTTGACCGTGAGTATTGGGCCATACTTGTCGTGCCATTCTTTGTACTTCTTCCATCGGAAATTCTTTGGTATCTGATGCAAGTTACCTATCACCGGCAGCGATGGGGGCCCGGGGGGCAGTGGCGGACGTCGATGGAAGAATCGGGGCGCAAAATAACAAATAATCAGACAGAGTCCGATGAAAGCTAGCGGGGAAAACATCTTCCTCTCACCTGTGTTCTGACGTCCCAAGGGTATCGAAGCGAGACTTATGGTACTCTGTTTTCTGGCTGGCGTAGGGCTTGACTAACAGCAAAGTAGAGGAGTTCACTTTTATACCCATGAAGTGTGAATGCATGTTCCAATGTGTGCGGTAAACTAATTTTGCATGGTATTTACTCTGTATGAAACGCTCCAATACTTGGGTCACCAATTGCTAAAAGGTCTTTGAAACCAGCCCGGTTGACTTGTGCTTCACTCGATCTTATTTTTGGGTATAAAACAAATGTGGAACTGCAGGCGGTGGCTGGCTGTATGGTCATACATAGTAGTAAGCTATGTACTATGTATGCACGCTAACATAGCTCGTCACATAGTAGCTATTGCCACATACTTAGTTAAATGCCCATCAGCAGGCGGGCTTGAAGGTTGAAGTGAAGCACGGCGAAAATTACACACTGTGGCCGCTGTGGGAGATGAGTTGTCATGGATGATCATCGCACAAACTAGTTATGAGTGTTAACTAAATAACTTAATACATAGCTATGTAGGAGCTCGCAGATAGGGAAGATCCGTAAGTCGCTGGCTGGTCAATCCCATTTTCCAGCAATCCTACATAGTAAAGCTTGGTTATTATCTTCTTCTGATGTCGTGAAGTCAGAAAGGGGCATAAACGTTAACATAGGAATTCTCATATCTTTTCTGCAAAATGCCTACAATCTCTTATTACTCCGTAGTAGTAGACACTGAGCGTTTAGTAACAGGAGCCCTCAAATAAGAAAAATCTTGAGACTATGGGTGGCTACACATTGATTATTTAGCATTAATATAACTGAATTTGACAGTGACCCGGAATAGTATCTTATCGTGTTCTAAGTGCGCGTTTGGCCGTGTTATTCTAATGGGGATGCATTTAACTGTCTGTGAACCAACTCAGAAGGTGAAGGAAACGATGTCCTTCTCTGATCATAAAAACAAAAACCACAAACTGTTCTGAATCCGATTTAAACCAAAGGCCCGTAGGGAGATATATCTATCTACTGGCGGCTCTTGTATCTCATCTTGATTTCCGGGTTCAGGATCGCGACAGCATCCACAAAGACGTTGAAATCCGGAGATTTGCCGTCTTCATGTGCAAATTCCATATTGTAGGCCAATAGCATTTTCGCAGCCATGAGCTGGCACAGTCTGATACCCAACACTCGAGCAGGACATGACGAGATGCCGAGTCCAAACGGCACCCACCTTTCGTTAGGCGAAACGGTGTCGCGGTGTATGTCACTAGCAGTTAGATCTGTGCTGTAGAAGCGGTTACCATCAAATTTGGTGGGGTCAGGGTAAAACTCAGGATCCAGATGGGTGAATTGACCGGATGTAGTGATATTCGTCCCTGGCGTGAAAGTCATACCCAAGGACTTAATTGTCACTGGGTCCTTGACAACCTGACGGCTTCCAGCAACTAGATAGGTGACCGTTAGTACGTCCTCATGGTTGCTAAACTAAAATAAATAAAAAAAGAAAAAGTCAGATATAACAACTTACCCAAGTTAATCCCGTCCATGCGGAGGACCTCTCGGCTGAAGCTCTCGAACTTGGGCGTCTTGTTAAACATATCGAAACTCCATTTGCCATCGTCTAGTCTCAAGGCTTCGGCCAATTCTGCTCTGATGGGCTCGACAAACTCCGGATGGCGTAAAAGTCGTGCGAGGAAAGCGCTTAGAATCATCGTCGTGGGCTCGACCGCTTCAAAGAACATGAACATGGTCTCATCGGCCATCATGTCAATATGATGTTCTTCGTCCTTAACCTCTCCTTTTCTGCTCAAGGGACCCTTTTTCAAGGCAAGCTCAACCATTGAACTGGTATAGAAGTGATCATCGGTGGTCGGTTGGCTCTCTCGTTTCTGCTTAATCAGGCGTCTGAGTTCTGGCAAGATAGTCTTCTTCATTGATTTCATGCTAGACCTGATCTGATGGCACTCAGACGCAAATAGCTCAAGAAGAGGCCCCATTACCCGGGGAAATGCCTCGTATAGATGCGTTCGTGCCTCAACCTGGCCAACATAAGCTCCCATTTGCGTTGCAAGCCCTGCTTCACGCCCAAACCCAGGGTGGAACACCAGGAGAACACCAATGTCAACCATAACCTTCAACGAGATGTTGAAGATCGAGTCTTCTTTCCAACCTATTCTTATATTTAGGGTCTTGAATCATATATTGGGCCAAAAGGGTACATACTCTTTGACTGGCCAATATATTGGGTGATACTATAGTCTGCCTCCTTCATGATTAGGGGATCTAGCTTTTCTAGAGATAACAGGCATGTTAGTATCTGAACTAGCACGAAAATCAATGTTATATAGGTTAACTTTCTCAAGGAGCTCAACTTGTTGCAAGCTTGCATGGCCTCGACTGGAATCTTCCAGCCGGCATCCAGGATATGGTTGAAATTAATTTCCTATACCAACACCATTAGATCAATTCAAAAAGGCATACACAAACAAGTAAATCATCACGTACATCCGACATCATGTGTCTCATGCTCAGGTTATCTTTGGGTAGGTTGTAGAATTCCTTGCCGCAATGATGTGGAAGCACGATCATATCGCCTGAGCCTCCTGGCAGAGGTACGGCCCAAGGTTTGCCTTTTTTGCTATACTGCTAACCGTAAGCATAATGGAAGTGAAGCAAAGTGCATCAATTAGGATAGACAATTTAACAATTTACCTCCGTATACCCTCGTGAAAATCCCTCTATGTAGTTATGGCCGGAGCTCCAGAGTCGTAGGCGTGGGCTGAAGTAACTTTTGTCGTCCATGAGAGGGATATTGCCGAGAAATCTCCTTCTCTTCCAGCCATGGTGATAGTCTGCAGCGATAACGAAAAGAACGAACGTGAGAACCAAGGCAAGAACACTCCCAAGGAAAGGAAGGACGATAGCCTGGGGCACCAACAGCCCGTCCACAAACAACGGGAACATTGTTCTCTCTCGTTCCTTTGATAGTATTTTCAGATATGAGAATGCAAGGCGAGACGTTGGTGAGGAGTGAACAGGTAGGAATATTCTTCCTATTCTTTAAATGGGAAAGAAACTTGTTCTTGTTCATCCTGAAGGAATTCGCGGCAGTTCCTTCGTAGCTGATATTTGCAAAGATTTGCGCTTGTAACATCTGGTGTAATATTTCACAAGTTATTACAAAGACCGGTGGCATAAGTGATGTGGGTTTTCTGGGGGGGCTTTCAAATCTCAATTTTGAGACTTGCTAAAGCCAGCTTCATTCCTGAACGAATTGAAAGCGTGTATGTAGCACTGGTGAGGTAAGGGATACCGCTGTTATTTGCAACTGCACCAAAAAAAGAAAACGTTTCTTTTGCGACGCAGGTCCAATTTTAAGTCCACCATGAGAGTTCATATCCTCTTTCTGCAGTCCAACAAGGAATTATTCAAAGCGTGCATCGGGTCAGTTCATCTACGATAGGTTATACCGAATAAGTCCATTCTCTTGTGCCGGTTATTGTGTGGAAGAAAACGTCAAAAGTGGATCATTGGTTTTCCCATCACTCCAGTCGAAGTCGAAGGTCGGTACCTCTATGTGTTAATGATGGCAAAATCCACGAAGCTTTGCACATTGCAGAAGGACACGATGATCCGGTCGTCATCCTCAACATACTCCACACTCCATACGGAGTATACTCTGTATCGTTGTAGAAGCAGGCATCTGTATTCTTCGAAGTTCATTTTACGTGGCTCCAGTGGACTTATCAAACCCCAGCACATTTTCCTGGCGTTTATGGCTGCGATATATATATACGGTTATTTTAATCTGACCCAGCACCAAAAATTCATCAAGGCTAGCCCGAACCCTGAATAAATTAGATAAGCAGAATTTTATTGGATAATAATTAATCCATATTTAGGTTCACACCCGAGGCCGGGGTCATACAACCTTGATTGGACTGCAGATGTGAAAAGAAGCAAAGGGTTGCGATGCTGGGAACACACATACGGAGTACATAATACTAGTTAAAGGACTATATAAGTAGAAGTTTCTCCCCGTTTTTGAACCTAAGGGACGCAAGATCTTTCTTATCTTAGGTCAGTGTGGCTTATCTGTGACGAACCTGAAAACAAATAATAATACATTCCGATCTGAAATTACATAGTAGTGGCTCGGGGTGGGGACTAGATAAGGGAGGTTTTCAGAGAGAAAACGCATCTGCGCACCCAACAGATAGTGTGTGTACTACGGGAAAAAATAACGCACTAGCCACGGAGTCTTAGCATGATATCTGGTGGACTGCAATTTACACCACAACAACACGGACGGCATCCGTCCAACCAAATAGAATGTACTTGATAAAACTTTGTTTCCAGAAGTTATTAAACTGTTTTAGATGGGTTTCCCAAGAGCACATGCTTCACCAGCCTTGGATCCCCGGAAGGCCTACCCAAGAGGAGATGAGTATCGGGTTTAACTACTATACTTTTTGTAGTCTAGCGCATATTTCGATATCACTTGAGCAACAAAAGAAGAGGTACCAAATTCAAGTCGTTACTAGATAAACGCCCTACTCTGGCAGTTGCGTATCGGTTCAGGACGTCTGGGCCATCATTTACAATACCGTACGGTCCAGCTCTACGGAAAAGGGGTTAATCTATTGGAGGACAATTGGTTGGAGTAACGTAGAGCCGAGCAAGGCCTAATCTCGAAGAACAAGCAGTTGATGTGTGGCGTTCTTGTCCAAGTAATAGAATCCCAGATTTCCCTTTTGTATGAAAACCCACCCCAAGTGGATTTCCGTCACGATTACTTTTATTCAAGCTCTATGAGTATATAAGTAATTGATAGAGCTCCTCTCTTACTCATAGCAATGGCCACTGCTGATCAGATTATGGCCTGCCATAGTCTAGTGCAAATGTAGGCCGCCTATATAGGCTGTTAAAACCTATAGCATCGCCTGGTAAATGTAGACATCTGTAAAAGTTTTGAGAGTTTCCTATCTCCTCATTCTGGTGATTGAGAGTATTTTAGACCAAACGAGGAGATAACATATGATGAGTTCCAACAGGTAAACTAGCCTGGTATGTTGGTTACTGGCCTTAGCCTATGTATTGGATAGTGGTGGTATGGAGTACGATTTACCTTATTCAAGGTCGTCCGTATACTATTCATCATCCCTTGACATTGTAGTATCAATGATATGAGTTACCCAGTGCGTTGACATATGTTACTCTCAGGCGGGCTTAATTCATGGTACAAAGACTCTCCAGTCTTCATACTAATCGGCAGTCGTATAATATTCAAACATGCTGGCTGTGGTATATTTGATAATATAATGGGTATAGAGGAGGGTGCATGGTATGGAATCACACTTTGATTGTGCTCTAGATATGAAATACCCTCTGAGCCGAGCGGCAAGTTGGAAAGACCTCGACTAGGTGATTCATATATTGTGTCTATTTTCAATAGGCCACAATGGCTACTCTCAGTGAGAAACCTTGGAGGTAACGAAGTAACGATTCCTGCTGTTGCTGATTTCGAATAGATCACCTATTTACTCTTGGAAACAAGCAATTTATTAGCTAGTGCTTGTTTGATCTGTGCTCTTGCAGTGCTTTAATCGAGTTAATTAGGTGTGCAAAAGCTGGCCATCCTGCCACTCCGTCTGGATATAGAAATATGACCGGGAAAGGTACAATTAGATTTAGTGAGGTAACTAATTATTCAAGGCTTGATTGAATATGAACCTATCCATACCTCATGTTTGCGATGGGTCTCAACACACTGCTCTAGCCAATGGCCCTATCAGTGACCTTACCCTTGGCTAGGACGGGTGGTGTTCATTCCACCTCGCTATTTGCCTGTCAATAATATATTCCCACCTTTAACAACTTTCAGGTCTCCTAGTATGACTTTCAAACTGCGCTCTTCCCGGACGCTGAAAGACTCTGGCTTACATGTTTATAGAAGTCTTGCACGCATCTTAGGCGTATTCATCTGCTCAATGCTGCCTTGTTAGTAAAACGCATAAGTACCAAGGATATCCTCCAAATCTAAATCTTATCTTCGTTTGCAACAGGAATGCTGATTAACTAATTACCCTTAATTGAAAGGTAGCTGAAACCCTCGTGTTAGACCCTTTGTGTGCCGTACCTTTAAGGGCTAGATGTATGTATACAAAATATACTTCTATTTAATTACTCTCTGCTAGTTTTGGTGGTTGGGCAATGACGTCATCACGTGAGGAACACTTCTTTCTCAACTTCAAAAACTTCGAAGCGAGACACGGCACTACAAACTGCACAACCGCACAACGGATACGCCAGATACAGCACACAAATTTGCTCGTTACTACAGCTTCGGACTATCTCACAGATTTTCGCCCTTACTCCTCAAGTACAGAGTACAAACACGTTTGTCTACGCCTTTACAGCTTTCCCTCGATATTATCCCCCAACACGCCCCTTTGTGGTTGAGTCGATACGGCCCTTGATACCCCGCACGCGTCGATCTGTGATTAAGTTGATACTATGGCAACCCAAGGCCCGAATGCTGAGTTTGCCTCGGAGAGAAGGCGTGAACTACTAACAACATTAAAAGAACTGGTTGATATCGAAATGCCACAGGGTGTTTCTTCCACTCTCTGGGCAGGCCTATGGCTTGGTGACCTCGAACGTCTCGAAAGAAATATCGATCTAGCTAAAAAAACATCGGTTGAGACTTTCATCGGTGACTTCTCAGACATTATTACCAAATGGGCTCAGAGAAATGGCCCGAACTCGCGTTCGGGGTCGAAGTCTTCCTCGCCTTCACCACGCCCGAGTCCCAGTCAGTCGTCGAGCCGGTTACATCGCTCGGCTGTTGAAAGATATACAAGGTCACGCATTGAAGCTGCAGAGGGAACTGCCAACCAGCCAACCTCAGAGCCGGTGACACCCCCAGCCAAACGTCAACGTAGGGATTCTGACAATCGATCGAGAGCTGCCACAATGAAATGTCGCTTCAGAGATGGAGACAGATGTGTCGTAACCAAGTCTTTGCACCCAGTCGACGCTGCCCATATATTCCCATACTCTCTGCAAGAATCCTGGAAATTAGACAACCCAAACAACAACTTTTGGACTCTTCTGAAGACTTTCTGGACAGAAGACCATGTCAACACTTGGCTGGCTGCTGCGTTCCCGAATGGCACTACTGAGGTAGTCGAGAACCTCATCTGCTTTGCGCCAACCATCCATAGGTGGCATTCCAAGGGCCTCTTTGGCTTGCAACCTATTCATCAATCGGAGGACAAGAAACGCCTAACTGTCAAATTTTACTGGTTTCCTGTACGTCGGCGTGCCGAGAACATCGACCTGTTGGATACCCCTTCCATACCAGACGACCTTGCTGGTATCAATATGGATTACAAAGCCTGGAATGTTCACACCGAAGAGAAGATTGTCTCGGGAGCTGAGATCGTCCTGGAGACCAGCGATCCAGAAAATATCCCATTGCCAAGCTGGGACCTTCTCGATATGCAGTGGAACTTGCAGCGCCTCACAGCATTGAGCGGGGCAGCCGACGTCTTCCTCGATGCCATTGATGACGATGACTGCAGCGGCATTGGGTGGGAGGAGGACTTATCCTGCGGCCAATCAGATGATGACAGCATTCGTTTCCACGATGACATTGTATCGTCAGACCAGGATGTAGAGCCTCTCTCCCTTTCTCCACAAGCTCTAAAGGTTGGCAAAATGATGGATGTGCCCATAGATACCTCCATCCACAGCCAGAGTCTGGCGTAGAGCAAGTTGAACCAGCAAACGGCTCCTGGACCCCTGCGCCATTCAACTTGCTCGCACTGACCCTACGTGGTGTTTTATCTCTGATGTTTAAACAGTTGGAGTTGGGCTCTCTATACGTGTCAAGACAAGATATTGGACCGTGGGGGTGTGTTATGATTCTGCAAGGGAGAGCTATCGGTCAATATGCCTATATCACCGGCCAATTTCTCGGGTATAAATGCTGCTGCTAATTCTAACCGTCCTCGCCGTGCCTCCACCAATGATGTTTAATATTGCCATCGAAGACTCCTAGCATGCCCAACTAACGGAAAAATTTAAGAGAGTACAATGGAAGAAGTTAGGTAGTCTGCCAGGCGTCCAAATCTCGTTGAAAGTTTTCCATTCGGGATGTATGTATAACCATTCATTTAACCATAGTTGTCCAATAATCTCGTTGTACAGCTACTTGAGTAACTAATGCTTAGGCGTTCCATGTAATATTATTGATTCACTTTCCGGCGCTGGGTCCTCCTATGTAAGCGCAGCTTTGATGATGGCAGCCAGTTTGGATGCATGTTCTCCTCTCTAATTGCCATTTTGTGGTTAGTCAACAGCCAGACATCGCATAAGTTTAAAAGGCGATGTACTTACCATTATGGAGAAATGATTGGCGCGTTCTACTCGCTCTGATGTGATATCTCCTCCTGGGAACATATCTTCCCATCCAGTTGCGGAAAAGTCGGTTCGGGTTTCTGATAAGAATTTCATCCCTTGCGTGTCATCAGGATGGGGTGGGAGTTTGGGGACATTGACACCATCAATAACACTCTCGCACGCCCAGATGATGGTTGTCCGTGGAGTTTTACCAATTGGCAGTGGCGAGGCATAATAATCATGCAGCGTATCGATGGTTGCATTGAAATGTGGGATGAGCCATGCTGGGGCCTTTGCATGGCTCTTGGCTGGACCTGCGCGGTGCCCGAATATTTGGTACTTATTGCAATGATCATAGAAGTGCTGTGGTAGTTTGTCCAGCCCCCTTGGAACCGGGGAATCGATTAGAACAAGGTCGAGAACTCTTTCACCTGCCTCAATCAGCTTTTGGGCCGCACGATAAGCCAAGATGCCTCCTGCAGACCAGCCTCCGAAGTGATGTGGCCCTGCTGGTTGCCGACGATGGATCTCATCTATATAGTTGTCGATAAGATGGTCCAGTGTGCACCTGAAAAGCTCTGGTATCTTGTTATAGGGGGAATTGAGCCCGATAACAGCTATGCGGGGACTCAGTCGTGAGATTGCCGAATATGACGTCGCGGAACCAGAACCGTCGGGGAAGAGGAAGAGGATCTTATCAGCATGCCTGGCGATACCCTGCAAAAGGACAGATGTTGCAGGCGGGACAGCAACGCGCTCCGGCTTCACGTCTGACATGTCGCAATCAGAGCTCGAGTCCGGCGGCGTCATCGAAGACATGGTATTCTCATCGGAACTTTCCATTTGAATAGACGGCGCTTCAGTTGTGCTTGTGGACTGACCCTTTCCGAAAAAGGCCTTCAGGTCCCTGACCGTGAAAGAATCGGTGAATACAGCTTGACTATCAATATCCACATCCAATTCCTCCTTGAATCGACTAACTATAACGAGCGCTAGAAGCGAGTCGATGCCAATCTCTGCAAGGATACAATCATCGCAAAGTTCTGCGACCGCAATACCACTTTCGTCTGAGACTATTGCGAGGGCAGCAGCGCAGTCAGCTCCCATCACTATCCTGGAAGCAAATGTATTATCGGCCCTTGGAGCGGCGACTGCAATCGGTGCCATTTCTACCATAGCCGGGATCTCTGGCTCTTCCTGTTTCGTAAGGAATTTCTTAAGCTCCTTTCCTGATGTATATGTGAGGAAAATGTCGTCCAGATCCCCATCCAGTTCAAACTCTTCACGGAATCGACTAGTGATCACCAGAGCCAGCAATGAGTCTATACCCATGTCCGTGAAGATACAGTCATCCGTAAGATCATCAACAGGAACACCGGCTTCCTCGGAAATGATTCGGAATGCCTGTTTGGCCTTCAATGACTTTGAACCCGATGGTGGAGTCGTAGCGGGAATTGAGACGGGCTTGCCAATTGATTTAGGGGCAGCTTCTGTCGAGGTCTTTGACACCATAGGTGCGACAGGTGCAAGATGTGCATTGGTCTTCTGTTTCCGTTGTCCACGAGGGGGAGCTGGCGCCTCGGGTTTCAAGAAGAAACGCAACACGCGGCGAGGAACACCTTGGAACTATCTCAAGTTGTCAGTTGTTTTTCTTTGGACAATCGGGAGCTATGAATGCATCTTTTATGGGAAGAACTTACAACAATGTCTTTGTAGCTCGCCACCACTTTTTCACTCTCGTCGAATACAACCACATCGCCGTGGAACTTTCTGTTTTCTCCTGGAGACATATGACAGAACGTCTTATACTTCTTCTCTTTTGAAGAGGCTCGTACAATTGCAGTGACTCCCAGCCATGGTTAACAAACACCTCGACAGCTAGATCGTTGCTGTCATTGCAGTTCATAACAAACCCACCGGTTTGCGTGAGTCCGTCAATATAGGCCGGGTGAGCGAAGAAGGTACCGGCGGCCTGCACGCCTTTGAAGTTCACTTGACTGGAAACTTCAAGCGTATTGCTGTCTATGATCACCTCATCGAGTGGTTGATAGTCTCGGTGAAATTGTGCCAACGGACTGATCATCTTATACACCATAGCCCGATTAAACCTTTGTGTTTCGCCGCTCCCAAGGGTTTCGCGCATATCGCCCATTCGATGTTTGACTTTTTCGGCAGAACCCTCTAGCAGTTTGAGTCGAGACCGATCGGTGAAGTGTATTTCGCAAGTGGCATGCTCCACTGTAGGTTCCCCAGATTTCTGTCGTGACCCCAGGTTAGCGTGGCAACAAACTAACTAATACTCCAGTGCTTATTCTAGGGCATAACTTACATCAAATGACCGGAAAGAAACCCTGGCTTTCTTGACAGACCAATCAACGGCTACCGTGGTACGGAGCGGTTGAGGCCCCTGGGCTCGAGCGATCAAGGCCTTTAAGACAGTCATATTTGCCACATCTACAAGGCGCATTTCAATCTCCGGATGGTATCTTTCTAGAAGGTACCTGCCGATGGAGAAGGCAATATCGGCGTAAACGGACTACCAAACAATTCAGTATCAACAATTGCAAATGATTTACCCCTTATGCCACTTACAGGTGTGCACAGTGGGACCCCGTCGACTTCGTGACCTTGCACTAAAGGATTGAAATCTTCCCGTGTCATATCAGACTCGACAGTAATTCTGTCAATACTATCTTCCAACACTTTATGGATTGTCGTGGATGTCAGGGGCGTCGATGCAGTGACTAATGGCGGGTCACCCTTCCGCAAGGACCAGTCATTCACATACTGCATCCAATAATTCTTGAGGTCCCAGCTATATGCAGGGAGTTCCAAGACCTTGTGTAAAGCGTCAAAGTCGCGGTGGTACTCGTTCCAGCGGATATCAGTGCCGGCTGAGTATAGAGAAACGAGTAACTCGGTCAACACCTTCAAATCGTCTCGGTTACGCTGAAGTGCAGGCAGTGAAGTGACTGAAGCGCTAAGGGTTGCTTTTACCATACCAGTCACGATGGGGTGAGGACCAATTTCCACGAAAAAGGATTTGTCTGTTACTGCTCCGGTCTCTTTAGATGTCGAACGGCACCAAGGAAATTGACAGTCTCACGGCAATGCTTCCTCAAGTAGCTTGGGCATATAATATTTTCACCGACTATGACTTGGGCAAGCAATGGAGATATGACCGGAATTGCTGGCTTGCGGAACTTGGCACCTGCGGCGAGATTTTCGAAATCATCCAAGATTGAATCAATTTGGGAAGAATGGTATGCAAAAGGCACAGCAATAACTTTCGTCTTAAACCCGCCATTGTTCAAGGTTTCCTTTAGGGCTTCTATCTGGGTGTTCTGTCCTGCAAGAACCGTCTCCTCTGGTGCATTGATACATGCAACTTCAAATTCTGCACCCTCAAGAGCCATCTGAACAGACGATAATGCCGCCTTCACGACAAGCATACTGTGCGTTCCAAGTGTGCATAACTGCTCTAGTAGCTGGGCCCGCCTACCCACAAGGAAGATAGTATCGGTATCTGATAGCACACCAGCTACGTTTAGAGCAGCATACTCGCCAAGGCTGTGGCCCACAACACTATTCGGGATGACATTCCAAGAAATAAGCAATCGGGATAAAGCTATCTGCATACAGACACTGGAGAGTTGCATGATAACTGGCGGAATATCCGTCAACTCTAGGCTGGACTCATCCTGGATTACAGCTCGGAAGCTGGGGAATCCTAGTCTTTGACTAAGCTCGTCGAAACGGTTGATATCCCTTTTGAATTGATCGAATAATTGGTACAGCCGCTTTGCCATGCCGATGTACTGGGCACCCTGGCCAGTAAAGGCAAATGTCACCTTTGGTGCAAACCTTACTCTAAGCTTGCCATCACCATTTGCTGCTGCTGCTCCTAGAGAAGCTTTAATTTCAGTGACAGATGTCCCGGCAACCGCCACTCGGTGTTGGTGGTGGATGCGACGTGCGGTTGTTGTGTAAGACAGCTGTGGAAGGAAGAGTGGTTCATTGCTGTGTTTCTCAATGTGATTGATGAGCGACTTGAGATTTCGGCTTAAGGATACGGCGGACTTGGCTGACACCGTGACTACATGCGCTATTCGGGGGTCGGCTCCCTGATTGTCAGCCTCGACAGGTTTATCTTCAAGGACCAGAGCAGAATTTCCACCGGCAGCGCTGAAATTATTAATAAAGACCCTTCGTGGCTGTTCATCTCCTGGAGGCCAGTTAATGGCGTCTTTAGCAATGTGCACGTTTCTGGCTTCGAGGTCTGTTGGGAAGCTGGAATTGATCCTTCCCTTGATACCACAGTGCGGAGGGATCGTATTATTTCTCAACATTAGAAGAACCTTGATAAGAGCGCTAACTCCGGCAGCGGCTCCTCCATGGCCGATGTTGGATTTAACTGAGCCTAAGTGCAAGGATTCATTAGGCTGTCGATAGCGACGGGTATCTGCGGGTGCGAACGTGTCCAAAACAGACGTCATTTCTCTGGCATCACCCGCCTGGGTACCAATCCCATGCAGCTCGACGTAGCTTACACTGTACGGATCAACCCCGCTGTTGCTCAGAATATTGCGCATGATATCTCGCTGGGCTCCAATATGGGGCCGAGTGATTGATTCCGCCTCTGCTAAATGATTTGTATATGTTCCCAAGATGAGGCCATGGATAGGGTCTTTGTCTGCAATGGCATCTTCTAGACGTTTGAGAATGACGGTTCCTACGCCTTCTCCACAGCAGTACCCGTCGGCCTCATCATCAAAAGTTTTGCAGTTACCTGTGCGGGAGAGGAAATGTCCACGATCAAGGCCAGCGGTGAAGTCGGGATTGGTCAGAATATTTGTTCTACCTGTGATAGCAGTGTCGACATCCCGCTGCCACAAAGAATTACAGGCAATGTGAATGGATGCTAGACTGGAAGAGCAGGCGGTGTCGACACTATAACTCGGCCCGCTGAATTTGAAGAAATAGTTGATTCGCCCCGGGATGAAGGCCCTGTTACCTCCCGGAATAAAATAAGTATCGATATCCTGCGCACTGTTCGTTTCCATCCAGTCATTACTTGTGACCCCATAGAAGACACCCACACGGTCATGACGAGTTGACGGGGTGGCTCCGGGGACAATACCTGCCTGTTCGATGGCTTCGTAGGCAGTCATCAACGCAATACGCTGAACGGGGTCGACCTGAGGTGCCTCTCGTGGCGACATGTTGAAAAAGAGTCCATCAAAAGCCTCTGGGTGCTCCAGCCAACAACCATAGGGGGTAGCACTGGTGTTCTTTTTCTTACCAGTCGGGTCAACATGCGTTTGGGCACTCCAGTGGAGTTCTGGTACTGTTTTATGCACGTCCAATCCCTGGAAAATCAGATCCCAAAATTCTTCATTGTTCTCCGCACTGGGATATCTACCCGAGAGACCAACAATGGCAATTTTGGACCGACCGCGAATCCGACTGTCACGGACTTCATGGTCAACTTGATCCTGCAACGTTTCGTCGCCAGTACTGGATGCTTCAAATCCCTCAATCTGTACTTTTGAATTTAACGAAGCCGTTAAAGTGGTTTCGGCGTTTGTGGCGATTGAAAAGATCTTGAAATTTTTTGTGTTGGTCGAGGTCATAAAACCTGTGAGCCCCTGGATTAGATCCGCCCATCGGATAGGTTCAATCAGAATTTGAAGCAGTGCTGCTTCCAGTCGAGACCGGAAGTCTTCCGTCTCAATAATTGCTCCGGTGGTGCTAGACAAAACGGGTCGGACTGCCGCATACCGTTCCCACTCATGAGCATCAGTCGTCTCAAGGATTGCATCTACATCGGACTTTGAAAATAGATGGGGTGCATGATAGGGGGAATAGATCCCAAGTGTCCGCGAGCGCATCCCAGAAAGTATGTCAGTAGAGCAAAGAGTTGATAGTACAGATGCCGGTGCACTAATCGACACCCAACTCTCTTCTCCATATGCGCTAATCCATGGTCTTGATGTGACTGGAAGGTTCTATGAAATATGCTAGCTGCACAGTTGCACAGACAAACGGGCCATTTTATGTTGCTCTTACATTATCCCGAGAAAACTGGCAAAGGATGCTTTCAATATTATCAATTGAATCACAAGAAACGACCATTGACCAACTTCCTTCTGATGGGTCAACCGCCGTGGCAGTGTGCAATGTGCGCAACCCCATACGAAAAGCGACTAGTACTGTTTGTACAGCCATAGGAATCAGCTCGGACGGAGTTCTGCAACAACTGACCGCTGCCGCAGACAGAGCACCGGTACAAAAACCGGATACACATGTTTCTAAAGGAGAAAAGTAGGTCTGCCCAATACCCTCGTGTTGGCTATTCGGAAGAAAACAATGTGTGTTGTTAGCAGCAATCATGACAGGGCTATACGTTATCCGGTGTATTAACGTGACCCTCAGTTCCTGTGACTTACTTGATGAATTGGCCCAGCTGGTAGACGCATGTCAAAGCGTTTTCAACTGGGGGGTTCGATCGGTTATGCCGACCGCGCCATGTCAGGAGCTCTGCGATACTTGAGAAACGAGGGAAGATCTCCTTCTCCTGAGCGGGCAACCGACCAATTTCTGCTCGGAGTTTATCACACGCACAGTCAAAAAACGAACGAAGGAGAGGAGAGGATTCAGAATGAAGGAGCGGTTGCAGTTTTGTGGAGATATCATATGTTACATCTCCAAAGAGATAGAGGTGGAGTTGATTCACCATGGTCAACACTGACGCTGTTGAATCAATTCTGGAATTGCCCAGCTGTTGAACTGCATGGGAATATAAAAAGGAAAGAGGGAAATGGAGCTCCAGCAAGTGTACTATGTATATATGTATGGGGCTGCGTGGCTTGACTCTGCTCTGCTATTTCCAGCGGGACTCCCAGCGTTTTTAAAGCCAGGAGAGGCCCTTGTGACATCACTAATTTAGGTTATATTTACCTACCACGTTCTGGACACGCTTCGTTGGAAGCCATTATCCCGCTCTGAATGTTGATGTGCATCATGCTGGACATATTGATCCATGTCGAGCTCGAACCGAACCGTTCAACTTTGCAAATCAAAGCTATCTAAAAACATCCCCGGGGCCAATAATGAGACCCGAAAATGGCTTTACAGGGCGTCCGCTAACCCCGATCATCCCCGGGACCATGCGTCGGAATTCGGACCTCAGCCACCAGGCATGTTTTTGCACCTAAGGAAACAAACCATGGTACTATAGATAGTATGCACCTGTTAACTGCAGAGTATACTATTGTCCACTTATGAAAACTGAAGAATGCTCAACCAGGCCTAGGCCCTCTTAAACATCAGCCTGACATAACCCGAAAGCCGTGATCCTATCTATACCATTTCTGAGGATTTTCCTCAGATATTATTTCACTCACAGTGTAGAAGCAAGGCTTCTAGCACTATCTTTTTTCTTTTTCCTGGTACTCTACAATATTTTTCCTAGGCGGCTTTCCAGACTGGGAATGCCCAACAGAGAGACATTTAATGAATCAATTTGAATATCATTAACAACACTGCTTTTACTACAACCAACCCTACCAGTACTGACACCACTAGGCATGTCTGAGAAAGCACCGACGGTTGCTGTCCTTGGCTTAGGTATGTGCCGTTTATAAAACTCGCTGTTCTTGGGAAGGGATATGGCATGCATCAAGGTAACTGACTCGGAGATGTTCTAGGGGCGCTCGGCCTTGTGTCGACAAAGAATATGCTGGAAGAAGGGTTTAATATAACTGGATTTGACCGAAATTCATATGTCGGTGGCCTCTGGCAATATAATGAGGGAAACGATAATATCTCCGTATTACCAAGTCAGTTTCTACCTTTATCTATGCTGAGCGAACTGTCAGGACTGATCTGGACTTTATCGATTAGGCACTGTGACGAATGGATCCAAGCATCGTGTGGGTTGTCTGCCGGGTGTCTCGAAACCCTGGTCAAGCTAGAAAAATGGTTTACTGATCAGACGTGTGATATTAGGGATCATTCACTGATTTCCCTTTCCCCGATGGTGAGCCCCTACACAGAATTGTACATATCAATATGTATGTAGACGCCTTTAGGTAAAGCTAACAGTGGGTAGATACTCCGGATTTCCCAACTGCTAACCATATGGCCAAGTACCTGGTTTCCTACGCTGAACATTTCCGTCTAATGCCACACGTTTGTCTAAATACAACTATCCACCGTGTGGAATGGAGTGAGACTAAGCGTAAGTGGGAAATTGAAGTCTCCTCTACTGGGAATGAGGACCAACGGACGGTGCGGGAGTTCGACAAAGTCATCCATGCTCTGGGCCCTGACCAGGTCCCTAACATTCCTCAGGTTCCAGGGATCGAGAAATTTGCAGGAACTGTGATCCACTCCGTCAGCTTCAAAAAGTAAGTAGACGGCTCACCTCTCCGACGTACACACGCTCGTCCCTTGTTGACGCTTGGGGCTAACCTACCATCTGTGTGTGGAAGACCTGATTTCTGGGCTGGCAAACGAGTTTTGGTCGTTGGATTCGGAAACACTTCTGCCGATATTTCAGGCCTTTTGGCGGATATTGCTGAAAAGGTGTATGTATCGCACCGCCACGGTGCCATAGTGGTAAGTGATGAAAAGCTGATACATTGGTATTATCGCTAGCTAACACTGCAGCCTGACAGCTACCGCGATGGGTTGATGGTAAGCCAGTTGACCATGTCCGCACCTATCGCAAAGGCTGGATGCTGGGTATGATGTCCCGATACACCCCCGCTCTGTGGAAAAAGTTGATGGACGGTGTCATCCTCGCCTTACGCAATCGCCTCTATGATCTGAAGCCTGAATGGAGGTTGGATCCAGCTCCGTCATTCAGCCAGCAACGGCCGATCGTCAGTGACAACCTGATTGACAACCTATCCAGCGGCCGAGTCATCTCCCTGCCTCCGATCCGTCGGGTTTGTGACGGCACGGCAGTTGAGATGACCGATGGCACGATTGTGCAAGTGGACTCCATCATTTGGTGCACTGGGTATACAGTCGACTACTCGCTGCTTGGGAAGAGTGATCCGACTATCTATGACCCCAAAGACAGCTGTGAGGTGGCTAATGGCCGGAAGATGCCACGTCTTTACCAGAACGTTATATCGCTTCAGCATCCGGACTCGCTCGCTTTTATGGGCAATCTGTCATTCATGAACCCTGCGTTTCTCATGTTCGACCTGGCCAGCATGGCTGTTGCGCAGATCTGGAAAGGGACTTCTCGGCTTCCTTCGAAGGCAGAGATGAACCGGCAGGTAGACGAACAATTTAGGTGGATTGCCAACCTATCGAACAACGAGTGAGTGACTCCCGGCCTGACTAAAGGCGTGGACTGGCTGGAATGGGTGGATGAGGCGGCCGGTCTTGGTATGGGGATTAACTTGGGGTATGGCTTGCAAGGCTGGACTTTCTGGTTCAGGAACCGGGAGCTGTGCAGCATGATAATGGATGGACTTTTGCTGCCGTTCCATTATCGGCTTTTCAACGCTGGTAAGCGAAAGCCGTGGACCGGTGCTCGGGAGAATATTATCAAGATGAACAGGGAGCTTCGGGCAAAGAACTGGTATCCGTAGATAAGAAAGCACGTACTTTTTAGATTTCTCTTTATGCCTGTTTTTATCTCCCCTTATTCTCCCTCATAAATGTATCTATACGGATAGGATCTTTGCTATTTCTTTTCTATCCTATTATAAAGGGAGACTTTCAAGGGCTGTATATAGATGGCGGTTGACATTATTTAGACAGCTGATGTTTCAATATATAGCGTCCTGAGTCTTCTCCGCAGAGATGGAATAACTGTATACCAATTATCAATAGGCACTCGGATGAACTGCCAGGTATCCTCCATCTGCCAGCATCACAGAGCCATTACAGTAAGCCCCAGCCTTGGAGGCCATGTACAGAAGCGTTCCACTGATCTCCTGCATATCTCCAAAGCGCTCTTCCGGCGTCATGGTGGCTGGCAGTCGCCCTCCTGTGCTCCTGTAAAAGTCCTCTGTCATCTCCGTGTGGAAATCTAGCACCCGGGTTAGCCATGGAATATACATATATATCAGAATCTACCACTACACTAAAAGGAGTGAGCCCACACTAATAGTAGGCAGATGTTGAAGTTTGACAATATATTACGTGTCTCAGGGGATCTTACATCCTGGCGCAAGGACGTTTGCCCGAATCTTCCACGGCGTCAGGTATGTCGATAGATCCTTGGTCATCTGTGTCGTGCCGGCCTTGCTGGCGCCGTAGATGAAGGCCGAGTTGTCACGGCCAAAGCCGCCAACGCTGCTGACCATGATGATCTGGCTGCGTACATAGTCAGCGCGGCCGCCGTTCGCCTTTGCCTGCTCTGCGCGGACACGGTTGCCCCGGTCGAGCAGCTCGAGGAATGCGAAGCTCACCATCAGCGGTGCGGTGGTGTTGGCCTCCAGGACCCTGGCGTAGTCCTCGAACGACGGCTTGCTGAACCAGTAGTTGCGCAGGTCGGTGATGTTCCATTTGGCATTGGGACGAGTACGCTGAGGGCCCAGGTTCGGTGTCGATATCCCAGCGTTGTTCACGACCAGGTTGACGGAGCCGTCTTCACCGGCAATGTGTTCGACGGCCGTCTCGAGGTCGTCTTTGGACGTGATATCACATTGCAGGGGGTAGATGTTACCGTATGTCTATATCGTTCATGTTAGCTTCGCTCTCTGTCTCCTTCTGGGTTGGATATATCATCTTACAGCCTGTTTAGCAGCAGCCTCGAGGACTGCCAGCCGTCGACCCAGGATGTAGACTTTGGCTCCGTTCGCCTCGAGTGCCTTTGCCATCATCAGGCCCATCCCCGTCCCACCGCCGGTGACGACTGCAACGCAGTCACTGACATCGAACAGCTCGCTATTCTGCAGGGGAACCTCTTCAGCGGCCATCGTGATGTCCTGCCTGACACTGTGATTGAGATGGAAAATAATGCAATATTGATCGAGATGACCTCGTCATGTTGGCCGCTATCAACACCAACACAGCACTGGATGATATAGCTCACCACCCAGTCTGTTCCGACTCTTCGTCCATCAAGACGGAGGCCAAGGGCGGCGGATTCGATCTAGCAGTCAGGGTATCTCGTATCAAGCCCGAAGGCTGGTCGGCTTAACCATAACTGGTTACCAGGCCGGGGAAGCCTATACAGCTGCAAACCCGAGTCCCGATGGCAGTCCCTGAGTGTCTATTTAGTATTAAACTCCTGGGTATAGAGGCTAGTCCGTACGTGGACATACGAACGATCAAGGGGCCCATTCATCCATATTGGTGGTTGATAGGTTTATGAACTGGCGGAAAAGGGGCTCACTTCTATCATGTAGTAGATAGTCAGCTTGTAGCCGGCATAGAACTAGAGTCGGTGTTATAATAGATGTACTTATGATAATACAAAGTATATGTAGTAGAAGAGATGGTTGTTTTCTACATTCTATCTACATAGACACTATCAACAGCGAGGTAGTTGTTGATTACGGCTCCAGAACAAGCCGTTCTAGTCTCTTCTTTAGCTCTCCGACTGGCATATCTGGCGGGCCTACTAGCCACTGCATTAGAGTGCTCATCCAGGAATGCTCAGGAGCCGACTCGTCTCCCAGCAGTGGAGGCAGCAAGATGGTATCGATCTTATGTACTACCCCGTCCATGACCACGATATCAGGGTTGTCGATGCTGACGGCACCGTTCACCCTTGGATCAGCTCGAGACCCATCAAAATCGGCTGTGATGCTCAGATTATGGGCTGGAAGTAGAGTCGGAAGATGTATCTATATAGTTCGGTAAGTAAAGGACGAGATATTCATGACGAAAAAAAGGGGTGATACTGACTTGTGACCCGTTTTTCAGGGGGACTAGTGGCTCCCCATCGTGTGGGAACAAGCAGTTGGTGAACATGGTCTTGTTGGCGACGATGTGATATTGCAGCAGCGCCTTTAGGTATTCCCTGCCGTAGGGGCTGAAGAGAAACTGGTTTGCCTTGGAGCCCAGCTTGCCGAAAGCGCTGTTGGTAGGGGCAAACACCGTCTGGCCAAGATGGTTGGACGTATCATTGACCGTCATGGCAACCTCCGTCTCGATGAGAGCTCTGTGTAGCTTACTCAAGTCAGGGTCGTCTCGCAGGAGATCGGAAGTCGACTCTGGCATCATGAGCACTCGATCTATCAGATGGATGTAGCCATTCACTGCAGCCTACGACGAGGTGAGCTAACTAGGCAGCTAACTAGTTTATCGATGGCTGGGTTTTAAACTCACTCACCATCTCAGGGGCAGCTGGACGTGCTAGATGGTTCAGGGTAAAGCCTTCATCGAGCCGCTGCGTGCTAATGCGCTGGCGATACGTCTCGAAGACGTCTGCAAAGACAAACGACGGCACCGTCGTTGTGTGTAAGAAGTCTCGCTGGGAGAGTGCGCCAGACCCCATATGGTACCCGATCAGATACAACCAGTAGAACGACGGGAGGTCCCAGGCAAAGTCTTCCCTCTCAAACGCCTCGTTGGTCGGGACGAAGACGGTGAAGCTCGCCTCCGCAGCATCGAGACCGGCCACGATATTCTTGAACTCCCCCGCCACTTTGGCGAACGTGGACACTCGGCTGTCGTTCTTGATGAGCTCCCAGATGGTGCTCTGAGGTTGATGAGTTGGAGATGCGCTGTTTGCACCATGTATGTGGCTGGCTCTGTTGCTGGTCGAGCTCCTAAAGGTCCATTGCAGCGCGAGCAAGATGGTCACCACAACAGCGGTTGTGCGTAGTGTCTGTCGTACTAGACGTCGAAGGCGATTGTTCTCCATGTCGCCTTCTCTTTGACAATATAACTGACTGGTAGAAATGAGAAACCCGCCTTTACAGGGCCATGGACGTTGTAAATATTCAGCATCTGCATCGTCTACCCCCGTCGAAGTCGCCGCTCTAAGGCCTACTCGGTCGGGTTTCGGGATACAGAAGCCAATTGATAGCTTGTCTCTTAATCATTTAGCTCTTAGCTAGCTGTCAAGGCACTTATAGCTATCTCGTGTTCGGATTGCTGTAGCTTGTTGCATGGTACAGCCCCGAGAGGCTCGCCCCTGGCCTGTCTTTTATTAAACTCCCTCATCCCTCTGTATTTCGTGTCTTCTGTTATTGGGCTTTTCGGTATAAATTTAATCTTCGAGATCTCGTTGGCATAATGCATGGTCGGTCAGTTTGGTTGACAATCTCTCTCCTGACCATTGCTGCGAGAGAGGCAGCAGCAAAGCTCGCCCAGGAAGAATTGACATTGACATGGAGTCTGGGAGCGCCAAATGGTCAGCCCAGAGAGATGATCTTTATGAACGGTCAGTTTCCAGGGCCTACATTTGTCTGGGATGAAGACGACGATGTTGAGGTAGCCAGTTGAACAATCTATCAATTTGCTTCCCTAAATTCACGCTGAGAGACATTGACAGGTCCTTGTGCATAATAAGATGCCGTTTAACACAACGATACACTGGCATGGGCTCTTGTAAGTCCCTTCTCACTGCTCTTTGGAGTACAGAGAGGGTTGTGAACCGCTTACGCTCTCCAGGATGCAGGGCACCCCTTGGTCAGACGGCGTGCCAGGCCTGGCCCAGAAACCAATCGAGGTAGGGGAGTCTTTTATCTACCGCTTTAAGGCTTATCCATCTGGGACTCACTGGTAAGGACTCTCATCTTGACCATGGTGACCGATTGTAGAACGGGAAAGGGGGAAATAAGCTGACTTGAATTAAGGTGGCATTCCCATACCAGGACGACCATGTTTGATGGACTATTTGGTGCGATGTATATTAGGTACGATAGCCAAATACTATATATGATGGACTCTGCTTTAATTCCAGCATCCATAGGCCAAAACCTACTGCTCCAGCGCCGTGGTCCCTGATCACTACTGATCCAAAGGACATTGCGAGTATGCAAAGAGCCGTTGCCAATCCACACGTTGTCGTGGTTTCGGACTGGACTCGGTTCAAGTCGTGGGAATATATGAAAGCGCAAGAAAATTCGGGCTATACTATCTTGTATTATTCTTCTTCTCCCTTTATCGCTCGAATGCTAATGATAATCTATTCTAGCTGTGTGGATAGCCTACTTATCAACGGCAAAGGCAGTGTATACTGCCCTGGCGAAGACTTTCTTGTCAATCACACGAGTGATTACATGAAATGGGCAATATATCCCCGCCATGTGAATGACAAGGGGTACGCTGCTCTTCATCCCTTTGTACGATATTTGAGCCATCATTGATTGTAAACAGATGCCTACCATTTGTCAAGTCAACTGAAAACAAATATCTTAGGAATGGCCGGCCAGAAACCATTCCATTACATCTCCAGCAAGGATGCGTGCCATCTGAGGGAGAACGAGCTATTTTCGAAGTTGACCCTGCTGACGAGTGGGTGAGTTTCAATTTTGTAGATGCAGCAACATTCAAAACTCCTGTTTTTTCCATTGACGGGCACGAGATGTGGGTATATGAAGCAGATGGACATTTTATTGAGCCGCGAAAAGTCGACACAGTAAAGTTCTACGCCGGCGAACGATATTCGGCCATGGTCAAGCTACACAAGAATGTTGCCCGTGATTACACAATCCGTGTAATGGACTCGGGTCTCACTCAAATTATTGGGTCATATGCTACTTTACGATATAAACAAGACCTAGATGATAAGGATATGGGGGATTACATGGAAGCAGAGGGAATAATCAACTACGGTGGCCTCAACACGACACATGCGGTTACACTTGACCGCGAAGACTTGCCTCCATACCCACCAAATCCGCCTGCAGCACACGCCGATTCTCTTTACCTCCTGGACACACATCGAGTGAAGACTGCATGGACTTACACTATGAAAGGCGGCGCAATGTACGAAGAAGACCGCAGCGCATATGCTCCGCTGCTGTACCACCCTAACTCCGCCGATGCAATGGACGAAAGCCTTATCATCCGCACCAAGAATAATACCTGGATCGATCTTGTTGTTCAGGTGGGGTCTCTACCAAATCAGCCCCAGGAGTTCCCTCACATCATGCACAAGCATTCTGGCAAGACATGGCAGATTGGAGCGGGAGAGGGTCACTGGAACTATTCGTCGGTAGAAGAGGCCATGAAGGTAGAGCCAACTAAGTTCAACCTTAAAACACCCAATTATCGTGATACGTTTATCACATCCTTTGATGGTCCATCGTGGATTGTTTTGCGGTATCATTCCAATAATCCTGGGCCTTGGCTGATGCACTGCCATTTCGAGATTCATTTGGGCGGTGGAATGGCAATTGCATTCATGGACGGCGTTGATGCATGGCCGAAGGTACCGCCAGAATACGCGCCAGGCAAGGCTGGTTTTCTACATTAACACCTGTGCATTTAGTGAGATACAATAACGACCTTAGGCATTACGATCTACTACGAGTATTATTGACTAGATTTAATAATTCTTTTAGATGAATAAAGTGGTCTCTTTTCTCTTTTAATATGAAATATACTGTGGGTGTTACTTACTATGTACTATGAAAAATGGTGCTTGTTATGCAAATACTGGCGTAATACGAGAAGCTTCTCACTACGATATAACAACACGCTACCTCTATTTGGAGGTAAGCTTTGCCAAGAATTAAGCTTAATTTTAAGGTATGGCTCGTGCAGATCAAGCTAAAAGCCTATGTGGGTCCGAATTGCATCAAACTTTCATAGATACCAGGCTAGACTTGTTCTCTGTACAGTAACATCATCTAAAATGACTTGAGCTCGCGATATGGACAAACGGGTGGTAGTGATGGCAATGCTGGGGAAAAACCGTCAAGCATGAGGTAGTTATTTCCTCGATGATATAACTACCCTAGGAAAGTATGACAGAGCTGGGACCGGGCTTCGCATCGGGCTCGGGCTTGGGGATCGGGATAGTAAGCCCGATAAGTATTAATCAACGCTGGTTCCCCGAGCGCCCTCGGTATAGTGTATCATCAGTGCATTACGATCGGTAAACGGGATAAGCTAGCTTCAACCCCCGAGTACACTCCGTGATACGATTCACAGTTTAAGCATATGCAAGCAGCGGGACAGTGGCTTTTTTCTTTACCATGGAGATGACAACATTGGCATACATGCAGCTTTTATGGTTTCGTGGCTGAAGCTGAGGCATGCACTAGAGTAGATTGAAATATACGAATAGCGATAATAAATAGAAAACATGCACATTGTAGTCCTACCCAGACATTTCTCCTCAAATGGGTGATGAAATAAAGCTATGTCCGACCAAATGAAACCGAGTAAGCCGTAGAAACCGGGTAAGGATTATCGGCGTAAAGGCTCGTACTCTGCCAGACGACTGGTTTATCTTGTTGGCGGTTGTTGTACTTAAGATGCCGTTCTATGTGGATGACCATTTCGTAGTAATCCTCACCATCGTTTATTTGTTTAAACTGCTTTGATACTTATCACAACTTCATTTTATCTATACTATTCATCGTATATTTAAGTCAAAAATCGCAATGTCCTCTTCAACTTCCACAGCAACTGTGGAGCAAACAACACCCGTAGTCACTGGGACAAATGGAGTACATACTAAAACGACAACGCTGGAAGCGCTCGCCTCGCAAGTGCAAGAAAATGCTAGAATTGTGAGCGACTTCTTGCGCTCTTGTGGACATGAGGGTCCATCTTTTGAACGAGATTCTCCAACTATGTTACTTCCATCTTCTGCGCTGCCTGATATAAGTGCGGCAATACAGGCTATAATGGGAGCAGCGCTTCAAATGTTTCATTTAGCTGCTGGTCCTAGCGAATACTTGCCAAATTTAGCCGTTGGAGTGAGTGGCCGTATATATATATACCTTGAGAAGACCAAGGGTTGAATAACTGACCTGTGACCCCATAGTATCAACAAATCGCTTGCCTCCGCTGGCTTACCCATTTCAAGATCTTCCACCTGGTGCCTCTCGATTCACCGATTGCGTATCCCTCCCTTGCGGCCGCAGCGGGAGTTTCAGTCAAACAGCTCAAAACAGTTACTCGAATGGCCATGACCAATTACCTGTTCTGTGAACCAGAGCCAAACACCGTCGCCCACACAGCAACATCGGCGCTCATTGCATCTGATGCCAGCTTCCATGACTGGGCATCGTTCATGTGCGAGGCCTCCGTTCCCATGGCATCCAAATTGGTCGAAGCCACTGAAAAATGGACTGATAGCGAGGAGAAGAATCAGACGGCATATAATGTTGCTTTTGACACTGATCTGCCCTTCTTTGATCACCTCAAGACCCAGCCTGACAAGACACGGCAATTTGCTAACTACATGAAGAATGTGCAGAAGAGTGGCGGCACGGGGATGCACTATCTGATTGAAGGGTTTGACTGGGCGAGCCTGGGAAAAGGGACCGTTGTCGATATATGTGTACCTCTAGATACCTACTTCCTTCCCATATATATATATATGCCTATGAGATGAGCTTACGCCCCTGTTTGCGACATCTAGGTTGGCGGCTCCAGTGGAGCTGCGAGTATTTCCCTGGCCACGAGATTTCCAGATCTCAACTTCGTCGTGCAAGATTTACCGGAGAACGCTGCGGACGGGCAAGAATTCCTGGCATCACCAGAACAACAGGAGAAGCTGAGCAGAAGCGTTACTTCACGCATCTTCTTTAATGGTCATGGCTTCTTCCAGCCCCAGCAATTCCAGGGCGCAGATGTGTATCTTCTCCGTATGATCCTACACGACTGGCCAAAGAAAGAAGCCGTCAAAATCTTGCAGAACATCCTCCCTGCCCTCAAGGATACATCACGAATCATAATTATGGATACCGTTCTGCCACAGCCAGGCTCGATCCCGACCGCACAGGAACGTCTGCTCCGGGCCAGAGATATGACCATGTTGGAGGCGTTTAACAGTTTGGAGAGAGATTTAGAGGACTGGAAACAGTTGCTAGCATCTGTAGATGAAAGACTAACTTTAAAGAGTGTAGTTCAGCCCGTGGGAAGCGTCCTGTCGGTTCTTGAGGTTACTTTCGCGCATCACTGAGATGTATATCTACTCGTCTATATATTTATGGAACTATATATTGAAGCTAATACTACCACCTCAAGCTATACTTGGGCAACACAACCAAAACTACTCTAATATAGGGTGTCATAAAAATGGATTAGATGCTCGGATATGATCTGAGAGGAGAAGGTGTATTACTATCTTATATGTAAACTGCAATTTTAATTCACATCTATCCTACGCATGCCATAAATTATGCCTCTGGGCCTGGAGATTTGCCTTTCTTCTTGATGGTGCGCCACTCCATGCCGAGGGTAGGAAGGATCATCAAACAGGAGACAGCAAGAGAGACGATAAACGACCTCCTTAAGCTGTCGTTGTAAAGGGGTAGAACCTCGGGCAGCTTGTCGGCGGGCACCACTTTGCCGAGATCCTTTGCTCCATTGGCCAGCACCTTTGCTACATCTAGGCCAGGGACCAGAGACAAGTTGGATGCGAGAGCGTTGGCGAATAACGACTGACTGATGGCGACGAAAAGGGCACCGCCGAGAGACTGCGCGAAGAACATGAGAGAGACTCCGGTCGAAAGGTCCTTCATGCCGAGGACAGTCTGGGCAGCCAGACTGGGTTGCTGTAGGCCTGTTCCGATACCGAAACCGAACAGGACCTGGTAACCGATCCAGGCAGAGTGGCCGGTATCAACTTTGAAGGTGGTCGTCAGGCCAGCACCGACTGACATGAGAACCGTGGCGACGTACATCCAGGGAACATAGTGTCCGGTAGCGGTGATGATGCCGCCAGAGAGTATAGATCCGACGACGAGGGAGAGGACCATGGGGATGGTATCGATGCCCGACTGGACGGCAGTGGTGCCCTTGACCGCCTGGAACCAGATGGGGAGGGCATAGAGCATGGAGATGAGGCCTCCACCGACGCAGGTAGCGAACCCGGTTCCGCAGGCGATGCTGCGCTGGCAGAAGATGCGAGGTGGAACGGTAGCATCTTCCTGTCGCCAGATCTGGACGGCCACAAAGGCGATCATCAGGACCCCAGACACGACGAAGAGGGCGATAATGCGGCCGCTGTTCCATGGATACGAGGTACCACCCAGCTGAAGAGCCAGCAGGAAGCAGGTTGCCGAGGGGAGGAAGAGAACGCTGCCGATGGGGTCCAGCCGGTTGACCTGGGTCTTCCAAGAAACAGACTCCTTCTTGGACCGAACAGACAGTAAGAAGACGAGAACTGCCAGAGTTGCTCCTCCAATGGGCAAACTAAGAAGTGATTTAGCAAGCTGTATCATCTTGTGTATAGGTGTATAGGCTAAAATACTTGATATAGAAGCACCATCTCCAGGTGACTCTGTCAGTGAATGCACCGCCCATGAGAGGCCCGATGATGGAGGAGATGCCAAAGATGGACCCCATCATCCCGACGTAGATCGGCCGTTTCCTCAGGGGGACAACCTGGGCGATAACGACGGTGGTGCCAGAGAAGATGCCGGCTGAGCCAGTTCCTGCAATGGCACGGCCAACGATGAAAACGGTCGAGTTGGGCGCAGCGCCGCAGAGGGCAGAGCCGACCTCGAAGATGACGATGGCGCTGAGCAGGACCGTCTTGGTCGAGTAGAAGGTATACACCTTTCCCCAGGACAGCTGGGTGGCGCAGCTGGTGATGAGATAGGCGCTGGCATACCAGTTGATATCGTCCAGCGCGTGGAACTGGTTTGCTATCTCGGGCACAGCCGTCGCAATAATCGTTCGATCCTACTGTTGTTCAGCATACAACCATCTAAGTAACATATATATGCATATATCATGCATGAGAAGGGGAGATACCAGAGCAACGAGGAAAAGGGACATCAGGACGGCCACCATGATGATGACCAGACGGGCGCCGCCGGTCGTGTAGCTGCCATCGTCTTCTTCTTCGTCTTCTTCCTCTGCCTTTTTCTCCCGTGTTTTGTCTTCTGCAGGCTGCGAGCTGACATCTGAAGACTCTTTCTTCTCTACCTCCGGAGAAGCAGCAGGCTGGTCGGCGTCCTTCATCTTTGCTGCTGATGTTGTTGCTGTCGATTTGAATCTGTCGAGGAGAAAAGCGCCATCTTCACCTGGACGGCCATGAAATACTTATATTTGAACAAGATCAACAGTCTTCCATCACAGCATCAATCGAACCGGGACCGTCCCTGGTTTCTTTTCTTTTTATTGCTTTCTTTTTCTTTGTCTTTGCTTTTTCCGGGACCGAAAGATGCAGAGTTAGACATCCATCACAGGAGGTCTTCGTATTGTCAGGCCGAACGGCACCGAGTACGATATAAGATATCAAATACCATACAGGCCTTCGATGTGATATCTGGATCCAGTACGATAGACTAGGATATGGCAGAGATGCATCCAGCCTACCCGCGCATCACCCGCAACCACTCGTGCTTCTCCTGCCAGCAGCGCAAGGTGAGATGCGACGGCCAGCAGCCATGCTCGTCCTGCCGCAGAAACGGGACAGACTGCGTGCCAGGAAGACGGACGAAGCCGTCGATGCAGCGGCGAGAGACCAAGGCTGCTGTGGCGGCCAGCGAGCGTCTGATGCGCCGGTTGCGCTGCTGCGAGGAAGCGCTGAGAGCCCATGGGATCCAGGTCGACGACGAGCAGACGGGCGAGTCCGCCTCTAGAGAGCTTCTGCTGCCCTCACCGGCGCCTCCGCAGGGGCAGATGATAGTAAAGTCGACAGACTCGCGTTATGTTGAGAAGTAAGGCGCCCCCTTTGCTGTGTCCGTCCCTTTGGCTGGCGCTGACCGGGAGCTATAGTTGGCTGTGGAAGGGCCTAACGGACGAGGTATATACACCCTATATCTATTACGTCTGTAGTTATGATCTAAGAGACAGTTGATAGCTGCAAGGTCCAGAATATCTGGACCGAGAAGAGGAAGAGTCGCAGTTTGATACTGCACAGAGCCAGCCCCTGAGCATCTTTGACGGCCGCCTCGTCGAGATTCAGGCGCTCCATCCGCCTGCGCCGCAGCTCTTCCAGCTGTGGCAGATCTACTTGAACAACGTGAACCCGATAGTCAAGCTGTTTCACTCGCAGACGGTGCAGCGGATGGTCCTCGACGCGGCCGCAGACCTGGGGAACGTCTCCCGCGGCACGGAGGCCCTGCTCTTTGCCATCTACACATCCGCAGTCACCTCGACGGACGAAGAGACCTGCCAGAGACTGCTGGCCGAGTCCAGGGCTGCCCTCATCAGCCGCTTCTCCAAGGCGGCCAAGCAGGCCTTGACAAACGCCGAGTTCCTCAGGTCGACCAACATCCTCACCCTGCAGGCTCTCACTCTATATCTGGTACGTTTCGTCCTCTACAACCGCTATAGAACAGTTGCTAACTTAGTTGATATATGGCTAGCTGGCGACACGCCATACGTATGAGCCACATACGCTCTGGCTGTTTACTGGGATTGCGTCTCGCACGGCCAGGGCCATGGGCCTGCACCGCGAGGCCAGCCTCAGAGGCTTCTCCGTCTTCGAGCAGGAGAACCGCCGACGGCTCTGGTGGCAGATCCTCATCCTCGACAGCCGGTCCGCCCAGCTGTCCGGTGTGGCCGTGAGCCCGGACTCGTATCTCTTCTGGGACACCAAGTGCCCGCTCAACCTGAACGACAGCGACCTTGTCCCGTCCATGCGAGAGCTGCCGGCCGAGTACGATGGGCCGACAGAGATGCTCTTCTGTCGCATCCGGTTCGAGGTCGGCGAGTGTATGCGCAAGCTCAAGGCCCTGGAGCATCGCCATGGCGGCCAGGGCGGTGCGGCGCGCATGGCAGAGGAGAGCCAGCTCATCGACGAGCTGGAGGCCTGTCTGGAGCAGCGTTATCTCAAAAAGTGCGATCCCTCCATCCCCTTCCACCTCCTGGCCATCTATCTCGGCCGCTCTTCGGTCTGCCAGATGCGTCTGTCTACCCATAACCGCCAACGATACTCCGATCAGGGGCCTGCCGCCCTCACCCAGGCGGAAAAGGACCATGTCTTCAGCCTGGGCCTCGATATAATCGGATACGACAACCTTGCATGCTCTAACCGGTCCCTCCAGCCGTACCGCTGGCACATAGCCATGGCCTTCCCCTTCGAGGCCCTCATCCTCGTCCTGACAGAGCTATTGGCCCGCTTCGAGGGAGACCAGGTAAAACAGGCCTGGGAGAAGGTCAACCAGCTCTACCTCGACCACCCAGAGCTCACCACGGGCGCGAGATCCAACACCCTCGTCTGCGCCCTGGTTGGCCTGACGACCAGAGCATGGGACAAGCTCGTCTCCATGACCCAGAACCAGCATCTTCTCCAGCAGGCCGTCGAGCCGCCATCGATCACCAGGCTCCGCAACCTCCGCAGGGCGCCCTCCCAGCCCCCATCTGTATCCCCAATGGCTGACCCCCCCGCCGGGGATGTTGGCGGAGATCTCGTCGTGGCTGGTGCTGATGCCATGATTCCCTCTCCCGTGGATGTATCGCAAGTCGATTGGACTTACTGGCAGGCTCTGATCGACGGAGAGGGTTCCTTTCAACGGTGACCATCATTTGTATCTATCATCAACCAATCACTGCCCTGGCGCTCCCCGAAGCTTAAGTAGTTAAGTTACTAGTTACTGCAGCTAGTTCATTAGGAGGACTTTTATAAACTACCATCTAATTCCAACATGTAACCAACAATGGCAAAGCGGCCTCTTTGTCCACTTCTTTATCCCGATATATCCACTTGCTAATCATCGGTGCATGCAACAAGGCCGTCATATTACTGCATACCGTGTAATATACATAGCAGCCCGAGGCCCGATTAACTGTATCGACCCCGGCTGCTCCGAAGATGCTCTCGGGACCGAAAACGCTTGCGCCTCCCTTAACCTGGATGCTTCCAAGTTCTTACGTAGATGTACTATATATACATCTATAGCAGCATCCTCAACGTTCCCATGAGTTCAAAGATTAGAACTAGACACAAGCAACGATCTGTTCCAAGATGACTTCCTCTGCTCCCTTTTCCGCCACGGCTGAACATCGCCAGGAACCAACCCCGTTCGACCCGGCCGTCGACGCCCAGGGGTCAGAACCCATCGTCCAGACGCTCCAGTCGCTGGACAGCACCTTGAAACTATACACTCGCGCCTCGCCACACTACGGGTCCCTGCGTGGATGCTTCAACAAGGCCATCGCTGCAGAGCCACTGGTGATCTGCCGGCCTGTTTCTGTCGAGCAAGTACAGCTGATCGTCCGCACGGTCGGTGACCTGCCGGATGGCCCACCGCTCGCAGTGCGTGGCGCTGGCCACGATGTCTGGGGCCGTGGGTGCATTGCCGACAGTGTGACTATCGATGTGCGGGAGCTGGACGGACAGACGCTGGCCGAAGACAAGCAGTCTGTGTCCATCGGTGGAGGAGTCCTGTCAGGCAACCTGGTCGGCTTCCTCAACACCCACGGCCTCTGCACGTCCAACGGTACGGCCGGAAACGTTGGCTGGACAGGCTGGGCTATCTGGGGCGGATACGGCCCATTCAACGACTTCGTCGGTCTGGGTGTGGACAACATCCTCTCTGCCAGGGTCGTGCTGGCAGACGGTAGGCTGGTCGAGGCCAAAGCTGGTTCAGACCTGCTCTGGGCTATCCGTGGAGCAGGAGGCAACTTCGGCGTTATCGTGGAGACGACCGTCAAGGTGTACCGGATGCCCGTCATCCTAGCCGGTTTTATCGTGTACAAGTGGGAGGAGAGCGAGCAGGCGTTGCACCGGGTCCAGGAACTGCTCGACAAGGGCGTTCCTGATGCCATGGGCATGCAAGTCGGCTTCATGAGAAGTAGAGCCGGGCTGGGCTTGAGCCTGATCTACACCTGGGCCGACTCTGACAGGCTCGACGAGGGCAAGAAATGGCTCGAGGAGGTCAGACAGCTGGCCACCGTCACTATAGATACCATATCCGAGAGTAAGTCTCCCTCTTTTCGTCTGTACAGTTTCGTCGATTTGCTAAACTGAATTGACTTTGTTTAGCTACCTTCAAGGACTTCCAGGCAATCACTACAAAGCCTGTCAGAGAGCCTGTCAACGTCTGCACACGTTCCGTCTCGATCCCTCGGTTTACCCCTGAGACCATCGCCGTCCTGCTCAAGTACTCAGAAGCCATTCCTGAGGGCGGCCGGTACAACATCGTCTCTCACGTCGGCCACGGCAAGGGCATACAACCCAACAAGGAATCATGCTTCGGCACACGCGAGCCGCATATCCTCTTCCACATCAATGCACCCGTATCTGACGAGGCCGGTAGCATGACGGACGCCCAGGGCTGGGTCGACGGTCTGATGGCGGATATCAAGGGTACGGGACAGGCGCTCAAACCGGCGTATGTTAGCTTCATGGGCGAGGACGAAGCGACGCACGAGAGCTTCGGACAGAACTGGGAGCGGCTGCAGGCCTTGAAGCGCGATATGGACCAGAAGAACCTTTTCAAGTTTGCACAACCGAAGCTGAGTTAGAGCATAGATCGCAAGAAATATCTTGAAAAGAGGAACATACACACTGATAATGACAAGAAAATCGTTGATTAACTAGTTAATATCTTCTTTTTTTTTTTTTTTTTTTTCATTATGCTTATTTTCTGCTGATACTTGGCTGCTTCAACTCAGATGCTCCCTTGCAGCCCGAATGGCTGCTCGCAGACGGCTACGTAGGAATGCTTCCAGTGCCAGATGTAGCTTGTCCTCGCTATCCTCGTTAGTGAGAGCGTTTGAACCATACTTAGATGGCCCATCATTGCGACCACAGTAGGTCCGCGCAAAGGCATCAATGACCTCTTTCACTTTAGTCAGCTCGGTCTGGATCAGTTGAGCTACCATGCGCTCCGAATGTTCATGGTCTAGAGCATATGCTCCCATGCGAATAGAAGGGATAGACACCCAGTCAAAGAAAGGAGACGATGATGTACTGGAGCTCGTGGTGGCGGCAGTTGATCCGCATGAGGCGCCGCTCGATGATATCAAATCGTTGGCACTGGTCGAATCGTTACTACCGCTACGTTCTAAGCTGCACCATGCCTTCTGAATGATACACCATATGCAGCATGTAGAACAACTATACTCCATACTAGTTGTCGATTGCATTGTCAATGCACAAAAAGAGACGTACATGCGTATGATTGCCATTGATACCAAATTAATCCCTCTAATCTCTTGTCCGCAAGAGTAGATCATACCAACTATGTGTCAAGGGTTTAATGCAGTGTGCGCCTTTGCCAAGTAGCTAGCTGTGGTAATAATAATAGCTAAGAGACTCAGCATTATAGCCGCACATGTGTCTGGGAAAACGGTGGCACATACACACGATAGAAAAGTCAATACTCCCGCTCCCTGAAAACGCTGCCAGCTTCTCCTATGGTAGCTCTTGGCGATGTATGTACATATATACCCTGGCCAAAACTAGCTTTAGACTGGTGGGGCCGCGGTTGGGCCGCTTAAGCTTACTCCACCGCTCAGGGGTTGCCCAGTCTTGGCATTTGGGTGCTCCGTGCTAGCGGGGTTATTATGGAGCACTGATGAACGATAATATCTGTGATGCTTTAGAAGAGTTCAGGTAGGTAAAATAGTATGAAGTATAGGCGATATAGTAGACGGCTAAACTGAGAGTAGCTGGGAGAGCAATGTGGTAATCATACCCTTTTAAATCGGCCTACCATACGTTTAACTGCGTTGCCTACGACCTGCATGGAGCACAGCGGTTTCTCGTATCTTGATACTATCAAAAAGGAGCAAAACAAGCCCAATTTTTACCATACTATCTAAGGAACGGATCATGTAAAGAGTTCAGGAGAATGTATAGCTGCGTAGGGCGTACCATACGCCTGTACGTCATCGCCCGCGAAGCCAGTCAGCTTCCAGAAAAATATAAGAAACATTATTTTATTTTATTTAACCAGGAAAACAGCCACAAAACACTGACAAAGTCAAGCTGGAGTTCTCCCATTTTCCTAATTTAGTCTAAGGCCGTCGAGAATGCTGTTAGGCAGTTCATGTCCCTCGAATGCAAACGCAACAGGGGGGAGGGGGGGAAGTAGCAGGGAGAGCAGCGTTCCGGAGAGTGCTAGACAGCATTCTGGGCTTCGTTGGCTGCCCAATGACCCCCATCAGCAACAGCTATCAAGACCATCACCCGCTCTTGTCAGTCTGGGTAGCAATCGAGAAAGGCGTATTGCAGCTGGCTACTACTTTTTGAGCCTGGCATTGATTCTGGGCTCTTCTATCCAATGATCTCACTGAATCTTGCTTAGTCTAGCCGAGATAGTAGTTATGGCATATGATAGGGCCAATGCGCCACACGATTTAAACCAATCATATGGGTGTCTTCATATGGGATTGCCCAGCAATCACTGTCCGACAGCAGTTAGCTGGTTTTCAGGAGACTAGCCAGGCAATTCCATGACTACATACTGGGAAATGCTTCAAAACTAAGTAATAAGACTGCAAGAGTTAGCTACTGGTTGGATACTGCAGTAGCCAGCCGCAAGGTCCTGACGGAACTACCGACCACGAAGTAGAGAAATAACTAACGGCTAGCTACAAGCCCATAAGTGGCCGCCATTAAACTTGCTAGTACGACGTACAGAATAAGCTGAATCCTACAAGCCAGGGCACCGGTTCTCTTCAAACTAGAAAGTAACCAACCACTTGGCCTATGAAAAGAGAAAGGTGACCGTTTAAGCCCACTGAATACCTCGGAGAGCTAACTAGCCTAGCCAGCAGGTTCAGTGCCCGTCGAGCTACGTGAGCATGAAAACTCGACATATTACTGAAATCTGGGCACAAGAACCCCCAACGACGGACCTGAAGCTTCCACTACTACTGTAGTGGTAATCCGGGGCTCTTTCGCCTGGATCGCTTGTGAAATACATGTCCAAATACCCGGATGTGACTGCATTACAAGGGATGGGGTAGTTTGGGATGATATATCAAATAAAAGCTGCGTACAACTTCGGGATTACTTCATCTGTATGCCCCTACATTTTGGGCTACTTGGTTTGCAACGAGTTGCCATTAGGGTGAGGGGGATGACTTCTATGCCGGAGAAGTTGTGTCGAAGGCATTGCCTGCAAGGTCCTGCACCTTGAAAGGTAACACAAACGTGGTCAGAAGGTTGGATCTTGTGGATTATCAGCCTGCTAAAATCTAGTTTAAGGCGAGGGGGCTCGTATGCCCGGCACGGGCAGACCAAATACAACGGCAATGAAGAACAGAGATATATAGCAATTGAACAGGTATTAACAGGTATAATTTACCGCTAATTTTCTTACTTGCAACTAAAATATAACCGGTCCTCGGCTCATAATAGATGCTCGATATGGAGTTTTGGATATTGGATGCCCGTATCTGTTAAGCCGGTCCTTATCCAACGCCCTGTGTGATACATCAAAAAGTCTGTACAATATTTGCCCTGCTATAGACTTGCGGCCGATAGAAACTTAGCAATGGCCGTTCGTCGGGGCCCATACTTGTTACATCAGTTGCATGAATATAGGCAGTTGACAGCCAGGGTTGGGTATGGAGTTTTCACGGCTGTCTTTTGGAAATGTTTCTAATGTTGAAGTGTGGTAGTAAAGCTATCGTATCCATATACTAATATGCCGAATATAGGAACATGACAATAGGTATAGTATATAAGAAGAGGGCGGAGTAAAAACAGTGTACTAACCCAATATATTCATGATACTCTTATGGCTTCATATGCTGGCTGTCAGCGGAAAGAGAGATAGATAATTTGTAACAACATCTAGTGCAGGAAAACAGTAAAAGGACTGCATGCAGTTCGAAGAAAGCCTGGGCTCGAGCTTTTTAGCAAGTTGGACTATCATATTTCATCACTGGGCACATCCTCCTCCGCACCCTAAAGGGGATTTTCTTCAATGGCCTTGCAGGTGTATATCCAAATGTGGTGTAGTCCATGCCCTCTCCAGCCCACGTATCAAGGGGTTCAAAATCAAATACCGAAAGCAACGTGGCTGCTATGTTGAGAATGGCATGGGTAGCAAAGTGACGGCCTGGACATGCGTTATGGCCTATGCCAAAGGGGAAGAATGTGCCATCCAGACCTTTCAATGAGAATTCTGGCTCCTTTCCGGATTCAGGGGGAGGCTTCCCCTCCCTTAATGCCTTTTCGTAGGGACAGACAAGAAACCTTTCAGGCCAGAACTCATCCACAGGGTGTTCCTCTGCCCCTGGCCGCGATTCCCATAGACCTGGGTTATTGTGGACTCCCCACGAAGACGAAAGGGTGACCGACCCTTTGGGAAACATGTATTTTCCTACCTGATAGTCCTGGCGGACGGTACGTGCCGTAAAGCTAGTTACTTGAGTCCGTAGGACCTCGTGATATGTAGATTGAAGAAAAGGGTTTTTTGCAAGGACATATGTATCGAAGCGTGGAAGGGTATCGCCTGTTTGCGGAGGAAGCCTTGCACTATCAAAGGCTTTCATACAGCGCTCCCGTAGGCTAGGAGAATCGAGAATCCTTTGGACCAGCCAGAAGCCAACAGGAATAAGGTTGTCGTTGCACCTAAGACAGATTTAGTGTATGTAAAGCTCATCAGGTCAGGGTAGTATACTTACGCCCAAAGGATACCCAAATCAGCTCCAGCGCGTGCTTGGTCATTTGAGTATTCTGGGAACCTGCTATACATGGCGTCTCTATCACGCATGATTTTGAATCCCCAGATATCATTCCAAAGCAAAGAATCTGGGTAAGGTTTGTCCCTAGAGGCCCAGACAGCGTTTCTCTTCCATTCAATAAGAGCTTTAATACATCTATCACGGGCCTTGACCCCTTCTACCTTAAATAACGGAGCAATACCTATGTTGAGGTAATGGATATTGAGATCAAAAGTCCAGAAGTCGTCAACAAAGTCCGGGTTCTTTCCAATCAAGCAAGGTCCACAGAGCGCATTCATCATTGCTGTAGACGTTAGGGTTTGAAGAAAGTAAAACAGGTCTGGAAACTCGGTCCATTGTTCATCAACCTCGCTAGAGAGAATCAGTTTCTCCATGAATTTGGTAAACATCTGAACAAATGTATGTAGACCGGATGGGGACGCCAGTAGATTAAAGGTAGTCTCGTGCTGCATTCGAACAATACGCCTTTCTGGTGGTAAAGTGCTACCAGGCAGTGGTCGCGGCGCAGAGCCAGAGACATCATTCCCCAACACATCGGCTGCGCTCTTGGGAAGATCAAGGACCTTCAAAGCAAACTGACCCCGCAGACCACCTTCAGAGAAAATGTGCGGCTTGTTGGCAATCTTTCGGACAATTTCAGGAGAATTAATGAGAAAGAGGTCAGTCCCACAGATGTTGAAATGTATGGGGGTGGTAGTTTTGCGATAAGGCCTTGGGAGCTATTAGTTCGGGCTCATTAAACTGTGTTTAGGGATGGATACTTACTCAAACATGGAGAATAAGTTCACTCCTCCACGGAGGAACGACAGGGAATGGCCTATGTAAGGTACCTTCGACCAACCCATAGGAGGGGTTTCGCCTGATACCCCTATCCTAAGCCATCTTTGTGCGAGGTATAATAAGTAGATGGGTAGCAAGATGCATAGTGTAGACTCTGTCCACCCAAGACTAGAGAGCATACTGTCAACACTTAGAGGCTTGATGTTCACGCAGATGCTAAGGTAGGGAGCCAAAGGAGACACAAAAAGTTAGTCGGTGACTGTCAATCTGGATATCTTATCCTGCAGCGTACCTTTACGCTTTTAATACAGCATTTTCTTCTCTGCCCATCAAGGCAATCTAGTATCAGCCTGAGCGGATATTACGAGGCAAGGCCGTCCAGGGATGAGAAGAACTAGATGCGAATCAGCTTTATCTGACTTGCATTTTTAGAACAAAAATTACAGCCCCGCAACATGTTAACAACACGAGTGAGGTTAGAGTTGGGTGCTCTATGTATTAGATGATTCGGGGTTGGGAAGGGCTGTAGTTGAACATGGCCCCTCAGATCTGGGTACGCATCACTTTGCAAATCCATGCAGGTTGCACCCAAGCGCTCAGCCTTGTCATCCGGGTTAAGCACGGTGACTAGCGGCTCTATCGGTGAGTTGGGATATAAATATCGAACTCCAGACTGGGGGCTAAAAGGAGAGCAAGACCCTGCATTTCAAACAAACAGAGAGAAAAAGGCAACAAAAATCATCAGTCTTCGTCGCCATGCTCGAACCACTTGCCATGATCCAGCCAACGAGCCATTGGGTGGGTTATCTGCTGGCATACTGCGGTATCCTCTGTCTTGTCCATTACCTGCAGCTAGAGATGGTGAAGGCGCAGAAAGAAACCCCAAAGCCGAAGGGAGAGGAGATGATGATCGAGAGTGAGTATCCTACACTGTCTTTTTCATGCAGTGATTGATGGGATCCCAGGATTCTCCTCATAGAATGTCAAGACCGTGTCTCGGTTATTGGCTTCGTCCACATCTTCTGAAGGATTCACCCCCTGCCATGCAACGTCATGGGTTATTCAACCCTTGATAAACAAGGTTAAGACAAGAGCCTCGTGGAGGAGGAGACAAATAATAATGGAGGGCCCCGGATTTGCAGGCTTTTTTTTTTTTTCGTATGATGATGGTAGCATGTGGCATACCAACTGCCTAGCCATGACTTTGTATGTATGGAACCGCAGTCTCTCTCTGCATGATCGTTTATTATGGCGTATGGAATTTTGGATGAGGGCTGTTTATTGGGGGCGGAAACCAAAGAATCTCCTTCTCATCGAATGCATAATTGTTGATGGTTAGATCTGGCAAGGCTGAGCCCAAGCCGCTCTGAACGTATCAATCGGGATTGGCTTTTTTGCCATGCCATGTAGGGTGACATGGACGTGTGCATGCTGAAAGGCAAGCCAGATATCGATATGACTGGTAGATTCGGAGATGTTCTCCATCAAACACGGCCATAAACAGGGACAAGGGGCGGCCGGTTACCTGCATAGAATATGCAGATGATATATTAAATTGTTTGATAAAGGCTGGAGTAGATGCATATTCGTTCCGACATCCATGAAAATCCAACCTTCATGCCTAAGTGTGCCCCTCCCCCCCAGGCGCAAGGCTGTGACGCCAGAAGAGGTTGCTGCAGAACAGTTCAGGTCGCCCGAGTACCCGAGACGGACGATACAGAAACCCGGAGGTTTCTTTGGGATAGTTATATATATAATCACTTAGTTATAGGTTCGTAAATGCGCTGCTCTTCTTCGACAACTCCCTTACAACTGTCCTTGCGCGTCAACGCTCTTCGCCATGGACTCGCGCGATCTCAGTGCCTGGCAGATGTTGCCTGCAGGGCCTCCGCCGCCAGGAGTCAAGTCGAACTTCGTGGATCCCCCAAGCCTTGCTATGCCGATAGTCATTGTGAATGGGATCTCTCTGGCTCTTATGTTGGCTGCAGTGATAGCCAGGTTCCTTGCAAAGGGCCTGTATTCCAAACTGAGATGGGATTTGTCTGATGGTGAGTTCTTTTTTCTTTTCTTTTTTTATTCATCCCCCAATGAAGGATTCATAATATTTCGACAATATATTTTAACTCTCTGCTAACAGTTGATAACTAAGGCTTCTGTTTGCTGGCAACAGTACGTACATTCACATACGTGCATTGAAGGCAGCCTTGTGGTGCTAACGTCGGTGACTCCAATGTAGATGGGCTCAATAGCCCATTCTATACTGACTATACACAGTGAGTATTCCTCGCAGCTTTTTCTCCCTTCCGGTGCAAAGACTTACCGATATTGATAGATACCACGGTTAACTATGGAAGACATATATGGGATATTCCAGCCCTAAGTCTCACGGAGTCGAGGACAAAAGTTGAACGCCCTTGTCTGCATGAATCCATCGACTATTGACTGACATCTTTCCCAGCAATACGCAGCTGTCGACATTATATACATTGTGACGAGTTTCTTTATCAAGATTTCAATTCTCCTGCTCCTGGAGCAGCTGTTCTATGTCATCAGGCACCTTCGCCAGGTGATTTACATCGGTTTAGCCGTCATATCGACCGTTACCGTCCCCTATCTCACCGTCTCTATCATTCGTGTCTCCCAATGCAATGGTTTCAAGGCTATAGGGATCACGATATGCAACAGCAAAGCTGTGGGCACGACGAACCTCGTCTTTGGGCCGTGGAATGTGCTTAGCGATTTTTACATCCTTGCCATCCCCATCAGTCAGATTCAGCAGCTGAAGATGCCATATAGGAGGAAGATAGGGGTCACGGCCATCTTCCTGACGGGTTTTATGTATGTTCTGACATGTTTGACTCTGCACTCATAAATTAGCCATGCTAAACGAGTCTGTCCAGTGCTTGTTCGATGAGTATAGTCCGGCTGGTTATCATTATAGCCAAGTTCAACAAGAAAGACCCAATATACACTGGCGCCTCTTTGTCTCCCTACAGGTTCGTTGGTCCTTTTACATGAAAAGTAAGACCGTTACTTACTCGTCTGTAGCGCCGTGGAGATGAAGCTGGCAATCATCTGCAGTTGCGTCGTTTACTTTCCTGCTTTCTTCCGACAGAAAAAGAAGCAAGGCTTAGCGTTTCAAGTGGGCTCATCGTCAAGTAGTTAATTGGTAGATGTTAGAATAGCTGGCTATAATATAGTACACACCGTGTAAGGTGGTAAATACTTCTTAGCTGCAGTTACTCAAGATTTGGAGGGAACGGGAACGCCTGCAAGGAAGGCTTTGCAACCTCCCTGACCGAATGACTTTTCCACCCGTACATTTCAACGGGAACTGGGCCCTGGAATCCCAGAGCAGATCAGATCCTTTGTAATATTCACTACATTATGTCGTAACTCGCTGGCTGCAGGGGTCCCCAGGCTCTTTGTTTGGTAGTTGAGCGATATAAATTGCAGCGACTCGCCCGCCTTTCCAGTCTGAAAGACAACCGACACGGCTTCTCTAGCAAATCCCAGCTAGAACGAGATTAAAGTTGACTAGCAACAAGGTCAAGCAAGGTCGAGAGGATGGACCCTGTATTGGTGATTGGAGGCTGCGGCGGGCTGGGTCACACTATTGTCAGGCAGCTGCTAGAGAAAGGAGACGCATCAGACGTGACGGTGTTCGATATCGAGACCAAACGGAACATCGTAGAGGGGGCCAAGTACTTCAAGGGAAGCATTGGTTGCAAGGAAGATGTCCAAAGGGCCCTTGAACGAGTCAAGCCTCGGACCATCTTCCACTCAGCCTCGCCTCTGCTGATGCAGCAGAAGAATACCCAGCGCCTCTACGAGAAGATAAACATCGAAGGCAATCGATATCTACTGGATGCCATCCAGGGCGTGCAAACAGTTCGCGCTCTGGTCTACACATCGAGCTCATCCGTGGTTCACGATGGCTTCTCTGACATCGTGGAGGCCACCGAAGACCTGCCCAGGGTCTTCTACCCAGAGCAGCCGGAGTTCTACTCCCACACCAAAGCGATTGCAGAGGAGATGGTCGTCGCCGCCAACAGGACAAACGGCCTCCTGACGGTCGTCCTGCGCGGCACGACCCTGTTCGGCGAGGGAGACAGCCTCACCATCCCCCGCATGGTCAGCGGCGCAAAGTCAGGCAGGAATAAAATCAGAGTGGGCGACGGGAAGAATCTGTTCGACTTTACGTATCTGGGCAACTGTGCCTACGCCCACATCCTTGCGGCGAAGGCGCTGGTTTCAATCGATCCTGCTGCGCCTCTTCCACCGGCCGATAAACGAATTGACGGCGAGGTTTTTGTGGTCACTAACGACGAACATATACCCTTCTGGGAGTTCGTTTACGCCGTCGGCGATGCGGCCGGATATCCCACCAAGAGAGAAGACATCTGGCAGGTCCCGTCCGCTCTCTTCTTTGCCGTTCTCGTTATAGCTGAGTGGGCTGTCTGGGCCGTGAGCCTGGGTACGAGAGAGTCGAGTCTCAACCGCAAAATGGTCCGCTATCTGTCCATGACCAGAACCTTTGACATCTCGAAGATCAAGACCCGGCTGGGTTATCGACCGCTGGTTGGGCAGCAGGATGCCATCAAGCGCACCGTTGCCGCCTACATGCAAGAGCAGTCCTCGAACAATGCTAATAACTAGTTAATGTGGGCACACTCCTGAAGGCATCCCAACTATCTGTAACATTCCTGACCGTGTCCACTACAAATATCAACACAGACATCTCCGTGATAACATAAATGCTGGTTTGTCGTTCAACTTTTGTATGCAGACGAAAAAAAAGGGGAAACATCGGATAATTAGGTAATCACTTTCAACAGCGACGGATTAATGATATACCGTAATATTCTTACATAATACTTTACTAATCACGGAATATCTATGTACCGTTCCATCCTTATATAAGCTAAGTATCATGTGATATTTATCGGCCACGTGACCCCGGCTAAGCTCGGCCTTCAAGTCCCGCCTTTTGCGATTCGCCCGAAGAGGAAAAAAGCGACTTCAACTTCGGCTTTTTTGTATCTTCGACTTCAACTATAGAAGAAAACAACAACGAAGAGACTGTGAGAGTCGATGCTGCAGGCGACGTTGTGACCGCTGGCCGTCAATTGATCTTATACCCTAGCAGTGGACGAGAAACTACAGGGAGGGCGATACAGATATATACATTACAGATTACAAAGAGGGAGAGAGAGAGAGATACGGCATGGCGACCCGAACGGCTGTAAGACGGCTGCTATCGAGACAGCAACCTGGAAATGCCCGTCTATACTCATCTCACGCGCCTGGCGCGACGATGAACCTGCCCATCAACTACGGGGCGACGCCTCTCCTCCACCACGCACCCTCCTCGCTCGCCTCGAACAAGGAGCTGCCCGCCAACGCCCCGACGAAGCGCCTGAACTTGTACCAGTCCATCAACGCCGCTCTCCGGACGGCCCTTGCGGCAGACGAGCGTGTTCTGCTCTTCGGCGAGGATGTTGCCTTTGGAGGTGTCTTCCGCTGCTCGGTGGACCTGCAGACCGAATTCGGCTCGGAGCGCGTATTCAACACCCCGCTGACAGAGCAAGGTATAGTTGGGTTCGGTATCGGGGCTGCTGCCGAGGGGTTCAAGCCAGTGGCTGAGATCCAGTTTGCCGACTACGTCTTCCCAGCCTTTGATCAGCTCGTCAACGAGGCGGCCAAGTTCAGGTATCGTGAGGCCAACACGGGCGGCCACATCGGAGGGCTGGTCGTCAGGATGCCGTGCGGTGGCGTCGGACACGGTGCTCTGTACCACTCCCAGTCTCCAGAGGCGCTCTTCACCCACGTCCCCGGGCTGCGTGTCATCATGGCTCGCTCGCCCACACAGGCCAAGGGGCTCCTGCTCAATGCCATCCTCCACTGCAATGACCCGGTCATCTTCATGGAGCCCAAGATCCTCTACCGTGCGGCCGTTGAGCACGTCCCCACCGAGTCCTACACCCTCCCGCTCGATAAGGCGGACGTTATTAAGAAGGGTGCCGACGTCACCGTCATCTCCTACGGCCAGCCACTCTACCTGTGCAGCCAGGCCATTGCCGCTGCCGAGAAGGACTTTAAGGGTGCCACCATCGAGCTCATCGATCTTCGCTGCATCTATCCTTGGGACCGCCAGACCGTGCTTGACAGCGTCCGCAAGACCGGCCGTGCCATCGTCGTCCATGAGAGTATGATGAACGCCGGCGTGGGTGCCGAGGTTGCCGCCAGCATCCAGGAGGGCGCCTTCTTGAGCCTCGAGGCCCCCGTCAAGCGTGTCACCGGCTGGGATGTCCACACCGGTCTGATCTACGAACGCTTCAACATGCCAGACGTCACCAGTATGTCCAAGCCTCTTATCCACATTTTAGTGCATCCCCTGTCATACTTCATGCTAACCAATGCTAACCACTTCTAGGAATCTACGACGCCATCAAAGAGACCCTTCACTACTGACTTCCCCCCCTCCATCCCTTTCAACTTTGATCTCTTCTTCCTCACTCATCAAGACATGCATGACTAAGCACATCACATGACAATATCAAGGACCAACGTCGCTTCATCTGCAGTTTTCCCCTTCAATGCGGAACGGCCTCTATTTTCCCTTTAATATTTCTCCAGCGAGGCTTCAGGGAGATACCAGCTGTTCCAGCAGTATAGAGACATCTATCCTTAATGACAGGATGTTTTTCTCGGGCGCAGTTTATGCCAACAGTCTAGATTCTGTTTACCCTTTTGTTACAAAAGAACACCACCATTTTTCTCTCTCTCTTTCTCTCTTTCTTTTTTTACCATGTACAGACCTCGAGTTCGGTTGGACACCCAGCTTTGATCTTTTGATCTCTTGCCAGAAGGACAAGATAGCAATTGTATAGACTGATCTAGAAATAAGAATTTACGTGAGCGTTAGATGTCTGCTGTTTTATATCATCCACAAACAATGACATTATCTAGTCCACCATCTCATTGTTTACTTTGTCTAAGTCTATATCATTCTTCCTTAGATACTAATATGCAGGAACTTGGCAATTACATCAATATCATCTGTCTATATATATCCACCTGCCTACCTATCTATATAGCAATATCAACTGTATCAACTATATCAACTATATCAATTATATCATATATCAACATCTTCCCTCGTAGCCCTCTTTACGTACCTCCTAACATCATCATGTCTTCTAAGCTAGCCCTGTCAAGTCCTGTCAAATCTCACTTGCTGTCCTCCTACCAGCCTGTCCTCTACCAGTCTCCAGGCAGTCCAGAAGCTCCCGCAGACACAAGGTGAGGTGAAAACTCTTCAGGTGAAAACTCTTCACTCTAGCGTCTTCTCTTTGTTCTGTTCACTTCACTTGTCCTGCCCTGCTGGCCTCGAACGGTCTTCGTCTGCCTGTCTGCCTGGGTATAAATATCTGCCTTCCCTCCCTTTTCTCTTCTTCTTCTTCCCCTCTTTCTTTTCTCTGATCAAGTCTTTCTTCTTTACTACCATCTCGCTCCTTGAACGCCCTATCGAGTCGTAGCCTCTTCTCTCTCTTTCTCTCCTCCTCGCTCGATATCACACCATCCACCCCCTTTTTCGATATCGATTCACAAGAAGACTTCCCCCCCCTGAAAGCTCGCAGAAGAGCATTTGCCAAACCAGAGTCGATACCAGCCAATCCAATATCGACTCTGCCCTCTTCGCGCTTTTTCCTGCGTCCTTGACCGTTCCCTACGTCACTGACGCCGTTCCTCGACTCTTCGATCTCGACAACAGCCGGATATTCGCCAACATATCCCCTGTTCCAACCTGGCCCACTCCCTCCCTCTATCAAAGACGCGAGGTCGCAGTGCCTCGTTCGAACAGCCAGAGAACAACGAAGACTCTGAGAAGAAAGAAGTTCGAATCTTTCTCTTTCGTTCTTCTTTGCCGTAGTCCCGCTCTCTCAACGACTCGCTCACCCAAGCAAAACGACTTCTTCCGCCGCTAATACTCGCCAGTATCACCAAACAGTAACGCCATACAAGATGTTGGTCCCATGCCTCTTGTCCCTGCCGGTCATGATGGTAGTTATCTCTACCATCGTCCATGGCATCGAACACCCTGTCGATGCCGACAACGACCTCCTGTTCCTGGCCTGGGAGAATCCTCTGCTTGCGTGGTCGATCGTGGACTACGCGACAATCTGCCCAACGGTTTTCAGCGCCCTCGTCCTCGCTGCATACGCCATGTGCAGCGGTCTCAGCACCGTCAACCTCCTTGTGCGTGTCTCCCGCGGTGTCTTCACTGGCATCGCGGGCTCGTCAATCTGGCACGCACTCGCCAAAGGAGACCTGCTGGGGTTGGTATTCCTCGTCCTGGGGTTTACCTTCGACACGACGTACTCGCTGCTCCGTCCCCAATGGGCTGAACGCATCTACGCCGACCTTGCCATCCATCCGGATGTGCCTGTCGTCGGTGCGGTGCTCGTAAGTCTTTTCCCCTTCTCCTCCCTTTTTTTCCCTCTATTTTTTTCTATTTTTTCTCAATTTCCCCCTTTTTTACACCTTTTTCTATATATTGGCTTATACTGACTTGATATATAGCTTCCGTCCACGTTTATGGTAGCCTGTTTCATTGTGGGCCCATCATTGCTTGCCTTCTGGTCTGGGATGTATGGTGCATTCATGGACAACTCCGGTGTGCAGTCTCGCGGCTGCCATTATCATGGATACACCAGCGTCCCACTCGCGTACCAGAGACAACGCGATGTCGGATTCCAACGTCTCTTTTGCGAGGGAGAGATCGTTGGTTCGAA